AGTGTCTGCAAATGTCAACATTTCTAGGACAGTTACATTTAAAAACATGACTGGCAAAGAAGTTTATTTATGTTCCTGGTTTACAATAACTTTACCCCAATTATGATTGGTAGTATATACTTAGGCATTAGAATTTTAGAAATGCCATACAATTTTTGAAAACATATTAGTATTCACCGAAATATAACGTAAGAGTGGACATCATTTTGGCAATCTCATGTGACTAAACATGTCAGATAATCCTGTTTACCTCTTTTCTGAGTGTTTCAGGGGACCCTGAACCATTAAAAAAGCCAGGAATCAGGAAGGATAATTTCCAGATTGCCATAAATTATTTTGCCAAAATGATGACTCATAAGGCAAAAACTTTTTATTAGACTTTACGATGACATGAAAATTCTGTGTATAGCTAAATTTTACCCTTGCATTAGTTTATTTGTTTAAATGAAACCTTATAAATTATTCCATTTTATCTTAACCAATTTGACCATGAGGTGAAATCTTTGCAAACCTTTTATAACCCTTTTACTAAAAGGCAGATTAGTGTCTTAAGACCTCCTTGCTACGTTTTTATGTCAATGCTTAAATATGAAAAGACCATATAGATACTACGGGAGACGGTGGTGTAGTGCTTCTACTATGCATTTCATTGCAAGGCGACCCAAAGTCAATTGGCTTATTTTGTAATCAGCCCATCCCTGCCGGGAGTCTCTCTCCCAGTGGTGGGTGGGGATGTTTCCTTATTTTCCATGTGGCTAAGAGCATGCTTCTCTGATTTACAGCTACTATTAGCCATCCCTTACCTGTATTTTGTACCTAGTTATTTCTCACCAAAGCTCTCTCATAATGTGAAGTAATTTCTGATGCCCCCCAAACTCAAAATCATCAGATAACACAATGCAAAACAGAACAGAGCCTTTGATTTTGAGAGGGATCATTTCCTTTTAATTTCCAGGGTTTTATGAGGAAAACAGAGATTTTTTTTTTCCCCGCGATGGGATCTATAGCACCTCGTCTGGTTTTCCCAAGGAGTCCCATGCTACCAGAAGTTATCTTAGAGCCTTTCATGCATACAGTGAGAGTGGTAGGAAGAAAAATGGAGAAAAATAACTCAGTTGACTGAGAAGAAAAGAACCTTTCTTTGCCTTCCCTATTTTTCCTGTTCCCTTTTGGCCTACTATAGGAGACATTTTTCTTATCTCCAAAATTCTCTTCTGCTTGCAAAGCTGCCTGTTTTGGCTGATCCTTATAACAACTCTGTGAGATTGTTAGTATTATGCTTAACTTACTAATAAGAAAATTGACACTAAAAGGTTAAGTAACTTGTTCAAGGTCAAATAGCTGCTGGTAAGTGATATGCTCAGGACGATAACTGTACTGTCAAATTCCATGTGGTTAACACCGTATTGCAATGCTGGTCTCCTGGAACTTTCAGTCTGGGAGAGAGACTCATTTGTAAACTAACTACTAATACAAAATAATGGAATAAATATGCTAGCTGAGGGATGCCTAAGTTTGTTAAATCTGCTGTAACAGGATAAATGACTGGGTAATTTAGAAATAATAGAAATTTATTTCCATAAATAAATTTATACACAAATAAGCCATACATTCTACTCCTGTCCCCCTAGTTTATGTTCTTCTTACATACAAAATACACTAATTCCATCTCAACAGCCCCCAAAGTTTTAACTTATTTCAGCATCTATGCAAAAAATAAATAAATAAAATAAAGTCTAAAATCTCATTTAGTACATATTTATGTACTAAATCAAGTATGGATGAGACTTCAGGTACAATTATTCCTGAAACAAATTTCCCCTCCAGCTGTGAGCATATAAAATCAAACTTATGCTTCTAAAATACAATGATGGGACAGGTATAAGATAGACATTCCTCTTCCAACAGGAAGAAATAGGAAAGAAGAAAGGGCAAGCAACATTAAGTCTTGAGGCTTATGAATAATCTGCTTTGACTCCATGTCCTGCCTTCTGGACATGCTGGGGCCAGGGTTGGACCCCCGAGGCCCCAGGCAGTTCCACTTTTGTGGCTTTTCTGGGTACAGCCCATGCAACAGCTGTCAGAGTTTGCATCAGGTGCCTGAGGCTTTCCTAGATTGCACATTGGTGGTCTCTGGGGTGGCCCTGACCCCATGGCTCTGCTAGGCGTTGCCCTAGTGGGGACTGTCTGCAGCAGCCCTGCCCCTGAGGCAACTCTGCCTGAGTCCCGAGGCTCTCTAAGGCATCTCTTGAAATCTAGGTGGAAGCAGCTGTGCTTTCACAGCTCTTGCCCTCTGCACACCTGCAGAGTTGGTATTTGTGCCAAGGACTACCACTTCTGTCCTCTAGAGTGGTGGCTCAATCAGTTCCTGGGCCTGCTTAAGCCACAGCTGGGATGGCCAAGGAGGATTGCGTCAGAATGCAGGGAGCAGAGACTTGAGGCAGTGCTGGGCAGAGAGCCCACAGGTCCTTCCCTTGAAACCATTCTGCCCTGAAGGCCCTGGCATTCTGAACCTGTGTTGGGAATGGTGGCCTGATAGATGTCTAAAATACCTTCAGGGTCATTTTTCCATCGTCTTGGTAAATGGCAACTGCTTTCTTTCTATTCATACTAATCTCTGTCAAATAGGCACTTTGGTCACACCTTTTGCAGTCTCTCCTAAACATGCTTTTTTATTCTACATATGGCCAGGCTGAGAATTTTTCAAATCTTTAAGTTATGATTCTCTTTGATGATAAATTCTGGCTTTAGTTCATTTCTTTCTTCTAGTAGTTTACTGTAAGAAGTCAAGAAAAACCATGCAACATGCTCAGCACTTTGCTGAGTTATTTCTTCTACCACATATCCCAGCTCATTCCTGCTCAGTTCTGCCTTACCTAAAGCATTAGAACACAGGCACAATTCAGCCAAGTTGTCGCTATATAACAAGAAGATCTCTCTTCAAGTTTACAATGAGATATTCCTCATTTCCATCTAAGACCTCATCAGAAGGGCCTTTACTGTTTGTATGTCTACCAGTGTTCTGATTATGACCATTTATGTAATGTCTAAGAAGACTGAGGCTCTGTCTATAGCACAGCTCTTCTGAGCCCTCACTAGAATTGCCCTTTATGGTATATTCACAGCAATATAGGCTTTTTCTAGCCTGCTCCTCCAGATTCTTCCAGTCTGTACCCATTACCCAGTTCTAAAACCACTTCCACATTTTCAGGTATTTCAGTAGCTATCTCTGTCTTAGTCCATTTGTGCTGCAATGGTGAAATACCTGAGACTGGGTAATGTATAAATAATAGAAATTTATTTCTCACAGTTCTGCAGGAGGAAGTTCAAGACCAAGTTGCCAGCATGTTTTGTCTGGTGAGGGCTGCTCTCTGCTTTCCAGATGGTGTCTTGTTGCTGTATCCTCCAGAGGAAACAAATGCTGTGTCCTCACACAGCAAAAGAAATGGAAGATGAATTCACTCCCTCAAGCCTTTTTATAAGGCACTAGTTCATTCATGAGGGTTGATTAGATGCTCATGAATTCAACCTCATGGTCCAATCACCACTAACAGCCTTGTCTCTTTACTACTCTTGTAATGGAGATTAAGTTTCAACATAAATTCGAGCAGAAACACAAACATTCAAACCATAGCAAGGGATAAGTAAAATTCAGAAACAATTCCAACTGAAAAACTGGGGAAAGATCTAAGAAGAGCATCTAAGGGTAGGAAAGACTCAGATTGCTGGAGAAAGCAGGAGAAAAGCATTCTAGATTGAGGATGCAACATGATCCGTGGAAGTGTGGTCAAGGACCAGTACATGGTCAGTGCATTGTGTGCAGTTAGTGTTGGATTAATGTTGAAAGGCAGCAAATGATGTTGAAAGGTGGCCAGGTGCGGTGGCTCATGCCTGTAATCCTAGTACTTTGGGAGGCTTAGGAGGGCAAACTTGAAGTCAGGAGTTCAAGACCAGCCTGGCAAACGTGATGAAACCTTGTCTCTACTAAGAATACAAAAATTACCCATCAAAAAAATTATGATGGTGGGTGCCTGTAGTCCCAGTTGTTGAAGATTTTTGAAGAAGTGAATTAACTTATTTGATTTGTACTTATTAAAAGATAACACTAGAGGTATGAAAAATCTAGATTAGCTCTTGGAGTTAGGGCTACCATAAAGGATGTAAGGATGCAATAATGTAAGGATGAAATTATGAAAGATAGGCTGGTAGCAATGGGAATGACACTTGAGCGTGGGATGTGGAGTATGGTCACTGCATAGGAAATTTTATAAGTAGAAACTCTGGGACTTGGTGATGTGTTATATGTGGGTGGAAAAGGAAGAACCAAAATTTATGTCAAGGTTTCTAAGACTGATGACTGAGTATAGGAATTATCAAAGAAAGCACAGGTTGTCGGTAGAAGAGAGATGTAAAAATAAAACCAGGAACATATTTCGTGTTTTATCTCCCATTCTGTAGCACTCATGACTGGATTCACTATAATTGTGATAATTATATATTCTTTTTTTTTTGAGTTGGAGTCTCGTTCTGTTGCCCAGGTTGGAATCCAATGGTATGATCTTGGCTCACTGCAACCTCCTCCTCCAGGATTCAAGCAGTTATCCTGCCTCAGTCTCCTGAGTAGCTGGGATTTCAGGCACCCACCACCACATCCGACTAATTTTTGTATTTTTAGTAGAGACAGGGTTTTGCCATGTTGGCCAGGCTGATCTTGAACTCCTAACCTCAAGTGATCCACCTGCCTTGGCCTCCCAAAGTGCTGGGATTACAGGCATGAACCCCCTCACCTGGCCTGTGATAATTATACTCTTAAAATATAATATTAAATGAATAAAGAATTTCCATTTTTTGGCTCACATTCTCAATAGCTCCTGAATCATTTGACAGAAGTATATTATAAATGACAGTTTTTGAAACTATCTTGACTAGGTGATTGTGGGGCATTCTCTTTGTTGTTGTTTTGGTATTTCAAATTAATGGTACAGATATTTTTATTTCAGGTGGCAACAATCCATATCACTCCAGTGGATGACCAGCTTCCAAAGGAGGCTCCTGGAGTTTCTCGGCATTTGGTTGTCAAGGAAACTGAGGTGGCCTATATAACTAAGAAACATCTACATTTTATAGATACAGAATCATATGACAGGGAGCTGGTCTACACAATAACTACTCCTCCATTTTTCTCCTTCAGCCACAGGTATCTGAAAAGTCAGCATTTGGGCTACTAGTTCTAGGATTAAAAAGTTGAAAGTGTCAATATATGGCAATACATAGTACTGTGGTTCACTTGCTCCATTGGTCAGACATGAAGTTATACTCATTTAGGCATTTACTTTTCTCTCATACTTACCTCCTGTCTCCCTTTGAAAGCTGTATTAGTTGGTAAGTGATCTGCAGCTTGTAGTGTCTTCAGCATTGGTAGGCTTAAAACAGTCTTTAACCCCCTTTTTGAAAGACAATGATTATTTTTCTTTTTAGTACAATTTATTGAGATCTTCCTAACATTAATTTGTGAATTACTGCCATAAAATGGTTACATTCTATGATTTCAATCCAGAAAAGTGGCATGAATATACCTTAGGCTAGTATCATATGCATGATAGCAAGAAAACATTTTTAACATGAGTGTAACAGTTCCCTTTCATGATGCCAAGCAAAAAATTGAGTACATCCCTTTTGCAGTTATGACAAGGATGGCATTGATGAAACTGGACTTAATGCTAGAATCCCCATAAAGAGAGAATATAAAGATAGAGCACCTGGTTTCTTCTCACAATGAGGTCTTTCAGTTTTTGATTATGAGCTATTTGATTTCATTTTTCTTATCTAAAAATATGCTGATGTGTTCTTCTGTATTTCTCTTTAGACACTTGGATGCTGGGAAATTATTCATGGTGGACAGCATACCAAAGGTAGTCAAAAATCCTGCGGCCCTGGAGCTGAGGTCATTCACTCAGGTATGAGGATATGCTAACATGCTGACAAACATGATGTAAATGAGCTCTTAGAAGGTATGGCATGCCTAGTATTGTGCCTGAGAATGTTGGCTTTTGATACCTGCCACAAAGGCTTGATGTCTTTATACTTGTTGCTTGTATGTTTCCATTAAGCATGTGGCATCTATTTCAAAGTACTTGATCAAGTTGAATATGGTTTCATAATCTTTTCAGTAATTTTACAAAACAGACCCTTGTACTGTTTTGCCATCAGTAGGACTCTAATTTGGGGATCTGGTGTATGTGTATTTATTCCACAAAATTCAATTTATTCAATATCTTACTGTATTAGTTTTCAAGGGCCAACAATAATATACCATGAACTGGGTAATTTAAAATAAAGCACCGGGACATAAAGAACTATGAGCTTTATTTTCACATAGTCCTGGAGGCTAGAAGTCTTAAATCAAGGTGTTCATGCTCTTTCTGAAACCCTGAAGGATAATTCTTCCTTGCTTCTATTAGGTTGGTGCAAAAGTTATTGCAGTTTTTACCATCGAAGTAAAAATAGAGCTTTTGGTAATCTTCAAAGTCATGAGGGTAGCATTTACATTTTCCAATAGCAATTAACATGATGATTCTTTTTGACCTACAAAAGCTTTTAATCCTTGCAAATCAACACCCACATGTCCATCTCAACTTACTTTGCAGCATGCTGTAAACTATATGAAAGTGGCCTACATGCCCCCTATGCAAGACATTGGCCCCCACCGCAGAGATATCCAGTTCACATTTTCCATCAGTAACCAACATGGCGGCACTTTGCATGGGATCTGCTTTAACATTACAGTCCTCCCAGTGGACAATCAAGTTCCTGAGGTATGTACAATGTTCTGTGTGGAGGATGAAAAGGAGGGAAAGAAAGGACAGTCTTGAAGACTTGTTGGAAATGGTAACCTTCATTTAGGCTAGTTTTTTTAACTTACAAAAGAAATTTCCATCTACAGTATAGTACAAAAAGAAAAAAAAAAGCAGGGGGATGAGGATGTTTTACCTGCCATGGGACTTTCTATGTAAAAGGTGAGATTTTCCGGTTACTAAATTTAACATGATTTTCAAAGCTTTATCAAATTCTTTTTTACTTCTTCTTTCTACTGAGTTTCACATGTTGATTGGGGAGGGGATTAAATTATGGGTCTCTTAGCAACTGGAAGGGCTTATTTACCCTCACTGCAGCCCAACTATGCTGCTCTATAATCTAAAGAAGCTCTTTAATTTTCCAAAATGAATTAAGATGGACCCTTCTGTTGTACTTTGTCTCACCGCCCCATGTTAATTAAAGCCTTAAAGGACTTGAGTCTTTCATTAAAACCAAACTACAAAGGCATTGCTACCTCGTGCATTTTATTTGTAAAGCTGGGATTTACACTGAGAGTTTGTCCCATACCTACCCAGTTCCCCTACCCACCTTCAGAGTGCTAGACATAATTAGTTTAGTCATTATCATTCTTATTATTTCCCTTAAAAGCAGGAAGACAACATAGCATTACCCATTCATTATGAACCAGAAAGGACCAAAGCCTACTTGTGCCTCATCCTTAAGGAAAGAGGTCGCCTTTCCAGGTGCCTACCTGGACTGTAGCCTGCATTGGTGTTTTCTTTCCTGGTCACACCTCATCATCTCTATACCTGCCCAAGGTTGTGGGGCAGAGGTCTTACCCTGAGGGCCTAAAAGGGTTGCCCAACTTGGCAGAAGTTTTGATGGGAGTATTAATCTGTTCTCACACTGCTAATAAAGATATACTTGAGACTTGGTAATTTACAAAGGAAAGAAGTTTAATAGATTCACAGTTCTACATGGCTGGGGAGGCCTCACAACCATGGCAGAAGGTGGATGAGGAGCAAAGTCACGTCTTTCATAGTGGCAGGCAAGAGAGTTTGTGCAGGGAACTTCCATTTATAATATCGTCAGATCTTGTGAGACATATTCACTACCATGAGAACAACATGGGGAAAACTGCCCCCATGAGTCAGTTATTTCCATCTGAATGTGCCCTTTACATGTGGGGGTTATTACAATTCTAGGTGAGATTTGGGTGGTGACACAGCCAAACCACATCAATAGATCTAAACAATATATTAAAATAATGAATTGCCAACATTTAAAGGTCAGAAGATTTTCTATTAAGGCTGATTCTTAGTTTGAGATTCTGGCAGCTCTAATAGAATTGAACCCGCACACCCCACAGCAGCCATTGCATAGGGCATGCTCTCTAGCCCACCAAACCCCCACCCAACTCACCACACTTATTTCTGTCACTGGCCTGACTTCCCACACCTACGAAAGGTGGGCTTGCCACCTTTCGTAGAAGACCTGCCAAAGGGCTCACACAGAGGAATTTAAACTAACTGGATTCTTTGATACCTTTCCTATCAGGAACCCGATCATATTCCGAGTGGTGAAATTGTTTAGAATGCCTATGCAGTTAACTTGATTAGATTTTATTCAGACCATTCTTTTCTATGTCTGAGATACAGGCCATGAATTAGCCTCGCACTAAAGAAGACAAAGCTTTCTCTAAAACAATCATGGGAAAATGCTCTTTTATGCAAAGTAATTCAAGCCTCCTGCTGCTGAAGGTTGATCTGAGGAGGAAACAAAAAGTGTAAAGGAAAAAGTGAACGTGGTTGAATAGTCATGAGGAGTTGGGGCAAGGATGGCTGGGTAGCTTCCCTTTTTTTTTTACAGTATGTGGGCAAATGAAATAGTTCCTGAAAAAACTGAGAATGTTAGAAATAAAATTAAATTAGCAGCTTCAGTGAGACCAACCACAGGAGTTGTTTCTTAATGTAGAATTCCCGCAGAGAGCTGGCTGAGTGATAACCATTGGAGGATGTTGACTCCATACTAATCTGAGTCCCAGAAACCTGAGCACTGGATTTGGGCAGGAACTAAAAAGCTAATGCCTAATGAGTGGGGAGAAATTAGCCATATGTTTTTAGTTTTTTTAAAGTTGCCGTAAAATATATATTTAAAAAATCATCGAATATAGCAAAGTATATTCCTTGAAACACTGGAAATTAAAGATTCCATATTGAATATTAATTCAATACAGCTCAGAAAAATGAGGTTGGCAAGCATGGACCTTCATTCAAAGACAACACCTCTGAGTAAGAGCTCCCGCTCTCTTTTGCCTACAAACGCTGATAATTAGGTTTAGCAAAGTGAAAGTAAGACTTGGGAGGGGCCAGGGTGGGGATTGCTGTAGGAGGGAAGTCTATTGTTTCTATTGGGTTTTTGTTGTTGTTGTTGTCCTTTGTTTTTTCGGTGGTAGTTTATGAAATAAAAGTATAGTAGTTCGCCTGTAGATCTACTAGGACAGGGATCTACAGGCAAACAAGCAGGGTGAGCTGAGAGGTAGCATGTAAAGTAAGGCAGGTAGAATGTAGTTGATTAAATAATAGCAGGTAGCAGTCTCTGAACTGTAGGTCTCATAATTGCCATGACCCAAGAGGCTGGACTTTTAGCACCATGAATGCCCCAGGTGGCTGTGGCCTGGAGTTGCTACCAACACTGTGCCCTGCTGTGCAGAAGGACAGAACCGGCTCTTGGGTGGAGGCTGCAGCTTCACTTGCTTCCTTCCCTTTCCTCTGCCAATATGTTGTCATCCTCCTGTACCAGCTCTTTATTCAGGGAACATCCTCCCTCCTGGGAGCAGCAGCTGCTCTGAGAAGAGTAGGTACTTCCTAAGAGCACTGCTGCATCTTCCCATGGGCAGAGCACTTACCCTAGACCACCTGGGAGGGGCCTTCAGAGCCCGTAATTTGGTAACCCACTGTATCTGCTTGCTTTCACTTCCACATAGTAATACAAGCATTGGGGAAATGATAGGCTAAACAAAATTAGCAGATTTTCCTCCTGCAGGATCTCAGAGCCTTGGATATGTTTATGCCCCTTATAAACCTCCATGGTGAGGATATTGTATGTAACTTTTTTCTAGACTTATTTGACCATAGAACACTTCTTGCCCCCTACCAAAGGGGTGATAAACTATCCCAAGCCATTCAACTTGCTTTTTACTTACAAATGAATTATTAGTCAGTTGAGCAGTGACTATTTTTCTGTTATAGCAAATTATCTTTGTGGCTCTAATATTTAAGTCTAATGTTTGAATAAATCCATTTCAATTTTGCTGCATTATTTTTATTTCTAAAATATTCACTATGACTGAAGCTTTAAAGCTCCAATCCATATCCCAAGACTTTAAGAATTTTTAAGATGAAAAGTAGATAAAACCTTTTCTTCAGGGGAATTTGACATAGATTTTGTTTATTTTTTAGACCAAGCTGTATGTGTATAGAACAGTGTTGGGAATGGACATGAGGATGAAAATTATTATTTTCTCAGTTTAGCAGCACAGGTAGTAATAATTGCTCATTCCACTATACAGGCTATGAAATAAATGAAAAGCAGATATTTTCAGGCTTATAGATCTGCCTTGCTTCTTTGTAACATATTAATGCTTAGAATTAGAAATAGTAAAAATATTTTTCAGTCAAAATGTCTAGCCATGAACTTATCGTTTCACCACATTCTTGAAAAATTAGTTGGCATGTGAAGATAAAACTGGAAATTTGTTTTTTTTTTATTTGTGTTTTTGTTCTTACTTTAAGTTCTGGGTTACATGTGCAGAATGTGCAGGTTTGTTACATGGGTATACACGTGCCATGGTGGTTTGCTGCATAGGGGAGGGATAGCATTAGGAGAAATACCTAATGTAGATGATGGAGTAAGGAATACTGGAAGTTTTTTAGTGATGTAATGAGCTGTGTCTACAGGGGTCCCTCATGAAATAAGGCTTTGAATGTTTCCTTCCTTTCTTCTTTCTAGGTATTCACCAACCCTCTGAAAGTGACTGAGGGAGGTCAGTGTGTCATCAGCACAGAGCACATTCTGGTTTCTGATGCAGATACCAAGCTGAACAATATTGACCTCTCCCTTCGGGGACTACCTCTGCACGGAAGGGTGGAGCTGAATGGATTTCCTCTAAATGCAGGAGGCACATTTTCTTGGGACGATCTCCATACCTTAAAAGTTAGGTTAGAACATTTCATGGTTTTTTTAATTTAAATGTTTTGTTTCCTTATTTAGATCAGTTCAGAGTAAGAGAAAGAAGTTTGTCTAATTCATTCAAGGATACCAACGTGCCACTTAACACATTCAACGAGTCAGTTGAAAATTACAAATGATCAATTTTTGCCTTTCCCTCCAGACATTTTCTTTCCATCTGGCTTGTTATACCAGTGGAGATAATTTTATGTACATTTGAACAGCAAAATTTAATTGTCATAAATATTAAATTTGCGATAACTGCACGTATCATAAGAGGTAATAGTCAAACCAGATAAAAAGAGACTGAAATAATCTGTGAGGCTAATGTATATAATTGAACTTGTTTCCCAGAGAAATGAATTTCATAACATGGAAACTCTGGGATAGAACTCTGTTATCAATGTCCTTAATGTAATCTTATTCCATTCTACTAGGGCTGGGATCTACAGGCAAACAAGCAGGGTGAGCTGAGTAGGTAAGGTATAAAGCAATACCTGAGTCCCCACCAGGGATGGCACAATCCCTGGCATCATAGTCCTAGAGAAGTTGCCCTCACCTTAAGGTCTTTCATTTCCTCTACTTAATGTAGTTCTGTAAGAAACTTTTCTACAAAATAGAGTGAAACTTCTCTGGAAAACAGTACAAGCTATTCAAAAGCAATGGTCAGGTAGACCCACAAACTAACTTCTCACTTATAGATTCAAGCTATAAATGGGAGCATTGGCCCTTTAGATAAAGTATGATAGGAGATATTATACTTCAAATGCTTAGTTCTGCATTTGACCAGAAAGTTGGCCAGAAATTAAGGTTTGTGCACAAGAAGACCAGTTTGGTCCTGACAGTTTTTAGTTCCGTCACTGATTTACAGTCCATGATATCTTGATCTTTTCATTCACACTCCTATTCTTGTTTTAAAAATTTTTTTTTTTTAGATTTCAACTCTCTGCTGTCAGAGTACTCTATTTAGGTAATCCTTACTAGGGAGTGAATGATGGATAGGCAAAATAGTACCAATATTTGCTAGAAATATCTGTTCAAGCATACTGTTAGAATTTGCAATTATGTTTTTTTTTTAAATTTAATCTTCATAGTAATTAAGTCTGACAGGGTATCCATTCTTGTATTTTAATAGAAGAACTAAGTACAAAGCGGTTGAGGAATTTGCCCAAGTTCATTCAGCTAGTATATGGAGGGGTCAGATTTTGAAAGAATATCTGCTTGACTCTGGTCATCCTTTGGATGTGTACTCTTAGGATCATTTCATCCTTTTAGGGATTTGAGCATACTAAAACAGAATTAGCGTATTATCACGCACCAATATACTTTTGATAAAAAATGCAGGGAGCATGGCAAAATAAAGCATAGCGGGTAGTTCATGGGAGAAACGTGGAGGATGGGGAGGATGTGGGACTTCCCCATCATAGAAAGGGAATCCCCAGTCTGAGTTTCTACCCAGCCTATGGGTGAAACTAGTCCTCAGTAAAGTATCTTTCAGCTCTGATATTTTCCCAATAGTTAAAGATTATATATATTTAATATATTGTATTATTTTTGACACAACTTTTATTTTCCATTCTTAGGACTAAAGTTTAAAATTTAGCTTAATTCACTTCAGCAGCCCTTTAGAACTTTCCAAGCAGCACTGCAATGGGCTGGAGAACATGTGGAGAGCCTAGAATTAGACAATGCCTTCAGGAAACGTGGCTGAGAATTAATGGAAGATAGGGCTAAGAGTAGACAAAGGAAAGGTATTTTTTAGGTCTGGGAGAGATTTAAGAATCTGTATAGATTGAAAGGAAGATAGCTAGTCAGTGGAAGTGGAAGAATGACAGTCAGAGGCAACATATAACACATTGATCCAGGTTTTAGAGAATAGCTGAGTAGATTAGCCTTAGAAGTAGAAAAGGAGAGAAAAAAAATCAAATCCACAGTGTCCCACTTTTCATCAAATGCTCAGCCTGAGGTTCCCCTAGCCCTAGTCAACGTATTCTGCAAGTAGACCTATACCAAATGGTTCCTATTGTCACAGTGGCAATTGAAGGGCTGCTTTTTACTCTGAGGACACTTTAGAAATGCATATAACACATTTTTTTCCAGGGTGGAGCAATTTTGCATTCAAGGATTTATGAGTAGTTAAATATGTGACTTCAGGATTATGCTGGTTTTGTTGCTGTCGTTGTTGTTATTTATTTATTTAGTGAAGACATGGCCAGATCCTTGGAAGAGGTCATGTGTCATGCATCTCAATTGACCCTCACACTGTTCCCGAGAGATTAGTGACAAATATTATTCCCACAGGTATCAACATGATGGATCTGAGGTTCTTCAGGATGACATACTCTTGGAGGTCACCGATGGCACAAATTCAGCAGTATTTGTTCTACATGTTGAGGTGGGTGAAAGTTTCCTCCCTGGGTAATTGTCTGTTTTGTGCTGCCATAACACAATGCCATAGACTGCGTAATTTATAATGAACAGAAATGTATTTGAGTCATGACTCTGGAAGCTGGGAAGTCTAAGATTGGGTGGCTGCATCCAGTGAGGGCCTTCTTGCTGCATCACCCTATGATGGAAGGGCAAATAAAGAGCAAGAGGGAGCCAGGGACTGAACTCCCAACCTTTTATGATCAGCATTAATCCATTCATGAGGGTGGAGTCCTCGTGACCTGTAAACCTCCCACCTCCCAACACTGTTGCAAGTTTCCAGTGCATGACTTTTTGGGGACACATTAAAATCATAGCAGTGATTTTAGAGATAGAGCATCTGGTTGGAAAACTCTCAGGTCTTGACAGAACTTGAAAGCCTCCAAAGTGAAAAGTTACCTGCTTCGATCCTTATATGTCTCAGGCCTGGCAATAGAGACCAAAGTTATAATGGTGAAATGGCCAACTATACTATTCTCTGTCTCCAGTCTGTTTAAAGATAGAATTACTCTGATCTTGAACATAGATATTTGATTTAAAAAGTAATTGATTCTATGTATAAATTATTTGTAATATCTTTGAACTATAAAACTCAGAAATATTTATTTTACAGTAGTGCAGGTTAGACTAGTATCATTGGGGTTTCTCTGTTTACAGAAAAAGCCATGTATATGTGTGTGTGTGTATGGTGCCTCTTTGTGAGTTCCTGTACCATATAATCCTAGCATGAGTGTTTGAGATAATATTTCCCCCTTTTGATAAATGAAGAAAAATCTGCACATAAAATTTGAGTGCAGACCAGGTGTGGAGGCTCACACCTGTAATCCCAGCATGCTGGGAGGCCGAGGCAGGCTGATCACTTGAGGTCAGGAGTTCAACATCACCCTGCTCAATATGGTGAAACCCTGTCTCTACTGAAAATACAAAATTTAGCTGGGCATGGTGGGTCATGCCTGTAATCCCAGCTACTTGGGAGGCTGATGCAGGAGAATCGCTTGAACCTTGGAGGCGGAGGAGGTTGCAGTGAGTTGTGATCACCCCACTGCACTCTAGCCTGGGCAACAGAGGGAGACTATCTAAAAAAAAGTAAGTTGAGTGCATGCCCAAGGGACTTACAGGAACCCCCTGAGTTTCTTTGTTGAGTGGCATGCAAGTCCACAGCATAACTTGTAGGGTTTTGCAGGTATTTGTAGTTGGTGACAAAAGGTCTGAAGAAAAATAGACCATGTTCCCTGAAGAGCCACTAATTATTTTCATTGTACTAGTTTCTTTTTCTGCTGGAATTTTTCAGAACTTTGTGATATGAAATCATTATTATATTGGTGGTAATAATGTCTTTGTAAGATATTTTAGTGACTAATAAAGAATGTTCAGTGAAGAAGTTATCCTCATTTTATAGCCAAGGATAATTAGGTCCAAAAATGTTTAATGACTTGCCCCAAATCATTGTCTAAACAGAGTAGGCTTGGGTTGGCATCTCCACACTTTGTTACCTACCTAGGCCAGTGTTTTTGCCTCCTCACCCTGCCACACTTCTACATCACTAGGTGATTATAAGAATTATACTGGACAGCAGTTCCTGTGCACCTCTCTATGCCAGGAACAAGGCAATCTCTTCCTTTCATTTTCCCACTTAGTCGTCATAATGGCCTTTGAGGTTTGGATAAAGAGCAGTATGCTATTGCAGCTTCAAAAAGGACAGTTTTCTTCGTTGGCAGACTTACAGACAGACAAAGCTTTTCTGAGTTACTTTTCTTGTCTGAAAAGCAAATCTGTGAGGAGAAAACCCCAACCCTAAATTCTACCCATGACAATAGGCAATGCCTTTTGGGAAAACAATCTGTTTATTATTTCTTTTTGAACACAAGAGTATGGTCTTTAAAAGCCAAACAGAGGCACAGCCAATTTCTGGACAAGTGTTTGTGATTTTTTTTTTTCCTTTTTTTACCCAGAAGGAATATTCTTAATTCTATTGCCTTTGGACTTTATTATTCATTTGAAAGCTGAGGTTCTTTTGTGAACTGCTGCAAGATGGTCATCATTGAATTTGTTGGTGATATTCCTCAGAGTCAAAAACAATACTGGAGAGGGTCTTAAATGAATGCACTCAGCGGACTTGAACAAAGATGATTTTTCTTAAGCCAATAGAAAAGTAGAGAATACTCTAGGCTTTTAAAATCTTTAATTAAATAACCAGCTTGGAGCTTTCATTATTCAGTTTCTCTATCGATTAAAGGAAGTGTCCAAACGATTTAATGTATAGTTGCTTTAGAGTTACTAGCCTGTTTAAATAACAGAGTAATCAGGATATATATGCATAGTTGCATTCACTCATTCATTTATTCAGCAAATATTTAATAAGTGCCTTCTCTATGCCAAGTCTTAGGCTAGATGTTTAGAATATGATGACGAATAAGACAAAGTCACTGTTCTTCTAAAGGTCACAGGCCAAGGATGAAGACAGGCATTAAACAGATTATCACCAAGATAATTAATTGATTAAAATTTAGATGGCACTGTACATAAATAGGATGCTAAAAGCGAGTCAATAATAGAAGCCCCTAAATTAGTTAAATAGTCAAGGAAGCATTTCCTGAGGAATCCCTATGTAATGTGAAGGAGGAGTTAACCAAGCAGAGTTGGGAACCGAATTCCCTGGTGGGAGGAGAGATGGGCAGTGGGAAGAGAGATGGTGCAAAGACCTGTGATGGTGGGAATGTGTGTTGGGATAAAACTGGAGTGGAGTGGCAAAGGCACCGCATAGCATGAGATAAAGTCAGAGAAATCCCAGCAGAATCAATGGGAAGCCACAGAAGGTCTCTGTAAGGCAGTGACTTAAAATCCACATGTTGAAAAGATCACTTTGGCTGAGCATTAAGGAAGAAGGTATAGGGTTGACAGGATTCGCAGGGCAGACGTGGTGGACTTGCAGCACACACCAAGCTGTGGCTGTGAACTCAGAAGGGGACTGTCTTCACTCTCTTTTAGAAGATATACTTTTCCAGATTTCTACACGATCTTTTTAAATTTAGAGAGCCAGCGTGATCCCATGTTGCTTTTCTTTCCTTTTTACTTGGAGTTTTATTTTCATGTGAGAGAAAAACATTTTGTCAAGTTGAAACCTGGCATTGATTGAATAGTTACAGAGTTTCATATTTAACTCAAACTCTTTGAAATGCAGCTGCTGCTTATTATAAGTCCAGAGAAACTTCCTGGGTGGCAGGAAGTTGAGGGTGGAAGAAAGCTTTGTAATCACCAAGTAATTTGAAACAAAAATAACTTTGATGCAGTAAATGTAAATGCCTCAGACCACAAGGACCAGAACTCCTCTGGAATGTGTGAATTTAATGAAAGAGGATAAGGGCTTTGGCGAAGAATGCCTTATATTACATTTATATTTTGTCTGTCTAGAAACAAATGAGAGTTTCGAGTCTTGAACCATAACCATATTCTCCCATTGCTACCTAAAATGTCTCTCACATGGGACACTCCTTGCAAGATGGTTTACATAGGAAAAGTTAAAAGATGCAGATTGCTTGGCCAAATTCTATAGCTATTGTTTCATGTGTCTGCAAGATCAAAAATGCCTTTCATTCTGACTATGAGCAATGGATTATCAAAGAATTTGTCATTTCTTTTTTTTTCTGAAAACATGCATTTTTTTTTCATTGCTTAGGTAGTCCCTGTCAATGATGAACGACCAGTCCTAAAGGCGGACCTCATGCCTGTCATGAATTGCTCAGAGGGAGGAGAGGTAGTCATCACCTCCGAATACATTTTTGCTACTGATGTGGACAGCGATGACTTAAAGTTGATGTTTGTGATTGCTCGAGAACCTCAGCATGGGGTGGTGAGGAGAGCTGGAGTCACAGTGCATCAGTTCTCCCAGAGAGATGTTATCTCAGAGGCTGTGACATACAAACACACAGGTAAGCAGCACCAGTGACACACTGGTCACTGGTGACCAGTGAAGGAATGCAAACAAAATGAGAGTCTCCGCTCCTCAGTGTGGGCTCCCATAATCAGTCATCATGCTTGCTTCCATTAAAAACAAGAAGCAACTGTAGCCTGGTCTCCATTTTTCCAGCATGATCACCATACATGGAAGTACGGTGATTGTGTTATTATAATGAATTTCGAACAGTGGAGAAAGGGCAGATGTTATTTGCTGCTCTGTTCCTGACACGACCACACAGACCTTCCATTCACCCTGTGATGCTCCTCAGACTTTTTGGTCAATTTGACCATCATAGTTTGTGGATCTATAAATCAAGACAGGAATGCCTGAAGCAAGCTCCTAAGGTAATTATATCATCAGTTTTCAAAGCTTATTGATCACCAATTAGCACCTAAGAAGTAACTGGTCTGCTTTTTGACTTCCTGAAAGCAACAATAATGTCTTACCCTGTATATGACTTGCCCACAGCAAACAACAGCATGAACACAGGTTAGATGTATGGAAAATGTTTGTTTATTAGCATTGGCCCTACACTTCTGGCATTGCTTTATGTTGTCACCCAAGTGGCATTTGTTCCACTAAAAATGTGTTAAATCAACATCTGATATCTGCAAGGTATAGCACTAGGCATAATGGGGTACACAGGAATATGACCTAGACCTGTGTAAGACTTTGCCTTAACTGGGCAGATCTGCATGCACAGATGACAGTGTGACTGACACATTGCACATCATCACATCATCTCCCGTTGCACATCTTTTGAGGTCTGGGTTGGGAACACTTCCTTGGTAACAATGCTGTATATTTCGTCCTGCTGGCTTTTGCTGTACTCTAGTGCAATTTCCTGTCTACTCATGCATATGCCTCTTTAAACTGCAAATTCTAATGCAGGAAGTACAATCAAGTATGTAAGGCCAGGTGAGTGGTATAAGAAATAAGAGCTTTCAGAATTCAAATCATTTTCTTATTTGAAGAGAATTTAAGCAGTGAGGTACCAAAACCAGCTCGGCCATAGAGACCCCCACCCAGGCGGCACTGAAGGCATTATGAAGCAGACACCCAGATAGAACAGCGAAGTGGGACTACCTAGGGGCCAACAGCCTTCCTAGCTGAGAGCCTCAGGGGCTGGCAGCATTTCCGGCTGAGGGCCTTGAGGAGATTCTGAGCCACATCGTTATTCTCTCTGAACAGATGATTATTATTAACAAACAGGTGTTCTGTGTCTTCTCATAGAACCAAGATGAACTAGGTAGTCAGCTGGTGCCTGCTTACCACTGATCAAACACAAGCTAGAAAGTATTCTCCATGAGGGAGCCGCAGGGGCAGGGGCAGGTAACCTGTCCTTAACCGGTGTATGATATCCATATACTGTTTTGCTACTTTAGGATGCCCCAAGCAGTTTTCCACTTGGGGGGTGAGGGTCGGCCAGGTTTTCCTTGCCACTGTTCTTGGCAAACAATATAGTCCATCATACACTCAGCAGTGAGGCATGAAAGAAATTCCAGAGGAGAGATAGAGATAGCGAAAGAGTAATTCAGAAATGGGAGAAAACATTTTGAAATATTTGTCCTAAATACTTTGGAAAACAATTATTTATTGAAACAATAAATTTCTCATGGCCAATTAGTTAATAAGGGACAGTTTAATCACTTCATCAGACATCTTTTTTCTTTAAGTGGCATCTCTCTATCCTCTTACCTGAGTTTAGTCTTAGGAAAGGTTTCATGAGTGGTTTCCTTGTCCTGGAGAGCACAGTTCATATGTTTGATATCTCTCAGGAGTTCACAACTAGGTACTTGTTAATTTCCCAATAGAAGTGAAATAGACTGGAAGAAAAGGGATCCAAAGACCAATGATTGTTATTTATTGCTTAATTATTTAACATCTCTGGCAGGCTCGTGTAGCACAGGTAAAGTAGGAATGAGAAGAATCTGTCTTCTTTTCCAGTGCCTTGTTCTAAATGCTAAACATCAAGTATACAGATTTCTGCATCTCCTCTAGTGTGACAGCCATGGACAGGACAGTTAACTAATTAAAAAAAAAAACTAGTAGGACATTGGGGCAAATTATTTCAAATAGATGGCTTATGGTTCTGTTACTAAATTAGAAGGAATACTGAATTCAAAGGGTATTTTGGTATTTGAATGTTACATTTTTTTGTAATGTTACTGTTACTCAATTGGTAGTTACCCAGCCCTGTGCTGGGATCAGGATAAAGAACCACAGTATTGTAGGATCTGAGGGTTCAGTGAGTCTTCTAGCCCCTCTCCTGCTTCTACATGTTGATTTAAAGGCCACCTAAGAATAATTTTATCAGTATTACTTTATTGTTTTCTATACGTATAAAAACAATACACATTCATTGCAGAAAACTTGGAAAGAATGGAAATGTACAATGAAGTTTTGAAAAATCACCTTATTACCTGTCTAAAAGATAGTCATTCTTCACATTGCAGTATCACAGTATTTTCTTCTTTATTGTAACGGTAGTTGTAACATAGTTGCAATCATGTGGTACATGCTGTTTTGCAGTTTACTTTTATCATTTAGATTATCACCTAAAAATGTTTATTAAAATGGATATTAAATGTTAGAAAGTCATCATAAATATGTTTTAGTAACAGAATAATATTTTACTATATAAAAGTCCATTATTAGTTGCTGTTCTCCAAACATTAAACATGAAGTAATTAAAATTTTTTTTTTTTTCTGAGGCGAGGCATGGTGACTCACACCTGTAATCTCACCACTTTGGAAGGCTGAGGCAAGAGGATCACTTGAGCCCAGAAGTTCAAGCCCAGCCTGGGCAACATAGGGAGGCCCTTGTCTCTGTGAAAATACAAACATTATCTGGACATAGTGGGACACATCTGTGGTCCCAGCTACTTGGAGGCTGAGGTAGGAGTATCACTTGAGCCCAGAAGGTAGAGGCCAGAGTAAGCTATGAGCGTGCCACTGCACTCCAACCTGGGCAACACAGTGAGACCCTGTGTCAAATTAAAAAAAAAATAACACTATGCTGGTCAACATGGTGAAACTCTGTCTCTACTAAAAATACAAAAAATTATTGGGGCGTGGTGGCACGTGCCTATAATCTAAGCTACTCGGGAGGCTGAGGCAGGAGAATTGCCTGAACCCAGGAGGTGGAGGTTGCGGTGAGCCAAGATCGCGCCATTGCACTCCAGCCTGGGTAACAAGAGTGAAACTCCGTCTCAAAACAAAAACAAAAACAAAAACAAAAACACTATGATTAACATTGGTAAGTACAAATCATGTCCTTAGGCTATATACCATTTCAAGGTAAAGAATTTCTCTGCCTATGTTGTAGGCTTTTAGTGGCTTAGTATTCAGCCTACTTTCCCAGCTATTTCTGTAAATATCCTATGGTTCCATTATAGAGAAATTTGCTATTTGCCTTCTTTTTCTTAAGCTGTCTTCTCTTTCTGCAGTGACTTTTCATTTCTCTCCCCTATTGCCTCTCCCTACAGATCTCCTGTCCCATCCCCCAATCTGCTTATCTGCTTGGCAAACTCTTACTCTTTAATGCTCAGCACAAAACCAGCAAAGGCATCTGAAAACTTTGCTGTCTTTCCTTGGCACCTATGCCCTGCCCCTACGCCGTTGTCAGCTAAAACTCATTTTCTTTCATCTTTAGCACCTTGCACACAGTCAGGCTGAAACATGTAAAATTGCTATGTAACAGGTTTAAAAAAAATAGTTTCATAGTAGCAATTTCATGTGGGGGATTCTACATTATATGTGTATATATATATACATACATACACACATCTGTGCTATTCTAACCACTCTGCATTTTCTTCTCTACCATTAGACTGTATCAATGCCTGATGCATAGTGAGTTTTTTTGACATTTGACATTCTTTTGAAATGTCTTTTGACAATTCCAAAATGTCTGCCCTTTTCTCTGCTGGTGCACCTGAAACACTAATTATCACATAGAAGGTATTGAACAGATATTTATTGAGTGAATTACTAATGAACAAATGTTTTAAGCCAATTTGTATTTTAGATCTATGAATAGGTGAGAGGTCTCTTATTTTTGACTCTTCCTCACATTGAAAGCTGGTTGTTTCTTTCTAATTCTCTCAACTTCAATTGTTTTTCCTTTTAAGCCCAGTTTTCTCAGCCTTTGATCACTTGGTTGCTCAATAATATCATCATTAGATTTTCCTTGTCATTTTTAGATGGGAAATAATAGCAGCCACAGAGCTCTGCAGATTTGACCATGGTCCAAGGAAAAGAGAGGATGTCCCTGATCTTTTATATCCTAGATTCATCAAAACTCCAAGAATTAATGGCTCCCTGTATTAGTCCATTTTCATGCTGCTGCTAAAGACATACCTAAGACCGGGCAATTTGTAAAAGAAAGAGCTTTAATGGACTTACAGTTCCACATGGCTGGGAAGGCCTTATGATCACGGCAGAAGGCAAGGAGGAGCAAGTCACATCTTACATGGATGGCAGCAGGCAAAGAGAGCTTGTGCAGGAAAACTCCCATATTTAAAACCATCAGATCTCGTGACACTCATTCACTATCATGAGAACAGGGCAGGAAAGACCTGTCCCCATAATTCAATCACCTCCCACTGGGTTTCTTCCACAAAATGTAGGAATTGTGAAAGTTACAATTCAAGATGAGATTTGAGTGGGGGCACAACCAACATATCAGTCTGTTCTTAGGATTTTCATGGTGATGCATGAAAAATACCAGCAGTGCATGTGTACAACTTTTCAGTGTCCTGAAAAGCAACCTCTCTTACTCCATGGCCTTAGTGGGTAACTCAAGAGCAGATTGCCCTGTTGCTAATAAACTATCTAATAATGACATTTTTTTCCTTCTTCCTCTCACTATCTAAGCTTGGAGCATTTTGAATCTCACAGGTGTGAGACCTACAAAGTGAAAAGGACAAAATGAAAATAAATGCCTCTTTTTTTCCATGCACAGTTGCTATTTTTAAAAACATCCTGGCTAATATATAATAAGGAAAATATTGAAAGAAGTGGCAAAAAGGTGGCCTACTTTTGTATTTCACCTATCCGACATCCTCTTTTCTCATAACTGCTATGTGGTTGATGGTTATTCATTTAAGATGGTTACTGCAAATGGAAAGGCAATTCCCAAAGGAACACAGATGCCTTCTCCCTCTCCCTGAGGTTGGTCCTAACATGAGACAATTATAAGGGAAGAATGAAACCTTCACTAGTGAAGTTCCAGGTCCCTGCCTTGTTCATTCATGAACCATCAAACCCTTGTTAGCCCTGTTTTGTCCCCCCTTATGGTAATACATGGCTGGTAGGGAGTTCACCAGAGGCAACAGATGGGCAAGAATTTTTGCATCATTTTCATGACTATATTTGATTTCATAGTGATAAAATTGGGTTTTACATTTATTTAATCCACTAACTTTTTTTCCCTTGCCATTTCAATGCTTGTAGAAGAGGTGTGAGTAGATTTAATCTTGGTATTCTATATTTTTTAAAAGTCAGGTTTCAGCTATAGTTTGTGTCTTCCAGGTGGTGAGATTGGCGTGATGCCTTGTTTTGACACCATTACATTGTTGGTTTCGGATGGAGAGGCTGGCTCTTTTGTGAATGGCTGCTGCTACAATGGACCTAATCCATCTGTTCCTCTTCATGAGTCCTTTCCAGTGTATCATCTCAACATCACAGTATATCCAGTAGACAACCAGCCACCTTCCATTGCAATAGGTGACAATGTGTTTTTCTGTTACTGTACCATTATCTGATCTAGTGTCATACCTATGGTTCAGTGAAACAATATATTTTTTTATAATATGAAAAGAAAACCACCATACAGAATTGCCTTTCAGTAATTGCCTCAACACAAATTTGTGGAAAACCCAAATCTGTTAAGATTACAGGGCATAGACTTTACATGTTTGAAAATTTAAATATTTCTGTATGGATAGAGAATACATGCGTTGGTGTGTGTGTGTGTGTGTGTGTGTGTGTGTGTTGGGACAAGGACAACATTGCAATCCTCAAATATTCTGATTTTATTTCACATGGGAAAATATAATTTGCCTGCTGAAGAGAAAGTAATTTATTTTATCCATAACAATATCTATTAGAACAGAATGAGTATAGCAGGGAGACCATTTATATATATTTAACCTTACTTGCTTTTTAGAAAGTCATCTCCTCACAGGCATTATGTATATGTTCTGTCTCTCAGAAAAAAATATAAGCATATGTATGAATGTTACTGTAATTTGCAGACTATCTCCCAAGCAATGTTCTGGAAAGAAAGCATTATCCCAGCAGAATAATTAAGCATCAAGGCATGAAAAATATCTTCTTTATGAGCAATTCATAATAGCTCTCAGGCAATTAACGCTCTGACAAACAGAGGTAACAACTGATCTTGAAGAGTACATAAACTACATTTAGTGGCTTAACATTAAAACAGTTTGGCAATTCCTACTTTCATTTGCCACTTCCATAGAGATATAAGGGAATTCAGAGTTCCTTGAGAATGACTAAAGGGCTGTGCTGGAGCAGTTACTATTTCTGCTGTCTTTCCATTATTGCCTGGCTTACCTGTACAAGAAAAAAATGTAATTCCATAAGTGAAAGTAAATTCACTCATTACCACTCAAGATTTTCACCTTAAAGAGAATTATACCCGAGAAAATGGACATCTCCTATGGAAATGTTTTTGCACATGGTAGCTTCTCTGAACTAGAATTTCAGTTGCTGCATGTAGTCCTACCTAGTCTGTTTAGAGGATTTCATGCTAAGTTGTAATTGTGTTTTTATTTGTATGCAGGTTCCATGTTTGTTGTAGATGAGGGCTGCTCAGCAGCTCTTACCGTTAACCATTTGTCTGCCAGTGACCCTGACACTGCAGCAGATGACTTGGAATTTGTTTTGGTGTCTCCTCCTCAGTTTGGCTACCTCGAAAATATACTCCCTTCTGTGGGTTTTGAAAAAAGCAATATGGGCATAAGTATAGGTAAGTTATAGCTTCATGACCAGCAATGACTCCCTTCATTGTATTTATGGATGTGATTGGCCAGCTCATGCTTAGTAATGGGCTAAGGACTTTCAAAATGTTTAAAATGCTGGGTGTGGCGGCTCATGCCTGTAATCCCAGCACTTTGGGAGATTGAAGTGGGTGGATCACTGGAGGTAAGGAATTTGAGACCAGCCTGACCAACATGTGAAACCCCATCTCTACTAAATACAAAAAATTAGCTGGGCATGGTGGCACATATCTGTAATGCCAGCTACTTGGGACGCTGAGGCAGGACAATTTCTTGAACCCAGGAGATGGAGGTTGCAGTGAGCTGAGATTTCACTATTGTACTCCATCCTGGACAGCAAGAGTGAAACTCCATCTCAAAAAAAAAAAAAGTTTGAAGCACCATATGTATTCAATGAATTATTATTATTACTATTATAGCTGATACTTTTGAATCTTACCATTTTTCATTTTAATTTTTATTCTGAATTTCCCCATGCATGCAAATTTACTTCAAAATAAATGGAATTTTATTTATGAAAAATCCAAGAATAAACATTGATGAGGTAATGGTTTAAAAGGCCCTCATAGCAACACAGGATACCATGATAGAGTAAATCTAGTGGGAGCTCACAAGGTCTCGTCCTCACAACCTTCTAGCACTTTGAATAGGTATTGGAGGAAAGGATGAGGAAATATACTATGGGTATAACAGAGAGAATGCCTGAAATGTTGAAGCAGATGACATTGATTTCAAAACCAAAATGTATCCCAGATACTTAAATAGCTCTTGTATTTCAGGCAAAAACAAACCAACCAAAACAAAAACAGAAAGCAAAAACAAAATCTTCCAAGGACATATAAATGACTCTCCAACCCTCTTTTGAAGAATGTCCATTTTAAATATGAAAGAGACTGAATTTAAGATTAATTGCATTTAATGTTACCCAATTTTTCTTGTGACTTAATGCACATCTTAGAGCATTTTTCTCTTTGGATTTAAGCCATGTCAAAATATCGAAACAGTGGGTTAGCTAATTCCACTCAATCCAACCCGTTGCTTGATATGTATGTCTTAGAGTGGACAGATGATTGATTGACTCTTGTTTTGCCCTTACATGAAGGAAGTGGTCTCTTTTATTCAAGCATGACAGAGAACCATTCATGCAAAAGTAGTCGTTTAATCAAGGGAAGGTCTCTGACATTTATTCTAAGTATCTGAAGTAGTCTTGAAGTCCCTGTGCATACTGGTTAGTAATTATCACTCTTCTGTTCTCCATGCAAATTTGATCCTTCTTTATGATCCGTGGATATCTGCTTTTATGTTGATGGTTGGCTGTTGCAGCAGCCTTTGATAGCAGATATTTAGGTCAACTGCTGTGATCTCTTATTTGCATTCCTGAGAAACTGGCTGTTATTAGGTTAAGGATTAAGGACCAATAACTTGGAAAAATATTTTTCTTATTTATCTGTTCCATCTTGGTGTGCTCTAGATTCATTTCAGTGGAAAGACATGAACGCTTTTCACATTAACTATGTGCAGTCCAGGCATCTGAGGACAGAACCAACTGCCGACCTGTTCACAGTATACGTCACAGATGGGAAGCAACAGTCTGTGGAGATACCATTTTCTATTATCATCAACCCCACAAATGATGAAGCGCCTGACTTTGTAGTGCAGAATATTACTGTAAGAAACATATCCAAATGTTCAATTTCTCTCTTCGTTTTTAATTTTTATTTTCACCTAGTCCATTTACATTGGTCCAAGTACACTGAACACATTTAATTGGTGAGGAGTGGGGAAATCTTTTCATAGGCTGGGCACTCACAACTGTAATCCCAGCTCTTTGAGAGGCCGAGGCAGGCAGATCACAAGGTCAGGAGTTCAAGACCAGACTGACCAAATGGTGAACCCCCGTCTCTACTAAAAAAATACAAAAACTAGCTGGGCCTGGTGACTTGTGCCTGTAATCCCAGCTACTTGGGAGGCTGAGGTAGGAGAATTGCTTGACAGGACCAGGGAGGCAGAGTTGCAATGAGCCTAGGTCACGCCACTGCACTCCAGCCTGGGCAACAGAGCAAGACTGCATCTCAAAAAAAAAAAAAGAAGAAATCTTTTCACATCAATATATAATTCTTTTTAGGCAGTTCTATTTTTTCACAAGAATATTTAACCCAGACATAGGTTGTAACCAATCCTGGGAAATGAAATGAGCATAGGCTTTGGAATCAGAGGGACTTGGGTTCTGCTTTTTACTAGTTGTAGGGTCTTGGGAAAAGAATTTTTCTATTCTTCTTCTGAAAAATGGGCATCAAATCTTTCTTAAGGGGTAGCCGTGATGATTAAGGTAGTTAAGCACAGAGTAGACCCTTAATAAGTGTCATTATTATTATTATTATTATTATTTTTGAGACAGAGTCTCACTCTATCACCCAGGCTGGATGGAGTACAATGGTGGGATCTTGGTTCACTACAACCTCTGCCTCCCTGGTTCAACAATTCTCCTGCCTCAGCCTCCCGAGTTGCTGGGACTACAGGCGCCTGCCATCACACCTGGCTAACTTGTGTATTTTTAGTAGAGACGGAGTTTCACCATATTGGCCAGGCTGGTCTCAAACTCCTGACCTTGTAATCCGCCCACCTCAGCCTCCCAAGGTGCTGGGATTGCAGGCGTATTATTTATGTTAATATTATGTTATATAACTAGTATTATTTATGTTAATATTATGTTTGTCATCTTTTCTCTGATAGTGACCAAAGCACATCTTAGCTATTTTAAGAGAATTATTTTGTCTTATTTTCACAAAAATAATCAAATTCTAAATGTGAAAATCTTTATCTGATTTTAATTTTCGTTTGAATCTTAATGGAACACGAAATTCAGCTCAGCATGCAATGTGAGAGCCAGCTCCTGCCCTTTTACTTTTGTTGGCACATGGGTTTCTCTGGAGAGCCCTTCAGTAATTATGAGAGAGAAAAAAAAGCTTCAGATGATTCCTCCTATATTTACCTTCATTGTCCTGTATTTGCCAGGGTTGGGGCTTCTGAAGTAATTCGACCACTGGGAAGTTGTCCCTTGCTCTTCTCTGGAAGTAGTCATACTTTTATCTGCATTCCCCAGAGAGACTATTGGAGAGTGAAAAATATGAGCCCCGCGTGTTATAGGCAAGGAGACTTTAGGCTTCACATTTTTTTTTTTTTTTTTAGATAACCATATTTTGCTTTCTTGTAGAGAATGTGTTTAGTTTATAGATAGTTGAGCTTACATCAAGTTAATGCTGCAAGAATATTTGAGGTTTTAGTTTAAGTTATTATAATCCATTCCAAACCTTCTACTAATAAGGGTTGGCATTTTATGTATATTGATCCAAAATTTTTGTTGTTCTAATCCCAATAAACTATTCAATCTGCAAGAAACAACCTCACATTTTAGTCACGCTCTATGAAGAAGTATATTACAACATATTTTAAGTTGCTTTATTAAAGTTCTTGGAGAAAAAGGCAAGGTCCTATTTAAGATGTTTTCATAAGTATATCATTGTAAGTTGAACTATGATGCCACCTTAATCTTTAATAAGTAGGGCTAGATAAAAGAAAATCAGTATCCTTTTAGCCCAAGTATCATCTATACCAAGTGATTTTTTTTAACACATGTTCAATAAAACATGATTGCAGGAGGGCACCCTTCAAAGTCAGTAAGAGAAGCTGAAATGAAAGGATGCTTTAGAGACCAGGCACGGTGGTGCATGTCTGTAATCTCAGCACTTTGGGAGGCTGAGACAGGAGGATCCCTTGATCCCCAAAGTTCAAGACCAGCCTGGGCAATGTGGCGAAACCCCATTTCTATAAATAATAAAAATAAATTTAAAAAATGAGCCAGCGTGGTGTCACATGCCTATGGTTCCAGCTACTTGGGAGGCTGAGGTGGGAGGATTGCTTAAGCGGTGGTTGAGTCTGCAATGATTGATCTACTACACTCCAGCCTGGGCAACAGGGAAGAGCATGTGGAAGGAGGGAGGGAGGAAGGAAGGGAGGGAGGGAGGGAGCAAAGGAAAAGGAAGGGAAGGAAGGAGGGAAGGAAGGAAAATACAGGAGTTTTTACTGAGATACAAAAATTAAAACCACAAATATACTTAGTGTATGTAGCAGATATTTGTGCCACTTATAAAGCAGATGGAGAGAGGGAAGGAAGGAGGGAGGGAGGGAGGGAGGGAGGAAGGAAGGAAGGAAGGAAGGAAGGAAGGAAGGAAGGAAGGAAGGAAGGGTGTTTTAATAAATCCAAACCATAAGGAAGAAAGGAAGGGAGGGAGGGAGGGATGGAAGGAGGGAAGGGTGTTTTAACAAATCCGAACCATACATGTCCTTCAAGGCTTAATTGCCTTCTCAGTCATGAAAACATCCTGATGTCTGCCCTTTTGTGATTCTTGTTTATGGATATCTAGCAACACTAAACATTTACTTCCTTGAGTTGTAATTATTGATGGACAAGCCTTTGCAGTCTCACCTGACTTGGATTGTTGAGAATATTTGTATTCCCCACAGCATGTAGCATGGTAACATTGCAGATTACCAACAGGCATGTGTAGAATTTATACACTCTTATTATTTAGGTTTTGCTATATTTCAAAGTAGGAAACAGAAATACTTCTTTGTTCTCGCAATGCTCACTGTGAGAAAAAAAGGTTGAATCAGGAGAGTAACATTGTCAAGTTCTAAATGACTAAATACTACATAAAATTATAAACAGGCGCTTGTCTTTGTGCTTAAAGGATTATAAAACCTGAAGTAGGCATGAGAGGGAATGGGAAGAGTAGTTCAGGAAATTTGGAAGTATGAGAACTGGCGGGAGATGAGGAATCCAGAATTAAAATATACATAATTATGCATCCAGTAGCACCCTTTGTAATTGTTGTTGATTTCAATGGAAATACAGAAGGTTTTACTACAATAACAAAAATAAAAACTATATAATATGCTGAGTGTATGTAGCAGATATTTGTGCCACTTATAAAGCAGACAGAAGCATAAGACTTGTAGAAGCAAGGAGATCCAGGAGGATTGGTTTATGAAGGTAAAGGTTCTAGATTCAGTTTTACAACTGAATTTTTCTGTCAGTTCTTCAAAGCAAGCACTGTCTTTATTGCATTTTCCCCCTGACCTTTGAATTATGAACAATGCATATTTTAAAAATCATATATTTTTTCCTTCATGGAAATGAATAAAGTGCTTTGAAATCTTCAGAAAAAAATGTAAGGGAGATTAATAGATTTGTTGTTTCTTTAACACTCCTAGTAAACCAGCAGTTTCTTTTTAGGATTCATCCTAATCAAGTCTCATAGAAAATTTGAAGTAGGATATATTCAAATAATTTCCTTTGAGCAATTTTCCAAAGAAAGACAAGTTTTCTTTCATGCGTTGCTCACTTCTGTGATGTGTTCTGGCTCAGGTGTGTGAGGGCCAGATGAAAGAGCTGGATTCTTCCATCATCAGAGCCGTGGACCTGGACGTTCCCCAGGATCCCTTGCTGTTCAGCATCACTCAGAAGCCACGCCATGGCATCCTCATCAGTGGAGGGTTTAGCAAAGACTTCTCTGAGAATAAGCAGCCAGCCAACCCTGACCAGAAACGTACACCTGTTCACAACTTTTCCATGGAACTCCTCAAGACTGGTATAGCATGTTCCACTTCTATGCATTTATTATTGTTGATTGAATAATTTAACCCATACTTACATGTGGTATCTAAAAAGGTCAGACCTATATAAGCAGAGAGTAGAATGGTGGTTACCAGAGTCTGAGGGTGGGAGGATTGGGGAGATGTTGGTTAAAGGATATGAAATTTCAGTTAGACCGGAGAAGAACGTTCAAGAGATTCATTGTACAGCATAGTGACAATAGTTAACAATATATTCCATACTTGAAAATTCCTAAGATAGTAAATTTTAAGAGTTCTCACCAAACAAGGAAATAAGTATATAAGGTAATGCATATGTGAATTAGCTTTATTTAACCATTCCACAATGTGGCCGGGTGTGGTGGCTCATGCCTGTAATCACAGCACTTTGGGAGGCCAAGACAGGCAGATCACTTGAGGTCCGGAGTTCAACACCAGCCTGGCCAACATGGCAAAACCCTGTCTCTGCTAAAAATACAAAAATTAGCGGGGTGTGGTGGTACACTTCTGTAATCCCAGCCACTCAGGAGGCCGAGGCACAAGATCTCTTGAGTGTGGGAGGTGGAAGTTGCATTGAGCTGAGATCATGCCACTGCACTCCAGCCTTTCAGCCTGGGTGACAGAGTAAGACTGTCAAAAAACAAACAAGCAAACAATTTCACAATGTATACATGCATCAAAACACCCTGTTATAGATCATAAATATATACAATGTTAATTTGTCAATTAAAAAAGAAAATTTTTTAAATAATTTGACCTAGGAAAGATAATAATAAATCACAGAAATCGGGGGTGAAGAAATAGCTTCACCTACTTTATTCATTTGTCCATCAAGTGCTGTCTCTAGGCCTGGATGAATGGAGGACAGGAAGCTCTAGGTAGAGACAGTAGGTAACTGAAAAGGCAATAACATGTTTTCTTTTACTTTTAGACTCCCATTAAAAATGATATTTGAGTTTTTTTGTATTTTCACTCAAACATTTAATTCTATAATTAAAAAAATTCCCTTTTAAAGCTATTGAGATCATGAAACTACATTTTAAGAGATTTGTCTGCCAAAATTTGCACAGTTGAAACAAATATAGAACCACATAGAATAACACTCATTATTCTCTGAGGGGATAATTTGCTCTTTAGAGAAGTGGCACATTGCATAGCAGCCTGAATTATTTTTTAATTACTCTTTTAAAAATATTGCTCTCATCCCATTTTTCACATATGAAAATGCTTTTAAAAATTTGAGAAAAGCTTGCGGTTCCTGAATGACTGCCTTCTCCCATTGTCCTTCCTTAGGTGATTTTGTTTCCCAGCCTGTGAGGTCCTTCCTGCTCCTTTGCCAGGCTAGCCAAGGCTGTGCCTTCAGAATGCAGCTTTCTGTTAACCTTCCCCTTGAAGCCAACCCAAGGTCTCCAAGCCACTCCTTCTCTGTGCCTGCTTCATTTTAGCACTTATTCAACATTTTCCCAACTGTCTTTTAGTTATTTGTTTCCCCAACTCATGTGTAAGCTTTCTGCCCCGAAGGTTTTTTTTGTAATTGTTGCAAAAATTATCTCAGTTTTAAATTGGAAAAGTACAGCCAGGCATGGTGACTCACGCCTGTAATCCCAGCACTTTGGGAGGCTAAGGCAGGCAGATCACGAGGTCAAGAGATAGAGAGCATCCTGCCCAACATGGTGAAACTCTGTCGCTACTAAAAGTACAAAAATTAGCTGGGCATGGTGGTGCGCACCTGTAGTCCCAGCAACTTGGGAGGCTGAGGTAGGAGAATCGCTTGAACCTGGGAGGCGGAGGTTGCAGTGAGCTAAGATTGCACCAATGTACTCTAGCCTGATGACAGAGCAAGACTCCATCTAGAAAAAAAAAACCCAAAGAATAGTGCATTTATGTATTTCTCAGCATTTGTCAATTGCAAAGAAATACATTCTAGAACATAAAAGATGATATCAAATAAATAACCACATGCTGCAAGTAATAGAATATATTGTTTAAAATATTTATTTTCAAATTTGACCAAGGAAAAAATAATTCAAACTTTATTCTCAAGAAAGTCAATTTTTTAAAAATAACCTTTGTTGGTTATTGTCCAGCTAAATAAGAATTATATGATCATTGTGTACAGTTTGGACACAGTCATTTTGAAGAAAAAAATAAAAATTTCCCACATAAAAATTAGTATTTTAATATTTTGGTGACTTTCTTGGAAATTAGATTTTCACTTCTATTTTATTTGTGGTTGATTTATGGCTATATTTTTAAAAAAGCTTTAGTGTATTCTCATAATCATCCTTCCACACAAATATACAAAGTTTATAAAACTCCTCCATATTATATAATCTGTTTTTCTTTTTACTTTTTTTTTTCTTTTGGAGACAAGGTCTTGCACTGTCACTTGGGCTGGAGTGTAGAGTTGCGCGATCACAGTTCACTGCAGCCTCAACTTCCAAGGCTCAAGCAATCTTCCCACCTCAGCCTCCCAACTAGCTGGGACAACAGGCACAAGCCACCACACACATGACTGACTGAATAAAAAAAAATTGTAGAGACAGTGTTTCCCTATGTTGTCCAAAGGGGCTCAAGTGATTTTCCTGCATTGGCCTTCCAAAGTGCTGGTATTACAGGAGTGGGTCACCATACCTGACCTCTTCTTACTTTTAAAATATTGAGGCCAGGTGTGGAGGCTCATGCATGTAATCCCAGCATTTTGGGAGGCCAAGGCGGGTGGATCACTTGAGGTCAGGAGTTTGAGACCAGCCTGGTCAATGTGGCAAAACTCTGTCTCTACTAAAAGTATAAAAATTAGCCAGGCATGGTGGCACCTGTCTGTAATCCCAGCTACTTGGGAGGCTGAGGCATGAGAATCGCTTGAACCCAGAGGGCAGAGGTTGCAGTGAGCCAAGATCGCGCCACTGCACTCCAGCCTGGGCGACAGAGTGAGACTCTGTCTCAAAAAATTTATTATTATTATTATTGAAAACTTAGCTTTGGATAATTACATTATTAAATCATCATATAGAATTACTGCACTGTAATTTTTAAAAACAGATGACTTTGTTACCCAGGCTGGAGTGAAGTGGTATAATTGTAGCTCACTGCAGCCTCAAAATCCTAGGATCAAGCATTCTTCCCTGTCTCAGCCTCTTGAGCAGCTGTGACTACAGGCATCACATGGCTAGTATTTTTTAAAAAAATTCTTTTGAAGACAGGGTCTCATTATGTTGCCCAAACTGGCCTTGAACTCCTGGCATCAAGCCATCCTCCCACTTCAGCCCCCACAGGTTGGTAGGACTATAGGCACTCACCACTGTACTGGTGCCTGTGCTACAATTTTGTACAACTGTCTCCCAGTTAAAAATATCCAGATAGTTTTCCATTTCCTGGTATTAAAAGTTACATTTCAATAAACATATTATGTAAATCTGGGTGCCCATCTCAGTATTTCAGTAGCTTTGGAGTTAGTTTTCAAAACGGGAAATGTTAGACTTCCAATTTTGTTCCTTTTTGAGTCTGTTTTGGCTGTTCTGAGTCTCTCGAATTTCCATATAAATGTTAGGTAGGTTTTTAAGAATAGCTACATTTTAAATATTTACATTTTGATTTATTAAGAATTTATTTTGGTGATTGGCTCGAGGTAGGAATATAACTCTATAATTTTTTTCCAAGTGATTAACTTTCTCAGTTTTATTTAAATACCCTGCACATTTGTTTATATAGTTTATTTAAAAATATATTCTTTCCTAACTGGTTTTAAATAATATCCTTAATCAAATACTAAATTATTTAAATAAAAAGTCTTTAATAGGCTAAGAAGGCACTCTTTTACTTCAAAAAACAAGTTTAGTTTCACCCTACTGCACTGATAAATGAACTCTTGCTAATACCCATGCCTTGAAAATTAAGACATTATCTGTGATATATGTCATGATGGTTCAATCATAAGGAAGATTTACTTACTTTTTTCTTCTTTCAGGAATGAGGTTGACATATGTGCACGATGACTCAGAGAGCCTTGCTGATGATTTTACAATCCAGTTGTCAGATGGGAAACATAAGACACTTAAAACCATTTCAGTACAGATCACCCCAGTTAATGATGAAAAACCAATGCTGAGCAAGTAAGCTACCTGAAAAGAGTCCCTTTCAGATTTCTGTACAATTCTGTGAAATTCATAATACTAGGTACAGATGTGGTGTGTGTCTCCCAGAGAAGCAAGTCTTCACTAGTTCCTATCACAGCTTGCCCCTGACACTCAGGCATGAGGAGCCTTTAGTGAAAATGTTAGTTAAGGTAACCTCTCCTTAACAGTCAGCCCTTTAATTGATTTTCTTTTAAACATACTTATTAGTTGTAAAGAATAAGAATGAGTGAACATACAGTATGGAATGAACAGTCTATTAAACTTATAAATACAGGCACATACACAAACATGACTGCACATATACCAAAGTGCAACTAATACATAGATTCAACTAAAGTCTCATAACATTAATTGTAGACAGTCCTTACAACAGATTTGCCGAAACTTTTAACTGAGTGTGGCTGAGGGAAATAAATCAACCCATTTCTTTCATTATCTTGGTACCTTTTTGTTCACCAGTCCTCTACTATGTTCCATATGGCTCAACGCCCCCTGCCACCTCACAGTGATCGAAATGATCATTTTTCTAAAATCCTGAGCTGATATTATTAATTGTAAACTTTCTCAGTATCTCCTGGTAGTCTATTCTCAGTATCTCCTTATAGTCTGTTCTCACACTGTTATAAGGACATACCCAAGACTGAGGAACTTATAAAGAAAAGAGGCTTAATTTACTCACAGCTCTGCAGTGAGGGTCCTAGATTACCTAAATATCACCTAACTCAGAATGACAGATCATCACCGGCACTGGAACGTCTGTAGGCCAGTCATTAAATCTTTTCAAATGAGTTTCTGTCTGTAAAATTGGAACACTCATACCTAGCCCTCTTACTTCATGGAGTTGTTTTTGTGAGTGTAAAATGAAATACTGGAAACAAGATTATTTTATAGAATACATGATAACTTACAATATTGTAAAGTTCAGTACATGTAATCAATTAGAGGTGCCTAATTACCTCTTCCCACATTCATTGGGGCTGACCCATTGTCTTTTCAGACTTTCACAAGTAAGGATAGAGAGCCTGTTTCGTGCCTCTCACTAGTCACCTTCAGTGCTTTGAATATTGAATATCATTCTTTAATTGTTGAAGATTGGAAACTGAGAATCAATATAAGTGTCCCCTACTAAAGGAACATATTCTATTTTTATATCAACCCAGACATTTTTCGTTTTACAGGAAGGCTGAAATTGCAATGAATATGGGGGAAACTCGTATTATTTCTAGTGCTATTCTTTCCGCCATAGATGAAGACTCACCCAGGGAGAAGATTTACTATGTATTTGAAAGGCTTCCCCAAAATGGGCAACTTCAGCTTAAGGTTAGTGACTTTTTACTTTTATTTTTCAAAACTAATGTAGCAGGTATAAATCTTCTCATTATACACATTTCTATGATGGGATTTCTTCTCTGATAGCCATACATTTTCCCAGAAGTAAATAATTTAATTTTATTAGTTTAGAGTAAATTCATGGTGTTCTAAAGTTTCTTTGTCAACATGGGTTAAATTCAACAAATATTAAGATTCTTCACTGCTCCCTCTCCCATAAAGTTATCCCTGAATTCTGAGGAGGGGAATTACTGGGGTAAAACAAGCTGTCTGCTTTCTGAGGATAATCCAGACTTTTCTGAGATTTCTTCATTTCTACTAGATTTTTGATTTGTGATTCTTGTAACTGTCCTCTTTAGCATCCATAATCTCAATGATAAAACTCCTTCAGTTCTACAGTCTCTATCGTTCTCTTAATCTCTCTCTCTCTCTGTATTTCAGCTAGATTCTAGATCATTCTCAGGAACATGAAAACTTTCATTATTCTTTCATGATAGTAAGGTACAGGGAAATTTGGAGGGCTGCCTCTAGCTCCTTTGTCCCTAATGGTCTCATTAAAACATTATCTGAATCCCAGCACTTTGGGAAGCCAAGGTAGGCAGATCACGAGCTCAGGAGATCCAGACCATCCTGGGCAACATGGTGAAACCCCATCTCTACTAAAAATATAAAAATTAGCCGGACGTGGCAGCATACACCTGTAGTCCCAGCTACTCGGGAGGCTGAGGCAGGAGAATTGTTTGAACCCAGGAGGCAGAAGCTTCAGTGAGCAGAGATTGCACCACTGCACTCCAGCCTGGGTGACAGAGTTAGACTGTCTCAAAAAAAAAAAAAAAAACCCAAACATTATCTGAGTAATATCACCTCCTGCCTTCTCAATGATTTGCCACAGTGAGCATCTTTCTTTCTTTCTTTCCTTCCTTCCTTCCGATTCTCATCTTCCTTTCTTTGTTCCTTCCTATGTCTTCCCTGGGGAGACTACTTACTCCACAAACAATATACCAAATTGTTCTGTGTTCTATCTGACATGAACTTAAAAGATAAAAGGTTGGTGTCTTGGTCCCACAGCAGCCCCACCTCCCCTTGCAGCACCAGAGCCCTTATGTTAAGGTTCAGATGGGCAAAGTCTTGAACCAAAAAGTCAGTGTGGGAAGAAACCTCATGTGGGAGTCGTCCCATCCTGCTAGCATCTAACATATTTTAACACCTGCCAAATTTGATTCCCATGAACTGCGTGACACCATAAATTAACATTCCTGAAATTGTATATGTTCCACAAATTAGATGCTTTAATGGAAAGCAAATAAGCATGGAAACAATAAAGTGATACTAGGGGTATGGTCACCTGGGTTCTACTGCTGACTCTTTCAATAGCTTGCTTTGTGGTTTGGTAAAATGTCCTTGTTTCACTTTAGGCCTAGAATAGCAAAATTTCAATCTGATTCAGACTGTGTGCATGATGCCCAAGGATCAGCCCAACACGAATTATATAGATCAGTCACCTGAGAAGGTCAGCTGAGTCATCAGTCCAAATGTTTATTTCAGTGGTGGATTAAGACTAGCAACCACAACCACCAACCGTCCCCTGTGCAATTATTTGACGGAATGCTTAACTTTTCATCTAATGGAGGCACAGTCCTAGAAAAGCAGCAAGAATTCATTCTGTGTGGAACAGCTTGATTGTCATAGATTGTAGGCACCATAGAGAATCAGAGTGAAGAGCAATCACTGATTTAAATTGAGGTACAGCTGTGTCCTTATTTCATTTCAAAGAGTAATGAAGCAGAAATGCAGTGAAAGCTCACACATTTGGGTGGCTTGGGAACGGAACTGTTTTGGATATGTGAACATGCAGATGGGTCCAGGTTCCCAGTATGGCGCCACACAGTTCTCTCCCAGCTCCCTAGCAGTTCTCTGAGTCTTTCCAAGACCAAGGACCAGGACTCCAGCCCTCCTGGACTTTCCCAAGTTCTCGTTTTCTTGTTGACTTTTCTTAGATGCCCCATCTTGAATCTGACTTTTATTTTCTTTCTATTTCTGGGTCTTCAAATGATTATATTAAGTCAATCTCACATTTGGGGATGCCAGTGAGGAATTACATGGAGACAAGAGAAAGGGGAAGATGTCTTCTTCTATACTTATTCCCTTAGGCAAGATACAGAAAGGAGAAAATGTTAAATAGAATTGTAGGCTTTCCTGTTTAAAACCTGAAAGAGACTGTTTTAAAAATTACATCGGCAAATAGATCTTATGGAAACAAACACTAGCTTTACACAGAACATGTCTACAAACATCAAATGGACACACATATTACAGAGACAGAAACATTATCAAGTAGAATGACACAAAGGCAAGTGGTAGCACAATCAGTGAGGAGGAGGACAGAGCTCTTTTGCCAGGAACTGGGAGTCTGTGGAATAATGTATCAAGGGTAATAAAAAGGAAATGATTTAAATTTCTGTTTTAGACTCTTAAATTAGACAGTAAAACTACAAGATAATATCATATAATAAATTTCAAGATGACTTTTTAAAAGAATATGTCTAATGACTTTTTATGAGCCATTCCCAGGGAAAGCTATGTGCCTTACATGAATAATAATAGGATTATTAATAAGATAATAGATTTATGATTACATTTTATAATACTGTCAGATGTTAGCCACCCCCCTCAGCATAAAAACCTTTTTAAATTGAAAATGCCACGATTTCTGTACCATGTTCTGTACAAAATATATGCTTAACGAATGTGGGCTTACTTTTAGAAGATTCTGATAAAAATCATATATGATATTTGCAGTTTATATCTTTTGATGACATAGGATATAAATGTAGGGAGTGACAGTGATCCCCATCATTTTCTTTCTTTAGTATGGCTGGAAACATACTGGCAAGTAAATGCATCTGTTCTATTTTTGTTTTGTCTACTTCAGATAAGCCCAGTAATGAGCCATGTTGTAAAAATATATATTTGATTAGTTGAACAATGAAAAAATGGAAACTCTAAAAGAAACACATTTAATTTCTAAAGAACCCATTCCAAGAGCTCGATTACCCACCTGCTCTCATTAATTGGAATATTTAATCAGCTGTGATTGCTTATGATAAATACCTTTGAAGTAACAATGCTGTTATATTGTTTGACTTTGTCTGAAACCCTTTGGTTGAAGCTAGTGTTTTTCCAAGGTCTCAGATTAACTTGATACACTTCTTTGAAAAGAAAAAGATAAGGTAGAGTGGCAAAAAGTAGTCTGGAATTTCCCTGACATATCGTTTCTATTGGAGGCTTTCAGGGGATACGGAAAATGTCCACTAACATATGTTGGGGCTAAAGAAAAAAACATGGGCAGCTGACTAACTCTGGCTCTTTTCAGATAGGGAGGGACTGGGTTCCTCTCTCCCCTGGCATGAGATGCACTCAGAAGGAAGTGGATCTGAACTTGCTGAGATACGCACATACTGGGGCAATGGATTCCCAGAATCGGGATAGCTTCACCTTCTATCTTTGGGATGGCGACAACAGGTCCCCTGCTCTTGACTGTCAAATCACCATCAAGGACATAGAAAAAGGTAAAAGCAGGTCTACCAAGGTTTATTGGGATAAACTTTTATCACTGGTATAAGCATTCAACATTTGTTTCTTTCTCCCTCTTTCCCTCCCTTCTTTCCTTTTTTCCTTTCATTCTTCATCTTTGAAATTCTGTCATTTATATTTAGATCCTTTGGATTCTCACATGCTTTGGCCAGAACCTATACAGTTCACAGGAGTAGCTAATCCATTTGTTATTTTCATCATTTCAAAAAGTTTACTGGAAATTCAGTATTGCAAACAATATGGCTATCCAGGCTACTTTAACTGTTAGGAGTTTTAGCTTTAAGTAAAGTTTTACCAAATAGATGTGATAACTCTAGTTTTATCTTCAGGAAGTAAACTATCACTGGAAAATGGAGTTTCAAAGGAAAGTACTTCTAAATGGTAATAATAAATGAAAAATACATTTTAAATTTAAAAATAATAGGGATAAACTTTGTCATTGGAAAGGCTGGAAGTTGTTGCTTCTTTCACTTTGAAAGTGCTAACACATGATGGGATTGTAAATTAGTTCAACCATTGTGGAAGACAGTGTGGCAATTCCTCAAGGATCTAGAAATAGAAATACCATTTGACCCAGCAATCCCATTACTGGGTATATACCCAAAGAATTATAAATCATTCTACTACAAAGACACATGCACACATATGTTTATTGTGGCACTGTTCACAATAGCAAAGACTTGGAACCAACACAAATGTCCATCAATGATAGACTGCGTAAAGAAAATGTGGCACATATACACCATGGAATACCATGCAGCCATAAAAAAGGATGAATTCATGTCCTTTGCAGGGACATGGATGAAGCTAGAAACCATCATTCTCAGCAAACTGACACAAGAACAGAAAGCCAAACACCACATGTTCTCACTCAAAAGTGGATGTTGAATAATGAGAGCACCCAGAAAGACCGAGGGGAGCATCACACACCAGGGCTTGGGGTATGGGGGACTAAGGGAGGACTAGCAGAGGGTGGGGGGATTGGGAAGTGATAGCATTAGGAGAAATACCTAATGTGGATGATGGGGCTATGGAGGCAGCAAACCACCACGGCACATGTATACCTATGTAACAAACCTGCACGATCTGCACATGTACCCCAGAACTTAAAGTATAATACTACTAATAAAAAGAAAGTGCTAACACATACTCTTTGGGAACAAGGAAAGACATTATAAGATAAGCTTCTCATGAATTAATTAAGCATGAACGGGGGAGAGTTAAATGGTAGATGGAGGACAGTTTTTTTTAAAAAAAGCTCAGCAAGGGAGAGTATAAGCCCTTGATATGCAACTGTCACTACCCGGTAAGTTTGCTTCAGCTTATGGGAGGGGGGTGAGGATCATATCTTATTTATCTGTATTATCCCAGGATTTATATATTCCCAGGATGAAGCATAATCTTAGATTCTTAGTACATGCTTGATTGACAAAATGCTTCCCTTTTTTTGTGTTGGCTGCCAGGAAGCTCAGAGGTAAATTGAATGCTTAAGTGCAGTAAAAAAAATTAAGTGTGGCAGAATTATAATTGTCCTAAGCTTTTCAAAAAGTGAGTCATTTTGATTTGTTTTGAGATGTTTACTCTGAGCTATGTAATAATATATTTTATTTGCTTATTTCCTAGTTGTAAAATGTGTTCCTTAAAGAAGGCTAATAAATGATTTCAGATAAGCTAGATGTTACCGTTCACATTTATCTCTCCCTGCAAAACAACTATGTCCATCATAAATATATGTCCAGGCAAAATGTAACACAAATAATATATTAGGGCAGACAACTGGTGTATTCTCACTGGCTCAGCGCAACACAGTTTTACAGTGATATGGGAGAACCTGTTCCACATAGTCATCTGGGGGCTCTTTATATCTACACATTCCCTTATTCTGAAGGTGTTCCAGTCATACAGGGAGTGAGATATGGAAGAAAATTAGGGGATGTCATGCCCTAGGTGTGAAGGTTGTATACCTCTCATATACATTCTAGTGGCTGAATCACAGTCATATGCCACATTAAGAGAGGCCAGCAATAGAAACTTTAGCTTTGTGCCCAGGAAGAAAGAAAATAAGGTTGGCTAATGCATTGCCAGACTCTGCTGCATTTGACATGTGATGATTTTCTAAAAGGATTTTTTGAAAACTTATGCAAAGTGGACACATTAACCTGTAAACATTTTCGGTTCAAATTTTTTCTTCTTTATGTCTTCTTGCAAAATGGTGTTTTATCACTTTTTTTAAACATGATTTTTTTCATGTTGCTGCATAACTTTGTAGCTGTAATTATCTCTAAACAAGACTATACTGAATAGTTGATTTAAGCATAACCTTAAAATTGAGCATTTGAGAGTTTCCATTTGAGAGCTGTTATCTACAACATTAAGCTTCCCAATTGCTGTGTCTTCTGATTTGCACAGTGGCACAAATGATGTTGAGATCTTTCAGAGAAGTTTAGGAGGACGTTGTCAATAGTTGACTCCAACCTATACTCTGCCCTTACAGTGCTGAAAAATTGCATCACGGCAAGAGCCAGTTGCTCCTCCTCCCCTCAGAGCTATTTCCTGCTCCTGGTGAAATGTCTTGTGGGTGCTTTTTGTTTCCCCCGTCTAGTTCATTCTTCTTACTTCCTTAATGTGTTCATCTTGCTTCTCTCTGTAGCATCTGTGGCTAAGGTTTTGATTTAAATTTAGAATGATCTTTGATTCTATGTAGGATTGAAGTTGCATGGCATTTTGAAAATAAAAGCACAGTGTACGAACAGACCCAATTTAGTAATCTGAAACAGCGTTTCCCAGTCATGGCCTTATTGACATTTTGGGATGGAGGATTCTTTGTCGCAGGGGACTCCCTTGTGCACTGTAAAATGGTTAGCAGCATCCCAGACCTCTGCCCTCTAGAAGCCAATAGCAACTCCCAGTTATGACAACCAAAAATGTCTCTAGACATTACCAAATGTCCCTTGGTGATCAAAACTGCCTGTCATTGAGAACCACTGGTTAAAATTATACCGCCTTGATGGTTTATTTGTATTTCTTATTTCCTCAGGAGACTGAATATCTTAAAAATTTTTTTTTGGCCACTTGTGTTTTTAAATTCAGAAGTGGCTTTGCGTTTACATCATGCGTTTTTCTTTTTGGATATTCATCCTTTTAGTATTAGTTTGTAAGAACTCCCTAGATATTAAACACAGGGAACAAAATAATGCAGTGTTGAAGAACTTGTGCTCTGGAGTCAGATGGCTTGAATACAGATTCTCACTGTCTTTTATTAAATGTGTAACACGAGCCAGTTAGTTAACATTTCTATACCTTAGTTTCCCCATTTATAATCTGGGGATATGAGAAGACCATATCTCACAAGATTGGTGTGAAGGTGTAAGAGCCCTTAGTTCTGTACCTGACACAGAGTGGAAGCTCTATATGATCATTTTTTAATGGACCTCAGGTGAACAAAATTGAATTATAATCCCTAGTTTGTGAAAACTGTATTATTCCTCCATGTGTGACCCACTTCTACCTTCGTCAGTCATACATTAAAAAAAAATAGTGATGAAATATGCATAACACAAAATATACTGTCTTAGCCATTTTTAAGTGTACCAGTTCATAGTGTTAAATATATGCATGTTGTTGTCCATACAATCTCCAGATTGTTTTTTTGTTGTTGAGATTGAGTGTTGCTCTGTCACTCAGGCTGGAGTGCAGTGGCGCAATCTCAGCTCACTGCAATCTCTGCCCCCCGGTTCAAGTGGTTCTCCTGCCTCAGCCCCCCAGGTAGCTTGGACTACAGGCGTACACCACCATGCCCAGCTAAGTTTTGTTATTTTAGTAGAGATGGGATTTCACCATGTTGGCCAGGATGGTCTCCTGACTTCATGATCTGCCTGCCTCGGCCTCCCAAAGTGCTGGGATTACAGGCGTATGCCAATGCGCCTGGCCCCAGAATTTTTTCATCTCAGAAAACAAAAAGTCTATATCCATTAAATAACTATCCATTTTTCTCTCCTTGGCAACCCTTGTTCTGTCCCTATGAGTTTACTCTAGGTACTTCACATATGTGGAATCATATAGTACATATCTTTTCATGACTAGCTTCTTTCACTTAGCATAATGCCCTCATGGTTCATACATGTTGTAGCATGTGCCAGGACTTCCTTCCTTTTTAAGGCCGAATGATATTACATTGTATGTGTAGATCACATTTTGTTTATCCACTCATCCGTTGAGAGGCACTTGGGTCGCTTGCATCTCTTGGCTATTGTGAATAATGCTGCTATGAATATGGTTGTATAAATATACATTTAAAAGTATCTTATGAACATTTGTGCAACTACCACACAATTGAAGGACTGGAATATTAATAATAGACATCTTCCTATATTCTCCAGAAAAAGATACCATCCTAAATTTTGTATTACTTTCTTATATTTGTTTATCATTTTCTTGGCCTTCTCATAGAACCAATGAATGTTAATAAACTACATCTGTCTTGTTCCATGAAGCTGTAGTTCATTCATTTTGCTACTGCATGAAATTCAGTTGTGTGAATAGAACATAGTTTGTGTATACTTTCACTTTTTGAAAAGGCATTTGGGTTGTGTGTAATGTTTTCAGTTACTGACAGTGCTGCAGTGACCACTTGGGTGCATGTCTCCAGGGGTAGCAGGGCAAATGTTTCTTTCAAGTACACAGCTGGGGTGGAATTGCTGGGTCAAGGCATACATGAACATTCAGCTCTTTACAAAATAATGCCAAATCTTGTACCAATTTACACTCTCTTCAAAATTGTATGCAAGATTCTGTTGATCTATGTCTTCTTCAACACTTTGTACAGTCAGGCTTCTACATCCTTGCCAATCAAAAAGTTATGAGATGACAGTTTATCATATTTCTGTAATTACTAATGAGATTGAGCATTTAAAATGATCTTTACAGGCCACCTGAATTTCTTTTGTAAAATATATGCTCATGTCTTTGGGTTAATTATTTTTATTCATAATAGTTATATAAACCTTTCTATGTCATATTAGTTTTGATTTTTATACAGTTTTGGCCTCTGTTTTCTGCCTTTGCCTTGGACATAATATATTTTTTAATATGGTTCTTGGCTATAACCTCTTATATCATGTAGGTGATATTGTCATCTTTACAAAACCACTTGTGGTGTCTAAGGGTGACAGAGGTTTCTTAACGACCACCAGTCTCCTGGCTGTAGATGGGACAGACAAGCCTGAGGAACTGCAATATGTCATCACCTCCCCTCCACGATATGGCCAGGTCGAATATGTCCGCTATCCTGGAGTTCCCATTACAAGTTTCAGCCAAATGGATATAGCCGGGCAGACAGTTTGCTACGTACACAAGAGCAAGGTGACTGTCTCCAGTGACAGATTCAGGTGAGCCCCATGGAGACTTTTCAAACCCCTTCTTTGGATTAATACTTACAGAAAAGGAGATCTGTTAATGTGCTTCACTATAGTAACCATTTTACAAAATGTGTGTATCTTATAACATCATGTTGTACACCTTAAATATATAGAATGAAATTTATTTTTTAAAAAAAGGAAAGGAAAGGAGAAAAAAATGAGTCATTTCAGCTCTGGTGCAGCTATGTTTTTCTTTTACTGCCTTGCTGTATGTAAGGTGAAGCCACACAGTTAAAATGACAGCAGTAAAGCAAGAAATTATGGCCTGTTATCGAAAAATAAACACAGTAAACAGATCCTAATGCAAGTTCTGCTACAAGGAGAGATGTGAAGAGCTGAGGCTCCCAGCTAAAGATGGACCTGGAAAAGTAATTTCCCTCTTTTGGGAGTATGTTTTTCTGTCTGACAAAAAGGCATTTATTAGTAAACATTTGGCATAAGCAGACACTGCCTTTTGACACAATGTGTTCTGGTAACTATATCATAAATCATGTTGTCATAAAGTAGATCATATTTTCCCATAGAAACAATGTGATAATTGGGAACTGTGCACCTGTTCTAGAATTCTGTATCAAATAAATCATTGGAATGAATAACAATCTGGTGAAAAGGCAAAGATACAACATTAATGAAAATCTACATTCATTTAAAATATGGAAATTTATTTCAAGTCACATAAAGCAAGAGCAACTCTGGAAGATCTATAATCTCACAGCTCTCAAAGCTGGCTGAACCTGAGGTCCTGGAGAGAAACACAGGTCACAACGCCAGGCATCAGGACTGGGAAATGTTGGACTTTGAGGGAACCATTGTACACAATCCAGTTTTGAGTTTTGTCAATTCATAAGGAGGACCTGAGACCATTGGTTTGTTTATTGTACACCCATACTTTTGGCTCCTGGTACAGTTTTCACCATGACACAATACAGTCTTCTAAAGAGCACTATAAAATGACATAAACGGAGCATATTCCTATATTGTTCAGTGGGTCCCCATAAACTATCAAGTATCACTGACACACCCATGTTCAGATATCACTGTCCTCTATCTCACTTTTACCTATCTAAATTCAATATATCTGCTCTGACAAACACTGGTTAAATGTCAGGAAAGAGGATGTTGCTTGCCTTTTTAGCTCTAAAATGATTTTTGGAAGCTGACTTGGATAATCCAACAAAATGAGCAATCCCAGAAAGCTGGAACTAATACCTTATTTGTTTCTCTTGATAAATGTCCCTTAACAAGCAGATAATCATTTAGTTGACCAATATCTTAACTAGTTCAGTCCTTGAGTGTTGCTAGGTATTCACTAAAAAGTGAGATGTAGGAATTCCTTTTCAAGCCAGCTCTTTTGTTTGAGAGGTGGAATAGCGAAGTTAAGATACAGGCGTGGGAGCAAGAACTGCCTGAGTGACTCACAACTCTGTGACCTTCATCAGGTTACACAACCTTCTATGCTCTTGTTTCCTCTTCTGTGAAATGGATTGATGCTCACAGCACCTGCCTCACAAGGTTGTGGGAAGTTTATATGAGCTTATGCACATAAAGCATTAGTAGAACAACACCTCACACATAGGAAGAACTAAGTAACTGTTAGCTACTATTATTGTTGTCATTATGTCCTTGCCTTGACTGCCTTCTTACTTCCAATAGTTACAACAGCAAGCATGGTCTTGAAGGAGGAAAGGAGTTACTGAGAGGAGCAATGACTGTTCTTTTTTTCCTGTTTGCTAATGGAGGCTGGGTGCTTCTTGGCTTAATACATTTGTATCAGATCCAGGGCTTTTAATTTTACACTCATTTCTGGAACTTCTAGCTTCTTTCCCTTCCTGCTTCCCTCTGTCAATGCCCACAGGACAGTCTGCTGAAGACATTAGTAACTGTCTTGAAGAAACCAGTGACCTTGTTGGAGAACACAGGAATGAATGCATAAAGATGTTGAGAAATGAAAGTTAGGTATTAATCGAGTGGTGAGAATGAAGAACAAAACCTCCACATGTAAGGACTGGCGATAACTGTAAAAATTTCCTAATTCACATCCAGAGAAAGTGATATTAGATGGCATTTTAGAAATGATTTATCCCAGGAATTTCTACATTTTTAGATCCTCAGAGAATTGCCAGAGAGAACTACAAAATGCAAATTTTTGGGCCTTACCCCAGAGAGGCAACTTTGGTAAGTCCAGTCTCAGGCCCAGAAATCCGTGTTGTTGAAAGGTATCTTCAGGTAATTCTGATGGAGTCAGGACTAGCCATCAATGGTCTGGTCTAGTCTGTTGTTCTGAATATGTTCTGAGGAACCTCAAGAATTTATGGAAGTTGAGGCTGCATGTGGTGGCTCACGCCTGTAATCCCAGCACTTTGGGAGGCCAAGGTGGGTGGATCATCTGAGGTCAGGAGTTTGAGACCAGCCTGGTCAACATAGTGAAACCCTCTCTCTACTAAAAATATAAAAAATTAGCCAGGAGTGGTGGTGGGCACCTATAATTCCAGCTACTCAGCAGGCTGAGGCATGAAAATCATTTAAACCCAGGAGGCAAAAGTTGCTATGAGCCAAGATCATGCCACTGCACTCCAGCCTCGGTGAGAGAGCGAAACTCCGCAAAAAAATAAAAAGAAAGAAATAATTAAGAATTTATGGAAGCCTTTTAGGGCTTCCCAGAGATAAAGAGCTGAATTGAGGTTCTAGGGCCTTCAGCCCAATGTACTAATGGAACGTAGGTGTGTGTTTTATGTGTGAGTGTGTGTGGATGTTAATGCTTTGTTTTCTAGTTTGTTTTGCATGCTGGGCTTCCAGGCAAGGTGTTCTTTTAGCAAAAAGGCTGTGATGCCTTAACAGATTGGTATTAATATGTTTCTATCAGCTCTTCATATTTACTATTTTCCTCTCCTAACAGAGAAAGTACAAACCACAGGCCCCAACCATTGGGCAACTATATTTACCAAGCATGAAAAATACTGTTTTCTTGTATTTAGTTTAATAGTATTTATAGTGTTCAGTTTTTAGTAGTAAAAGCTTTCCTTTAAATACACTGATTTAAGTTAAAAATTGAATTGATAGAAAGCAAACTGGTAAATAATAAGTGTACACATAGTACAGGCATGTGGCAAAGATATGGTGGTGTTTCAATGACTCAAAATTAGGAAACAAGGTTTTAGGGAGAAAGCAAATAACAAAGGCCAAACAGCATTGATTTGGTCCAATCCCTTATTTACACGTAGGAAAGTTGGCATTGCTTGAACACCTGCAGTGCATCAGAGAATGACTTGGACTCTTTTTTCATATGTCATTTTCCTTAAGCCTTATGCCACCACCTTGCAAGAGATGCAATAGTGTTCCCATTTTACATATGAGAAAACCAAGGATCCAAGAGGCACAGGAAGTCACCTACACTCACATAACTGAGTATCACTGCTGAATTTGGGGCTCAGAGCTCATTTCCAGGGGAAGATTCTTTCCATTATACCTCATTGTACCAAAAATTTGTAGAGAATATGCATTTGTATGAAGGAACCTCCTCAATGTGTCATTCTGATATTTGGCCAGCAGTTTTACATATTTATAATGGAAGAGCCTAGCATCTGCCCAAGACCCAAATTTTAATCTTGTCATTTCACTAACCCAATCATGGATTGCTGTGTTGTTTGTCAAGTGGCGCTAAACCAAAGCTGAAAGCCTGTTTTAATGAAAGTGTGATCATAGTGCTTTTTAAAAATTAAATATATGCAACCAATCTAATCACCTAAATTTATGTTGCTTGCTGTCAAATTTGGCAAGGAATTTGGCTGGGTAGAAGAGATAAATTTTGTGGCAGAGGATTTTTCCCCCTTCCCTTTTTAATGTAAGCTATGGCAGCATTAATTAAATGGGGAAGTTTAATAGTCAGATTTTACCTTCTGCAAAAATATTTTGTGAATCATAAATTCTCCTGCATTGTTTGGTGCTGCTGGCCTGGAAGAAAGATTTGGCAGCATGTTCTAGGACAGATGACACCGAGTGATTAGCAAGCTGACTTCAGCTGCTGGCAGCCGGGTACTAAAAGAACATGCTAATGTCCTCCATTTTGACATGCCGGCTGGACTTTTTTTTTTTTTTTCTGAGGAGCTGGCGCTATTTATGATTCCATTTTTATCTCTTAAATGCCATGACAGATGGCAGCTTCTTCAGCCAACTCTATTGCCAGGCAATGCAGAAAGCTTGAAAGCACCGTGGTAATGGTGAAATCAGACCAGGCAGGCACCCCAGACAAATCTGAGAGTCATTCCCCAAATTTCATGAGAACGGTGGTCATCTTGGCTGCATCTCTTCTCAGGGGGATGTATTAAGGGAAATTAAACAAATGGACCCACAGAAGGAGCTGCTACCGCCAACTTCTTCACCTCAGAATGGACACCAACACAGCAATGACTTTGTGGTTTTAAACCTGGAGAATATATTTGGAGGATTTGGGGAGGAGGTATTTGGAAGAGCTTCTGATCGGTCAGCTTTTGCAGACATGAACAGCACTGACCTTGTTTCACTTGTTCTGCTAGCTTTATTTTGACTGGGAACCCAACCATAACCATTCACTCTGTCTCTCTCTGATAATGTCTCTCTGCCTGTGAGTAGTTTGCACTGTTACTTGTGAAAGTGGAATGATGTATTTGATCCAGTCATGTTTAGAAATGGCATCCTTTTCACCCCTGGCTTATTAGCTTTAGGTCAGCACAGACAGCTGCCCCAGTGTCCCAGATGGGAGCAGTGGCCTCAGAAAACATATTTCTTACTCTTCTGTGGTCTGTGGCCTGCGTGCTCTCGCTCCCATCTGTCTAATGGCAGGCTGCCTGTTTCCAATGTGGGCAGATCGCCATCATCTGGCAGGGAGGGGTTTGAGATGGACAACCCCGATCATAAGACAACTTCAGTGACCTCAGAAAGGTCATGCACGCATCGAATAGATGTGGCCGTCCTGAGATGAGCTTTGAGGACCCCGTAAGGCATTTTTGCAATTTAGTCTCCAGAGAGGAAAATCAGAATTCGATATTCAAGATGGCCGCCTCTGATGGAGTCCCTGGCACTCACTCGAGTTCTCATTTGACTTTGTTGCCTTGTTCCCAACTCTTCCCGTTTTCTTCTTCCTTTTCTGCTATTTGACATACTTTCAATAGTGCACAATGTCTATAGCTCTGCAATTAACGCTAATGCTAAAAATACACGTCCTTTGGCTTACATTTGCACTAACGTACCAATGGCTGATTTAACACTCTCCACAGAGCACATTTGATACAGGGATCTGGTAAGGAATAGAGAGCCAGTTTATTTGTGAAACGGGGTAGAATGAGAGGTGTGAAACATATTTCTGGAGGGGGAAAATGGGAAAAAGGGAACTTAGAGGCACTGAAGGAGCATCCTTATTTTATCGTGGATCAGATGATAGGATTAAGGGGAATATGAAAAAATAACAGAAAAACAATAGACTAAAGGCGGAATTCTGTGAAAGGCTCTGCCTGAGAAATAAAGCATAATTTTATACCTAAAATGTATATATCAATGGACTTTTGAAACTGTGGAGGTGACTAAGTAAAAAGTTTGAAGCACAGACATATTTTTCTAGGTTCCTTTTTTTTTCTTTTCTTTTTTTAAGATGGGGTTTTGCCATGTTGCCCAGGCTGGTCTCAAACTCCTGAGCTTGAGTGCTTCACACACCCCAGCCTCCCAGAGTGTGTGCAGGACTATAGACATGAGTCACTGCACCTGATCTCTTTTTCTTTTCTCTTTCTTTCTCTCTCTTCTCTCTCTTTCTTTCTCCTTCCTTCTTTCCTTTTTTTCTTTTTCTTTTTTTTTCCAGGATCTCTATCTATGTGGCCCAGGCTGGAGTACAGTGGCACATTCATGGCTCACTGTAGCCTCGACCTCCCAGGATCAAGTGATCCTCCCACCTCAGCCTGCCAAGGTACTGGGTTTATAGGTGTGAGCCCCTGCACCGGCCTCTTTTTAAAATAAATAATTGATTTTATAAACACCTCATGGTCCAGTGATGAAATGGCCCAATTTGCTAAAAATATACTTATCAAAGGTTTAGTTTTATCAAAGAAAAACTGATTGGTTTGTTTTAAGGCAACTATGTGATTTTGCTCAATCTGTCATTCTAAAGGTAGTTGAATACCTTTATTCAAACTGTGAAAAACAATGCTGTGGGAGAAATAAATCAGGTTTCATTCTCTACAAGTCTAGCTGTGTGAAATGTCAAAATTCATTTGTTGTATTTCGCTTAGCAATTTTAACTTTTTGGACATAGATTTCTTTTTCTTTGTATCACATCAGACCCATTTTTCTTGTTGGCAGTCTTATTAACTAGATAATTAGAAAACTAGAAAACTTCAGCCTAGCCTTCAAAGCAAAATCAGTACTTAGCCAAACTCATCTATTTTTACTTTTTTTTTTGCCAATCAGTTTGAGCTTATGAGGTTAGCCTTGAACTAATGACCTTGCCTTCGCGAGCGCCATGACCTCCGGCAGGAGCCACTTTGGACCCCTCTTTTTACTTTTTGTCTAACTGCCCTCCCTGAGTCAGAGGTCTCAGGCAGAATGGTTGACTCGTTCTCACACTACCTAATTGCAGGTCTCTTTATGCTCAAAAGGATCAATGCTGAAACCCTGAAGAACAAGACATCTTTCACAAAGGATAAAGAGATTGTTAGTCAAATCTGCCAGATATGAAAAATAATTACAAACTCCATACCTTCTCTAGTTTAAAAAGAGCCTCCAAAGAAAATATATAACTTATATATGTATATAAAATTTATATCTAAAAATGTTATATATAATTGATATATTCTACAAAAACATTATTTTTAGAGATTTTTGTATCAGTGGAATAAAAAAGTGTATCATCCATGAATATTTCCAGCAACTATGGTACATGGAGAAAAGCTAATAAGACACAGCTCTGTGATTATTTCTAAGTACAATTTCTTTGGTGTATAGTGAGTTTGTCAGTCCAATTTGGTAGTAATGATTTCCTAACTTTTTGGAGTTTTAATATTGTGCCTTGTTTGCATAATTTCATGATACTCTTAATTCTTATTGAAATAAAAATTACATATTGGAATGCTACAAAGATCATTTAAATCAGTGTTATTGTGAAATTGGCTTTAGTAGGTAGAATGTGATTTCATGATCAATATAATCAGAAGCATGGTATGCTATCATAAAACTAAGATTGTAAGAAAGATTTTGCTTATCTCAGATGTGTATCATTTCAGCTTTCTTTTTATAGTTTTGCAATGGTGCTCAGGCATCACAATTTTTTGGTAGTGGATTGCTAAACCAGCATTTATTTTAAACTCTGTAAGAGCAGAGGATGCAGGAATTGAAAGACCTGTGTTCTAGTCTCAGCTTCATCTCCTACCTGCCTTATGATCTCCCACCAACTTACTGAACCTTTCTTTGAAGCAGGGAAATAATCCTTATGTAGCGTAACTGTCACCTATCTTCTAGGGAGCAAATGCAGAAGTACATGTAAACTGTAAGAGATTAGGGCCTCCCGTAATATTTTAGAGTTGGTTGGTACTTTATTATCTTCTGGTTCATCCCCTTCATTTTTTCAGAGCAGTGAAAATGAGGCCTGGAGGGGAAGATGAGTTAGGTGAGATTACATTTCTGAGAATGTGCTCTGCTATTAGCTAAATTCAACCCATTCAGCACTTTATTGTATTGGCCTCCCAGTTATCAGACTTAGAACTTCAGTTTATTACACTCCCATGAAAAAAATACAATTGAGAAGTTATAAATAAATAAAGAGGGTATACTTTTCACATTCATATGATGAGTCTCATTGGATATGAAATTTTTATTTGGGTCAAGGAACCACATTAAGCACTGATGAGCCTGAGGAATATGATTGTCAGAATTTGCCTGTTCCATCACATAGGTCTGTCATTAGTATTATTGAGAAAATACTCTTGGGTGTAGAATGGTCCATTTATGTGTTACTCAGGGGACTGGTTTAATGATAGGTGTTCTGTAAGATCTGCCCTTGATTTTTCATTTGACTCACAACACGACATATCCCTTAGTAAAGGTGTGTATTATCATTTCATTCCAGTAGATGGTGACACAAGAATCCATGCTGAAGGCTGCCTTGCCTCTCTTTGCCAGATTCATCATCAGCAATGGACTGCGGACCAAGCATGGGGTGTTTGAGATCACACTGGAGACTGTGGACAGAGCCCTGCCCGTGGTAACCAGGAACAAGGGGTTGAGACTGGCCCAAGGGGCCGTGGGCCTGCTTTCCCCTGACCTCCTTCAGCTGACTGACCCTGACACGTCTGCAGAGAACCTCACCTTCCTCTTGGTTCAGCTTCCCCAGCATGGCCGGCTCTACCTGTGGGGGACAGGGCTGCTTCAACACAATTTCACCCAGCAGGATGTGGACAGCAGAAACGTGGCCTATCGGCACTCAGGAGGGGACTCACAGACTGACTGCTTTACTTTCATGGCCACAGACAGGACAAACCAAGGTTTTGTTGTGAATGGGAGAGTGTGGGAAGAACCTGTTTTATTCGCCATTCAGGTAAGTATGAAAAGCACAGTTCATTTGCCAGAGATATGAAAACAGTGACATCGAGAACTATTTATTTATTTATTTTTTGAGACAGAGTCTCTTGCTCTGTCACCCAGGCCGGAGTGCAGCAGTGTGATCTCGGCTCACTACCACCTCTCCCTCCTGGGCTCAGCAATTCTCCTGCCTCAGCCGCCCGAGTAGCTAGGACTATAGTCATGTACCACCATGCTCAGCTAACTTTTTTGTATTTTTAATAGAGATGAGGTTTCACCATGTTGATCAGGCTGGTCTTGAACTCCTGACCTCAAATAATCCACCTGCCTTGGCCTCCCAAAGTGCTGGGATTACGGACGTGAGCTACCGTGCCTGGCCAAGAACTATTTTTTTAAATTTCCTTTCTTCTTTCATTCAAATACAGATTGTGCATCTACAGCACACACAGAATATTAATATGAATGAAAGAGCTTTGGTCCCCACATTTGTGCTAATGACTGACTGTGAGTGTTGATGGTAGCACAGAAAGGAGCAAAAGCCATTGGCTTTGGAGTCAGACAGACCCAGGTGTGAATTCCTGCTTTGCAGTGCATTGGCTGTGTGACCTTAAAGAGTTCTTTAACTCTTCTGAATCTACTTTTCCTTCTTTGAAAAACATGCCTACAGCATTGTGGTGAGAATTCAACAGGATTAGGTATCCAAAGCAGTAGCATATGGCCTGAAACATATTTGATGTTGAAACTTACGAGGCAGCATCTTTACACGATTACACATGTAATAATGATGAGGGTATTAATAGCAGCAATTGCAGTTTCTTTAGTGTTAACTGCAGGCCAGACCCACTCCACATAAATCTCATTTGATTCTCATAAAATTCCTATGAAGCAAGTTTTGTTATTGACATTTTATGGATGAGGATACAAGTTCAGGAGTTAAATGATTTGATCAAATCCGCACAAAGATCTCAAGTCTTTTTGATCCCAAATTCTGCGTCATTTCTATGGCACTACACTGCCACATTTGTTGACTATTACAAGGATTCCTGGAGGGCATAATGTGTTTTTCTTTTTTAAGTCAAAACACATCAAGTATATTCTGGCTCTCAAACTCTTGAATCTACTCTCCTTGGAAGTAGTTCACCCTCTTCTACACACTCTCACCAAACACAAAATAGATAAAATTTGTCTCTTACTTTAGAATACTTTCTGACTAGTAATATAGTTACATTTTCCCTTGCTGAGAGAAAGAAAGAGAGAGAGAGAGAGATTTATTTTAGGGAATTGACTAATTGGCTCATGTGATTGTAGGGCTTGACATGTCTAAAATACGCAGGGCAATTTGGCCGGCTACAAATTTTAGCAGGAGTTAACGTTGTAATCTTTAGCCCAAAGGCAGTCTGGAGGCAATGTTCCTTCCTTTTTGGGGGACCTCAATCTTTTCTCCTAAGGCCTACAGTTGATTGGTTGAAGCCCACTTGCATTATGGAGGATGATCTCTTTAACTCAAAATGTACTGATGTAAATGTTAATTCCACCTAAAACACACCATGGGAAGTTGATACATAAAATGAAGCCTCCCAGACTCTGTGTATGGGACAAGTCTTGAGAGCATAGAGTGGGTGCTGGATGAGTCCTTGGCAGTTGGGAGGTCCAGAAAATACGATGAAATGATGCGGCACTGGGAAAATAAAGAAGATATTGACATCATGGACACAGTGTGTAAGAAGCACTTTGTATTAAAATTATTATTTTTATCATATGTTTTAATTGATCTTAGTCCCATTCCACTCTTCAGTCTGTTAGTATCTTTTTTTTGATTGGCAGGAGTCCTGCCAAGGACTCCTCACCCTGGGTTGAGACATGTCTCTGTACTGTCCAGCCAGGGATACTTTTCTGGGTCTCTTTGGCTGCAAATTTATACGAATTCTAAATTCTGAGTGCAGATATCAGAGTTCCTTCCTACACTCCAAAGCACAGATGGAAAAGAGGGTGGAGATTGGAGAAAGTACCAGAACTTAAATTAGGTATCTCCCAACACCAACACTCATCTTAATAAGAGAGTTATCTATTGGAAGTTGTGGAATTTACTGATAGGAAAATGTTGGACATATATTGTAAAGCTTTTTGTCAAAAGTATGAGGTTTTCATTGCAAAACAAAACAAAACAAGACAAAAACATTATGTGTAAAAACTCCACAAGGTAAGCTTCAAACTTTCTCCCATAATTCCCCAGAACTCTCAGTCTACTTTAGCAGAGAAATCAAGAGGCTTTAAAAAGTGATTGATCCCACCAGCAGTGTAGGAGAGATGATGGCAACAGTGTCTTGCCTTCTAGAGAGTTTTCTGCCAAGACAATATGGATGTTGACCTCTTCTGGTGGTACCTGAGTAATTGAGGGCAAAACTACTGTAAAACATGGGTGTTTTTGACTGACACCAGCAGGCACAACCTGACATTCATTTTGTAGGAAATCTTTTATGTCTGATCAAGATTATTGCAACTGATGCAACTTGTACTTCTTCTTTAAAGGGTTCAGGTAAGGGAGAAAAAAGTCATGTTATGCTTTCTATACATTTTCAGTAAGTCCAACACAAGTTTTCAGAGGATAGAGGTTTCTTTAAAAAAAAAAAAAACCTTGCAATCCAATATTTTAAAATGCTTCTGGTATACTGAGCCAGAAGATCTACTTTTGACGAAGCTAGAAGTTGAATAAGACCTAGGGTATATTTTAATGTGACCAGAGACATGACAAGGAACTGTGTTGCTAGAGCTTAGATGTTAGCTTTTTTAAAAACACATGATTGCAACAGGCATTTCCTACTTTTGTAACACTTTCGTTTTTAAGGAATTATAACATCCATAACCAAAATAAAACAACCATCCTACATTCAGCTATTTATTTAATGTCAACTTTGGGTATTTCTTACATAGCTTGGAAGTACTTTAATTTTCCTCTTCTTCCACTGACCATCTCTTCTACTGGCCACATGGTTGTGGGAGCTTCTTCCCTCATGGGCCACGATGACAGCTTGACACCCAACCTCACTGCTCTGCAAGATGCCACCCATACTCTTCAGGAGAGGAGAATGATTATGACTTTTGAAAATGTCTGTTGCTTTTTCAGTTTATAAAATAACTATGTATTGCAAATAATTTATAAACCATAAGAAAAAAATTCTTCACAACCATACCACTCAAAGATAACTATTGATGGTGACTTTCTTCCATTCTTTTATTTTGTTCAATTAAAAATGGGATGATATTATTTATACTGTTATGCATATTGACTGTCTCCATCTTCATGTATTCTGAATATTTCCTTATGTCATTAACTATTCCTGATAGTACTTGATAACTAATCATATTCCTGATAATATGATTTTTAAAGGTTGCATGGAATTCAGTCTCAGGTGGAGATGGTTTATAAATCCCCTGGTGGACTTTTGCATGCTTTTTGTAAATTGCTATTATAAGTAGTATTTTAGTGAATATATATCTAATCATTTTTGTGTACGTATCTGTTTCTGCAAAATACAGAAAAATTTTCACTATTTTCACCCCTACCAGCAAAATATAAAATATCTGTTTCTTCACATATTCATCATCATGAATTATAATTATTTCTGTTTTTTTTAAAGAATCTTGCCAATTTGAGAGTAAAAAATGGTTGGTTGTGACAAACTTTCTTATGAATTAAACAGAGGAGGAGCTGTAATCTTTCCCCACTCCAAAACAAATGAACAGATTTGTGCAAATGCTCCAAGACTTTTGCCTATGTCTATACAAACATTATGTATGTATGTATGTGTATATATATATATATATTAACAAAAGTAGTATTCTAATTCTATTCTGCAGTTTTCTGGGGCTTTTCAGTTAATGCAAAATTGTGGAAAATTTTCACTATCAATTCATCTTCTCCCTTATTTTTAATAGCTACAGAGTAGCTCACTGTATCATAATACACAAAAATCTACTTGGTCTTATCATTGACATGAATTTTTTACTTTGCTAGGGTAAACTAAGATTTACAATAGTATCATTTTGTGGTAAATGAAGTCAAGAACTGAGGGATTAGGAGTGAGGGGAATGAAGATTCTTGTACCTGTTTGCTAGTATCAGCAATGAATCTGTTCTAATCCATCCAAACCTGTTCTATCCTTACCTACAACAGTCCTCTTGCAAATGCATGGTGGGCTGAGCTCCACACAGACTGAATGAGGTCTTTTGTTGTGTTTGAACCTACACTTCTGTTCTCACATATGAGTTACTGTTCATCACCATCTTCACAAATCGAGTCCACCTGTTCAGGTACCTGGCTCTCCTCCTCAGTGAAACAAATATGCAAATTATCTAGAAATAATCCCCTTTCACCTTTTCCATACTGAGGTATCTCTATTTTTATTCAGCATTTTTGCCAGTTGAAAAAAAGACTTGCCCCCCCAAAATTCTATATATTTGTAAACCCTTACAATTTTGTGTCTATAAATCACTAAACACCAGGAAAATGGGGGCAGTTCTTCTGTGGAGTTAACATGAAGTTTGTTCTAGAATTCTTGGGTTAATTTTAGTGTATTCGTTTAATAGACATTCCCTGGGCTTCTGCTTTGGTTCAGGCACTGTACCAAGTGCAGGGAATCCCTAGGGGTAAAAGACCTGATGCCTGCCTTGTCAAAACATGTATCCTAAGTGGGAGTCAGGCGGTAGGCACATTGCTAAAGTGGGATCAAAGTTTACAGTGGAAAGTTGGCCTCTGTTCCAAGAACTGTGATAGTTGCTGAGGCTCTTGTGAACAGGACAGTCTTTAGCAAGAATTCGCTAATGAAGAGTATAAAGAATCTGAAATGCAGGACTGTGTGTCATTGTTGAACCAATAAAGCCCAGCGTTGCATGGGGGTGAGGAGCCTCTGGATAACATTGAATGTCATTGTTGATGATCCAGGTGGACCAGTTGGACAAAACAGCTCCCCGTATCACACTCTTGCATTCCCCTTCTCAAGTGGGGCTCCTGAAAAATGGCTGCTATGGGATTTACATCACTTCCCACGTGCTGAAGGCATCAGACCCTGACACTGAGGACGATCAGATCATCTTTAAAATTTTACAAGGTCCAAAACATGGACATCTGGAGAACACAACAACAGGTACTGGCTTCCTTAATCCTTGTAATTGCTCATTTTAAAATACCCAGTGGCTGGCAGGGCTGGAGATTAATTTAATTAAGTTCAGGCCCATTTGGTAAACACTCCCCAGGGCTTACTGATAGATGCAGTTTATAAATCAATATTGGTCCTAAAGAGGGTTTGAGTCTGAGCCTTCCTAAATGTATCCTAACTAGAAGAAACAAATACTGATATACAATTGTTGAGTATTTATAATTTTTTCTCAACAGCTGATTATAATATATTCAGAGGAACACAGTGTCAGGACCAAATTTCCTATCTGTGACAAATTTTTTCTTCTATCATGAATTCTCAATGATTCTAAATGATGTCAGATCATTTTTTTTAAGTTCTTGATATTTTTCCTAATGGTTTCTCTGGATTGTATATTATTTCTACTTTCTGAGCACAATGATTATAATACATCATTAAACAGGATGGCACAGAATTAGATTTTTATTACTGTATCTTCCTACTCTTCTTTTTATTTTTATGTGTTCTTTAAGGCAAATATTTGTGAGGCAGTCAATTTAATGCCTAATTTAAGCTCATTGCATTTGAGTTTTAAGATAGTTACAGTAATGTTAATTTCCTTTTTAAAATGTACATTAGCTACTTTTAAAGCTGTATTTAAAATAAAATAGCTGTACAATTTGATTAGCTCTTATTTAATGTTTTGATTACCCATGATATTCATTTATTTGTTTTTTGTAGGTGAATTTATCCATGAGAAATTTAGCCAAAAGGACTTAAACAGTAAGACCATTCTTTACATCATAAACCCATCTTTGGAAGTAAATTCAGATACCATGGAATTTCAAATCATGGATCCCACAGGGAACTCGGCCACTCCTCAAATGTAAATTCTCTTGCTTATTCAGTAGTCCTATATGTTACACCCAGAATGTATCTGAATATTAGGAAAGGGAAATGTTCTTTTTAAAATGGAACCTAAGAAGATAAATTAATAGACCATTTCACAAGCTCAGAGAATTTATTTGGAGAAGGAATTTTAAAAATTACTGTTTTATAATAGGAAAGCCAATAGCTTTACAGAGTACAGAAACATTAAAAAGCTAAGTTGACGTTCACATTATGCATGTCAGTGTATACACTTTTATACACAGGGAGGTTTCTGTCTTAACAATTCACTAGCATCCAATGCTGGGTTTGCAGGTTTATGTAGCAATTGTGCAGCAAGAGGTCACTCTAGGACCATGTTAGTAACAATAGCCTTCGAATATATCTGCTGTCGAGAGGAATGAGATAGTCAAGCAGAGTTAGCCAAACACCTCCTCTTTCTCTATGAAGAAAATTACATTTACTTGACAGTATGTTTATAAAGTAATAAACTTATCCTAAGTAAGATGAAAATACTATAAAGAGGAAAATAGATTTTGGAAGGTGTGTAAGGATTTGATCCTCAAAATAGCAAGAGGATCTTGAAAATTAACAAGATTAACAGACCGTAGCAATTTCACTGACCAGGTCCCTGTTCTAGACTTTTCTTGAATGTAGAACTTGAATAGCTTACCAGCTAACAGGTGGTCGTAGAAAGCTCTGACAGAGTGCAGTTCTTCTGGTACTGCGCTGTTTTTTCGTTGTTTTTGTTTTTGATGCTTTTCTCAGACACCTCAAAGAAAAGTATACTTATCCTTGTTTTAGTAGTCGCCATATCCTAGGCATACTAAGCACCATAAGTAATACAGCCCTGTTATGGTCCTTTTACGATGGTATATAGATGAAGGAAAGAAAGCTGAGAAACTCCTCTGCAGTCCAGAATTCCTGCTTCTTTCCGATCCTGAATTGTAGTTCCAAAAACTTACCAGCAGAGGCCACTGTAGTCATTGTCAGAAAAAAGCTAGCATCCTTTTCTTAGCAAAACGCATTCCCAGGGTCCCAGTTCGTTACTTGATAAAATGTAGAGCCTGGCCCAGATTTATTAACTCCACAGACTTTTATCGAGTGGCTACTATATGTCAGGTGCACAGTACTAGGAGCTGGGGAAGAGGTGAGAACAAAGTAGACCTGGCCCCTGATATTAAAATGTAATCTTGAGATTATAAAACGTAAAAGAGATGACCTTCACGCATTAAACCATCTCTGCCCAAGAGAAATAAATCTTCAGGGTCACAATCTTTATAGAAAAATATGTCAGCTACTTTCAAGGTCAGACAAGTATCTTCCAATTCTCAAGAAAATGTAAAAAAAAAATACCTGCTCCAAAAAAATTAATAAGTGGACATCCCTTTTTTGACTAATTTATAGATGAGAAAACTGAGGGCAGAGCTAGAAAGTAACTTTTCTAAGGCGGATGCAGCTAATTAGTGAAGGAGCTGGGCTTCCGGCCCAAGGAAACGTAGCTTTAGAGTGCGTGTTTTTTTTTCAGTGCAGTAGAGAACTTCTTGCCCCTTTTAAGGACCGTGTCCATCTGGCCTGAAGAAAAGGGAACAGCAGGCGTGTGTTTCAGCCACCCAAGCAAGAAAGAAGGAATACTTACTTATCTAGGGCCTGGGGTTCTGTTGTTGTTTTTAAGACAGAGTCTCACTCTGTCACCAGGCTGGAGGGTAGTGACACGATCTTGACTCACTGCAACCTCCACCTCCCGGATTCAAGTGATTCTCCTGCCTCAGCCTCCTGAGTAGGTGGGATTACAGGCACCTGCCACCATGCCTGGCTAATTTTTGTATATTTAGTAGAGCTGGGGTTTCACCATGTTGGCCAGAATGGTCTTGATCTCTTAACTTTGTGATCTGCCCGCCTCAGCCTCCCAAAGTGCTGGGATTACAGGCGTGAGCCACCACACCTGGCCAGGGTTTTCTAAATGTAAATTATTGATCTCTATATCAGTGTGAACTTCATATCTGACACACTAGAATTTATACTATAGATTATAAACCACTAAATTTGGAGCTGGAGGACAAGGTTTGAGCTTTGGCTCTGCCCTTCATCTAGTGACTGTTCAAGCCTTAGTTATATCTTCTGTGAAATGGGGAAGATACTACAATTTGCTTAGAGAAACAAATGAAAAGTATAATGTATGTGAAGGCATCCTGTGTATTTAAAGTCCTTAACAAATGTAACTTGTAGTGGTGATTGCTACTGTAGTTAATTCACGTAGGAACAGCAATGACTGAAGAAGTATCCCGGAAACATTTGGTGGATTAGAAAGCCTGCCTCTAATTAGAAATCGATCCTGGAATGAATCACAAAGTGATCAATATGCATATTAATCAACCAGCTAAATGCTGTGGAACTTTGTATTGTTCTTTGGCTTAGACAGGATTAATGGATTAATATTCTTCATATTTGAAGGGGTGAAACCTCTGTGATAAAGCTAAAGGGACTGCAGGGTGCCATCTGGAACAGAAATAGGCCTGTTTTGGAGCATGGGAGGGACCCATGTTCAATGGGAAATTCAGCATCTTGACTGCTGGTCAGTTTTGGCTATTGCAGGATTCCTGTGGAGTATCATTCCTGAAGGATGAATAGATGCTCCCTGTAAAAAATGTTAGGAAATTCTTGTTTCATGAGATTCATCGAGTTTTTGGCAGCGAGCTAGCTTGAATGCTTGTTTAACTGCATCACAGCCTAGAATCATTGAGGTGTGCATGTGGATTGGGAGTCTCTCAGAGATGGAGCCTCGGCAGCAAATCTCAACCCAACTGGGCTATAGAATCACCTCTCTCTACCCACCAAATCATGCACATGCAGAATAGCTCGGGGAACAAGTTTTTCATGGAATACATCTAGGAGTCACTTTATTGTAAATAGATATTGTTTTATAATGCTGATATCCATGGGAATTTGCATAAAGATTTAGATTTTGCTAAGTGCCTAAATTTCAGGCACTGTACTAGGTGTTTCCATGAGTTGTCTAATTTTATCTGCAAAACACAATCCTCTGAGGGTAAGGAAATCAGGCTCAAGGCATTCAAGTAATTATCCTGAAGTCACTGGAGTGTGAACCCTGACCTCCAGACCTAAGTTAGTGTTCATCTTATTGGCTCACACCTTGGATACACCCCTCCCAGGCTCGTGACTGTTTTCTAGTCCGAGTTGAATCTCCAAGATGATCTGTAGAAGTCCCAAACTAACTTATGCAGGATGCACATCATTCATCAAAAGCACCTTTGTGGACCACGGAATGTGGCCAACTTCTGACCAAGGTGGTTTTTCTAATACAGCTTCCTCTTTCTTGTGCCCACTGGAGAAAAGTAAACTTCAAAAGCAAAGTTGAATGCAGAAGTCCTCGCTAACTCAGTGGCTTCTCTCCAATTCAGCACACTAAATCTTCCCCTCTCTCTGGAACCCACATTCTAACGGTTCTCTCGTCCATTTTTGGCTTTAAAAGAGAAAGGACAGAAGAATAAAAGAAATTTCCATCAGGCAAACTTTGCAATGTTTAGCAGCTTTTCTGAAACACCTGGTAGGGGAAGAGGTTGAAACTGTTGGCTAATACCTGCACATTACCTGCAAGCCAGGAGTTAAGGTTTTATCTTCAGACTAGATCTTAGGAAAGCACAGAGGAAGGGCAGGAAAATAGCACTTATTAAGCACCCACTGTGTGCAGGTGCTTTATACCTATTAACTAACTTTAATTTTAATCATTTGACATGAGTGTAATTTTCCTCATTTTTAAGATAATGAAAACCGAAGCGCAGAGAGACTGAGTAACTGACCGTAATCACACACTAATCAGTGGTTACAAGGTGTGCTTGATTCCAAAGCACTTGTTTTGGGTACTCACTATGCTCTCTCTTGGCTAAACACTATTTCCCCATTATCAAGAGAAAAAGAGAAAAATGAAAACACAGGTGTTCATAGCATTCGATTATGGAGTTTGATAGCATCATCTTTGAATTGATAAGTCTTAGATTGAATACTTGAAAAAATGTTTTTTATCATTTCTAGGAATTCTTATCATATGCTACTTGATTATAAATGAAGATATAAAGATAGCAATTTAATCACAATTTTAGCTTCTATAAACCTTTTACTGAGAAGCTCAAAATACTTAATGAGAATTCCTGAAGGTTCACTTAACCCGTTTGAAGTACAGACTCATCATTATTACATTTTTAATGTGTCATAATTACATTATTATAGGAAGCAAGGAAACTGAGACATAGAGAGTCTATGTTTCTTTTCCATAGACTCTTGTTAACCTGAATTAATGCCCCAATTCCCAAACTAGTGATTTAACTCCAGGTATTTCTTTCAGCTTATTGTTTCTTCATCAGTGAATCAAATAGCCAGAAAATAAAATATCAGAAAGAACATATTTATAACCCCAAGACAGGGTGTGTCAACCTTGGCACTATAGGCGTTTTGGGACAGATCATTCTGTATCACAGGGGAGTGTTCTGGGCACTGCAGAGCATTCAGCAGCACCCCAGGCCTCTCTCAGCTGAAGGCCAGCACCATCCTCTTTCCAGTTGTGGCAGTTAATACCATCTCCAGACAATGCCAAATCTTAAGAACTACAGATATGCCTTAGAACATAGCATACATATGTTTTAAGAAATTGTGAATTATCTTAGAAGGCTCATTTATCAATGCCATCTTTCTCTCTATGCTAATAAAGCCTAACAATAGCCATAGACTCCAGAGAAAGTCAGGGCTAGAGAGAATATGTGAGGATCTAGTCTATCATTTTTTTCCAAGTGTGAGAAAGATGACATTAGTAAGGTTGGGGAGAAAAATATTTTCAATGGTTGTATTAGTCCATTTTCATGCTGCTAATAAAGATATACCTGAGATTGGGTAATTTATAAAGAAAAAGAGGTTTAGTGGACTCACAGTTCACATAGTTGGGGAGGACTCACAATCATGGCAGAAGGCAAAAGGTACGTCTTACATGGTGGCAGGCAAGAGAGAATGAGAAAGCCAAGCAAAAAGGGAAACCCCTTATAAAATCATCAGATTTCATGAGACTTATTCACGACCATGAGAACAGTATGGGGGAAATAGCCCCCATGATTCAATTATCTCCCACCAGGTCCCTCCCACAACATGTGGGAATTATGGGAGCTACAACTCAGGATGAGGAGAATTCAAGATGTGGGGACACAACCAAACCGTATCAATGGTCAACTTAGCTCAGGAAACAGTGGGGCAAACAAGATTCATTCATTCAGTTAACAAACATTTATTGAGCACTCACTATGTTTTAGACACTCTACAAGACTCCTGTGTTATCATAGTGAACCAAACACCTGTGCTTCCTTGGAGCATATGTAGGATCTAAATCAATGATAGTATGCTTGCTGTACGTGGTACATTGCTTTGGAAAATGAAACACTTGATCATGATAAGGGAGATCAGAGGTGCTGTGTTTGGAAAAGAGATTGTGATTTTAAATTGGGTGTTTAAACAGCATTTCCTATACCTGACCGCTTAGAGCTGGTGAGTGACAGAGAGACCTGAAGCCTCACAAGTTCGAATCCAATTTTATTGCCACTGCTCTATGCCATGTCTTCCAGATACAACAGTGGTTTTCAGGGATCCGAATTTAGCTTCACATTGAACCAGCTTTTTCTTTCTTTTTTTTGAGATGTAGTGTTGCTCTGCCACCCAGGCTGGAGTGCAGTGGTGTGATGTCGGCTCACTGCAACCTCCACCTTCTGGTGAACCAGCTTTTTCTATTGTGACAAACACCTTAAAATCACATATAGAGGAAGCCCTCAAGTGGGGGTGACTTTTCTCCTACTTGTCAAGGTCCAGAAACAGGTTTGGTTTTTGTGACTAGAGGGAGGTGGTGCTCCTGCATCTAATGCAAGGCAGGCAGGGATCTACTGCGTCTACTGCGAGGCAGGCAAGGATGCTGTTGAACGTCTTTCCCACACAGGACAGCCTCCCACAGCAAATAACTGTCTGCTCCAAAATGGGCGGGAAAGCCTGATTTAGAGGCTTAAGGAGTTTTGTCCTCCTGCTAAATGACTTGAAGCTATTGCCATATGGGTTTCACATGAAGTATGTTCATGGCATTCAGTTCTGACCATAGAATGAGCTTCAATCAAAGGTGACAGGAAAATGGAAGCATTATTAAAATGGAAAGATAGGAATCAACTTTATCTACATGATACCTACACATCTAGAACTTTACAGATTTCTCTCCTGATCTCCTGCATCTGGACACCTACATGATGCCAGGCATTTAGCTGGGTGGCTTCTTGCAGGGAAAATTCCCGAGTGATTGATTACATCTCTTATTTTTCTTCCAGGTGTTTGTGTACAGTTTAAGCTCTCACAGTCTCAGCATAGAGAGATCTTCTCAAATACAGTATTGCAAAAAGCAAAAAAAAAAAAAATCGCATTCAAAACATGTATTATACACATTCAGTAGGTTTGCAGGTGCTTTGCTAGATATTTTTCTTGAAAATATATAGCCTGGCTTAAATTTCATGGCTTTTCAATAGCTCTTTATTATTTGTAGGGAATAGTTTTAAGAAAATAAAATAGGACATTGTGTAATGACAACCTTGACCTATAAGCATTATGCAGTATACAAATGGTGCATCAGGGAAATGCAGGCACATTCCCAAACACTAAGACCCATTATACCTTGAAGCTGAACAGCCCTCTGAGTGGTTCCCTTCTGGATCTAGATCAGCAATCAAATTGCGTTTAGCTTTAGGCCTTGAGGTCACCAGAATCTACAGAATGGCATTGATGGATTTTTGCTTGTCATGATTAGCATTAGCAATGGAGGAATTCTCAGAATTGGACATTGAAACTCGTTTGAACTCTATGATAGCTGAAATCCATGCAAATTTGTTTCACTCTTTTCCACTGCCCTCCTTTCCTTCCCATTTTATCTTTCTCTCTTTTTTCCCTTGTCTGTCTTGCTGATTTTTTTTTCTTTCTCATTTACCTGGATCCTTTTGGGATTCTTTGCAACATATTTCTATTGGCATTTATGATTTCCTTGTTGTTACCTTGTTATTCTTTAAGCACACACCAATCCCTCCTCATCTGTGGGTGATATGTTCTAAGACCACGAGCAGACGTCTGAAAGTACACATAGTATTGAACCTTAGGTACACTATACTTTTTCCTATGCATCACATACATTGCTATGATAAAGTTTAATGTACAAGCTAGGCAGTTAGAGATTAATCACAATAACTAATAATAAAATAGAACAACTAGCTTGGGATGCCAGCATCACTATTCTTGTAAAGTTCTAGATGTGTAGGTATCATGTATTTTACGATTACATAAAATAAGAGTGACTTGAACACAAGCACTGTGATACTGTGGCAGTCAATCTGATCACCAAGCCAGCTACGGAGTGACTAATGGGCAGGTAACATCTACTGCGTGGATGTGCTGGACAAAGGGATGATTCTTGCCCAGGTGGAACAGCAGGGGATGATATGAGATTTCATCACACTACTCAGAACAGCATGAAGTTGAAAACTTATGAATTATTTGTTTCTGGGATTTTTCATTTAGTATTTTCAGACCATGGTTGACCACAAGTAACTGAAACCTCGAGAAAGCAAAACTGTGAATAAGAGGAATTACTGTAATCATTTAGTTCGTGTTTCCTGATCTGTTTTATGCCAGATTTGAATTCACTTGCATCAGAGACCCATGATGTTTCCAATATTTTTAATATAAGAATCCTGTTTTCATGTTTAAAATTGTATTAATATGAAGTAGCAATAAACTCAGTAATAATGAATTTCAAATCTGATTAAATGTATGTTTATATAGATTCATGAACCCCTATAATAATTCCATGCTCTCACCCTACCCCTGCCCCCTAGCCCATGATACTCAGCTATGAACCTGTGCTATTGAGTGTATCTAGCTGGTGAACTTAATCCAGAGAATGTGATTTTGACAATAATCAGTGTGGGCACGGTGGTTATTTGAAGACAAATTTCTTCCCTAATATGAATGGCCCCAGGAAAGCCTGAAAGTCTGTGAAATATGTGAACTCATATTCCATATGGTAGCACCCAGAATTTCTAGTTCCACCAAAAAAAAGAAAGAAATTATAATAATTAAACTTAAAAATTGAGAGGAAAGAGGCTGACTCTGATTAGAAGTTTGGGAAGTACATGTAAGGCAACCACTGAGGATTTTGTAAATCTAGAATGAAAGGGAAATGAATAAAACAAAAACAACGGAAGCACAGTTAACAATCATAGTGAAGGTTGCTTGTGTCTTTTATCTTGCTCTATAGTATGGTTACAGATAGCAAAAAAAGGCCAGACCTCAAAATCGAAAATGTTTCTGGGTAAAGATAAAACTATATTGCTCTGCTTGAGCTCACACAGGAGTCACAAAGAACCTCAGTTGGGAAGAGAAATGGTAGAGGATGAATAAAAGATTTGGCAATGATTTATGCTTGAATTTTATCTCCTCTACCTATTAACTTTATCGTGACTTTTTGCTTTTAAATTAGTTACTTAACCTCTTTAAGGCTTGGGGTTTTTGGTTTTATTTTTGTTTTTGGAAAAAAAAAAGTTCCTCTCTAGATGAGGTTTTAAGAAGACAATTTCCACCAAATGTTGGACACACTAAATATATTGTAGAAGAAAAGACCATTCACTATTTATCAGTCGCATCCAAGCCTCACACCAGTACAGTCCTTTTATATGCACAGAAAGAGAAACAAATGACACTTGGGAAACACACGTACATTTTAATTCCTAGGCACCTCCTCAAGGATATTTTGTTATTAAACTGAACCCAAGTTCAGAGAAGATCTCTGTCTGGAATTGTTCTTGTTGTACCAATTATCCTTATCTAAAGGATAGGATAGAAGACTTCCTATCTGTGTCTTTTCCAGAAAGGAATGTCTCCTTGAACTTAACAACTACTGGTTCCTTTCCCTTCGAAACTTTCAACATTGAGTCCCCTTTGAGTTGTAAATATCTGTGGGACCTTCAGCAGTCTTTTAACCTTTGATTCTTCATGTGTAAAATGGAATTCTAATCCTTGCTCTGCCTACCTTACATCATTGTTGTAAGGCTCAAATGTTAGTAAAAATTCTTTGTGAACTAAAATGTACCAAACAAGTGTAGGGAATTTCTATCATCAGTGTACGCTGATCAACCACCTTTGCCACCATGGTATGAATCAGTGGCTCAGTTCATTCAGCAGAGAATCCCTGTGGGCATATACCATGCGTTCTTATGATTTCTCTTTTCTTTTTCTTTTACGCACAGTTTGGAATTGAAGTGGTCTCATATTGAGTGGTCACAGACCAAATATGAAGTCTGTGAGAATGTGGGTGTGTTGCCCTTGGAAATTATCAGAAGGGGATATTCCATGGACTCGGCCTTTGTGGGTATAAAGGTAATAACCCTGAAATGCAGATTATCAAGCTAAAACTTATGTTGCTGTTTGGTGTCTTTCATTATATATTTTTAGAAAAATTCAGAGTGACCAAGGAACTTTCAAACTGCACGGAGATCCCACCATTCTGAAGATTCTAAGTACAAAACCTCTTTGTCCCTCCATCCATCATATAGGTTCATAAACTCTGAGATACGATTTTTTTTAGTGTATGTGCTGCTGAAGTGAGCACAAGAGATTTTTTTTTTAATTCATTTTTAAATTTGAGACCTGGCATTTGTTTCTATAAACTCTTTAGACTTTGAGATTTATTTTACAGGGAGCTATATTCAACTTTGTGAATGTGGGCTAACTCTGCTTTAGAAAGAGACATTGAGTGCAAGATATTCTGTGGGGCACCCAGAGCAAATTTCAGTCCTGAGAGGCTTTCTCTTAATATGTACCTCAGTTACTTCCCATAACCTCAGTCGATGAGGCAAATAGACAGCTTAAACCTGTCTATCTTAAGATTTGTCCAAGCCATACAAAATTAGGAGAGCATATCCTAATACAGGCACCCTGAAATAGGAAGAATTTCCATTCTAGATCAGTCAACTTGCTATTTCTTTTCATCCGTATGACCCATGAAGCACAACCTATGGCTTCTAGAATTGAAGAATTTTATTTTAGGAGTCATTATAACAAGAGCGCTTCAAGAGAATGACAGCATGAAACACTTGTACATGCTAATGATGAATAATGAGCTGTAAAGACTCCCCCTCTCCATCTGATGAAAAGGGCACTGATGTTATCTTCTGGGGAAAGGGCATTTCTGTTAAGTCTCAATTTAATAATTAATTCAAATCACCCTCAGAAGCCTGGGAACATAAATTTGACCATGTCTACGCTCAGTATTTATCTTTCCAGTGGACACAGGTTCTTTTTTCCCAGATCTGTTGGTTACTTTTTTGTTATTAAGACAGCAGAAAGCTTGGTATGCCCTATAATTTTCCAGAATATTGCTTACGGACTAAGGAAGACTCTGCCTGGAGGTTTCCTAATAATCCTCCAGTCCTCCACAGAAAGCACCATATGCTCTAGTCTGGAGTTTTGGTCCACACCACCATTCACCTTGCCAGGTAGAAAGAACAGGCATGGTGTTGCATGGAACCTTATGCATATTTATGCTGAAAGTGCACAATGAGCCTGGCAGCTGAGTGTGCAGGCCTTCATCAAGCACAGTCCCAGACAGAGTCTTTCAGGACAACTCTACCCTGAGCACGACCTGCAGCCTTACACTAGAGCTTGGCTGCTTGACTGGGAGCAGGGAAAGAGGTATTACTTTCACCCTGTGTGGATTGCCCTGGTTTGAATCATGCACCTTCAGCTGACTGATTTCTCCAACCACCTTGCCTCAGACCATTTCTTCTCCCTCATAGGATTCTGTATACACAGTGGTGATAAATACTAGGTAATTACACATGCAGGAACCATGTGGCGAAATGCAACTTCTAGCATATGGTGGATACAGGTGTACAATGGGCTGGCTTTCCACAATGAAAGGTGGTTCTGGAGGAGCCTTGGCATTGTAGACAAAGAGCAAATGGAAGCTTAGGAAGTAATACCCTTTTTCAGCAAAATGTTTCCACTGCTAACCAACTAATATATGAGGGGCCTTTGATTTGAAATGGCCATATTGTCTGAGACCATAGAAGGAGGAATTTTTCAGCTTTTCATTATGCACTTCATTCTTTTTTAGAAGGTGCAGAAATATATTATGCCACATTCCCAACCATCTTAAACATTAAAAAAATATGCACAAGTAACAGCTGCCTGTTATGACTTATTTTTCAAATCAGCCAAGGACACTTTTTTTTTTGGTGGAATCTTTCTATTGCCCAGGCTGGAGTGCAATGGCACCATCTCAGCTCACTGCAACGTACACCTCCCAGGTTCAAGCTATTCTCTTGCCTCAGCCTCCCTAGTAGCTGGGATTACAGGTGCCCACCATCATGCCCAACTAATTTTTTATATTTTTAGTAGAGAAGGGGTTTCGCCATGTTGGCCAGGCTGATCTCAAACTCCTAACCTCAGGTGATCCACCCACCTCGGCCTCCAAGAGTGCTGGGATTACAGGTGTGAGCCACTGCTTCTGGCCCAAGGACACTTCTTAACATGTGTTTAGGCACCCTTTGGGTGGAATTCAAGGCCATGACTTCAGAGTGCTAAAATCATGTCTTTGGTTTTTAGCCTTGGAGCCAGAGCTGAAAAGCAGGGGTGTATCAATAGACTCCTTAGACTAGGGCAATGTTTTTTTTGTTTTAAAAAACCTACTTGACACGGTCCTTGAAAGCCCTGGGTTTTGGTTGTGGATCTCCTTTGTCTGGCTGTTCACCAGTTCTGCCAGTCCCACAAAGCTCTCCTTCATGTTTATGAAGAGTGATGGTTTCATCCAGACAGGAAAATGAACCAGATGTGTTTGAGTTAATCTGGTCTAAAGGCTTTCAGTGCCCTGGAGCTTGCAGGATACCTCCAAGCTAGCTGACAGATCATCACATGGGTTGTCAGGAGTCCTGCTTTTTCTTCTCCTCTTCAATTTCCTCCCTCCCTTTCCTTTGAGGGACTATTTTAAAACCAAATCGGGGTAGAAGGAAGGTAATAAAATAAAATGTACTTTCAACAAAGACAAAAGTATAGTTTAAAATTCACGCTCCTTCAATAACTAAATCATTTATAAAGGAAAAACCAAACAAAACAAAAGCTTTCCTTTCTATTGATATTAGTCTAGCAAAAAGTCAACTTTAAGGAAAATCCATGTTGCCTGGATCCCAAATGGTTTATATAATTTTTTAAAACCCCTACTTAATATTAAAAACAGATTTAAGAGCATGAGTTTAGTCTAGTATGAGGGAGAATAGATGTTTCTCTATTGTAGAATATTTTTATTTTAAAAAGATTTTTTTTCCCTCCTAAGGTCAACCAAGTGTCAGCTGCAGTTGGAAAAGATTTCACCGTGACTCCATCTAAACTGATTCAGTTTGACCCAGGTACGTTTTGTGTCTGCAGTTTGTTTTACAGTGTTTTTTTTTTTTTTCTTTTCATAAGTATGTCTGGAGATTGTAGAGAAGACAAAATATTACACAACTTTGGCCAACTAGAAACTCCTCAGGGAGCCGTACTACCTACCCCACTCTGAAAGAGAGGTGTTTGGATTTGAGGTTTTGCCCTTATTTTTTTTTTATAATAAGTGAATTTTAATTTCAAATGAGAAGAAAAGTTATAACAAATATAAGCTATCAAAGCAAACACCCAAGACAATCCAGAAAAAAATATTTGGTCGTTTAGAAATTATTTAAAGTTCTGACACAAAGCTGTTTTAACTTTATTGCCTCAGATTTTTGATGAAATTTTTCAGAATGTTTATATGGATTCCTAAAGGGCATTTCTAAATGATCCCTCATGGAATAGGTTGATATTAGGAGATTCCAGAGGAAATCATTATTTAGTTAAGTCACACTTATTTTGTTTTAAATATGTGGGAAAATTTTGCTAGGTACAAGTGGAAGTGAAAAAGGTTGGCACTTGCTCTCAAGGGTGTTCTATTGTGTGAGAAACATAGACAGGAAAACACTCACTGATATTATACTGGGACCCAAAAGATGAGCTGTTGTTTGGGCTAAGAGAAATCTTGGAAGAGTTCCCAGGGGATGCAGTATTCTAGCGTGTAGATAAAGAAGAAAATTCCAGGATGAAGGATTAACAGAAAAGCAGCAACACACCTTTGGGGAAGTGTGCTTAAAGCTGAGGCTTGAGCCGCACCATCTTTCTCTGACTTCTGTGGATGGGACAGGTAGCTCTACCTCACTCACTGCATCGCACTCTCTATTTCCCTGCAGTTTGAGATGGATCTGAATCAAATGTGGGGCCTGGGGACAGCAAATACAGTGGGCCTAGAGAAGCAGACAGGACTGTGGCTTTGTGATTTCCAGCCAAGGAGATGTTCTGCACACTAAGAACACTCCTCTAACAGTAAACCATTGACATCATCTGCCACTAACTCATAAAGTGTTGAGCAAAGGCAAAAAAAAAAATGGCCTAAGTAACAGCACCACCCCAAAATTGCCTATCTTAATATCAAACACAGAAAAGAATGGCTTTCTGCAGTTCACTGCAAGTAGTGTGATGCTTGAGGACTGTGTTAGTTTCACAGGGATGTCATAACATGGCATCAAACACTGGGTAGCTTGAAACAGAGATGTTGAGTATCTCAGTTCTGGAGGCTAGAGGTCCGAGATCAGGGTGTCAGCATGAAGGATTATTTCTGAATCTATTCCATGCCTCTCTTCCATGCTTCTGGTGGCTTGTGGCAGACTTTGGCATTCTTAGCATCTGCTACATCACCCCAATCTCTGCTTTCATCTTCATATAGTGTTCTCCTTGTATGCATGTCTGTGTTATAAAGTGCCATGGAGTCTCACTGTGTTGTCCAGGCTGGAGTGTAGTGGTGCCATTTCAGCTCACTGCAACCTCTGCCTCCTGGGTTCAAGCAATTCACCTGCCTCAGCCTCCCAAGTGGCTGGGACTACAGGCATGCACCACCATGCCCGGCTAATTTTTAAAATTTTTAGTAGAGATGGGGTTTCACCATATTGGCCAGACTGGTCTTGAATTCCTGACCTCGTGATCCACCCACCTCGGCCTCCCAAAGTGCTGGGATTCCAGGCGTAAGCCATTGCGCTTGGCCAAGTCCCTCTTTTTATATACCATCAATCATAATGAATGAGGGGGCCACCTTATTCCAGTATGACCTCATGTTAACTAATTACACCTGTAATTACCCTAGTTCCAAATAAGACCACATTCAGAGGTACTGGGAGTGAGGACTTAACATACGAATTTTTAGAAACACAGTTCAGCCTATAACAGTGAGCATTCACTTAGACATGCAAAAATCCATCTTTGTTTCTGTCCTCCTTCCTGTGATATTTAACTTTCTAACTCAGATAAGCTGGTTCCTCTGGGTGACCTCCTTTGTGGGAACAGATTCCGTGTCATATGGGAAAGATTCCTGTTATGTATGCGCTGTTTACTCCTTCACTGCTACAGGCTCTTGTGATCAACCCTACAATTAAAGGGTAAGATGATTTCCACTGTGTCCCGTCCTACTTCACATTAAGGCAGTTCAAACCTTCCATTTCTTGGGAGTCAAGAGTCTTTGCCATGTGTCATCTTCATTATTTGAGGTCTGTTTGTTACAAGATTAGGAGTAATTTTGTCTGCTAGTAGGGTTCAAGCAGACCATCAGGTGCTCCATTTGGATTGCTAGGAACTAGACTGTATCACACTAGAAGAGACTCTGAAATCTACATCTTGGAGGTTTCACTGGATAAGATTAATACCCATTTGTCTAGAAGAGCTTACATGCTGTTTTGAGTAGATACTAATGACTTCTGGGGACTCTAAATAATCTTATGATTTTAGATATTATTTAGACAATTTAAGAAATAATATAAGCATATCTTATAAATTCAGAAAAAAAAACCACTTGGCTGTTCACTGTTTTGAAATTTTATTATCTCAGTGAAAGTTTTATAAACTGAAATCTTGCTTTAGGGAATTTTGAACTTCTCCATGTCCACAGGTCCAGTAAATATTTACTCCTGTCTTGTTAATCCTTGACTCTTCTGGGTCTGGTGTCCCCATCCCCATACCTACCCCTTTTACCAAGGGAAATCAATTTGTTCCTTTACAAAATGGTAGCTTCCATGATTGGGTGAAGAAACAGAGTGAGCAATCGAAGGCAGTGGGACGTTGTAAAGTTTGAGAACTCTTACATGGGAGCTGGGAGGAAACTTGCCTTGAAGCTGCAACTATGCTACCAAACCAAGAAAGCCCCAAACAAACAAAAGCAAATCCTGACTACTTTGCATTCAGCTATTGGGGCTAATCTTACGTGGAGATAAAAATACTCCTAAGAAAATGATTGTTTTCCTTTAAAATATGTGTTCCTGAAAGGCTTGCAGCATTCTTAATTGAAATTTCATCATTCCTTAGGGTCAAAATGTTTTCCAAGGGAACAGATCTCTAATGTGACATTTACTAAAAAATATTAAGAAAATGTCTCTTAGTGGAGAAATCTGCTTTTCAGGAAAATATCCGGGAACTTACTTACTCTGTAAAGTGGAATATATCTGCATAAAGTGACACCTCTCTTTCCTCTTCAGCACCTTTTGTTTTGCAGGAACAGGGAGTCAGTCCAAGCCTTCTGAAAATGATTGTATATCTCAGGGACTTAGCAAACACTTTGCACCTTGAAAGTGAAAGAGGAAGGGAAAAAAATGATAAAGTTCTTACTTCCAGTCTCATTAACCTAAAGAGCTGGTCTTCTGTGCACACCTGGTAGGCATAGAAACCAAGTTGGAATGCAGACAAACAAATCAGAAGCATTTAAATGAAACTGAGAAGATATTTCCCTAACCCCTAACTCTCTGGTTCTACTCTATAAGGTTCACAACAAAAACCTTAAGGTTTTTCTTTTTTTTGATTAGGGGGTATGATAATTTTTAAAAATTAATCTTAAAATAAGGGATTTGGTTGGGAGTTGGAAATATTTTTGTATTAGACATAATGCTTAATTTTATGGTCTTCAAGGATCAAAACAGTTCTCCAAATACTAGCAATCGTATTATTCATATGCTTTCTTCATTGTCCACTTCTTGTCTTTTCATGCCGATTGTATTGCAGCAGCTGTCTATGTGGTCTCCCAACTTCTAGCCTCTCTATCTGTCTGGCTCTCCAAACCTTCTCATCTAACAGTCTCAGGCTTATTTTGCTAATACATCCACTTTCAATATGTGACTTCATTGTTCAAGAACCTTTTCTGTGGCCTATGTTGTAAAGTCTGAATCTGGCCACCTGGTGTCCAGGGCTCTCTGCAGTCTGGCTACAAATCATCTTTGCAACCTCATGGCAAAGATGTCCACCCATGTAACCTCTATTCCAGCCAGCTGATCCACTCACCCTTCCCTGATCAAGAACTCTTCTTTGCTATATTCCTATCCTTGCTATGTTGTTTTCCCATTTCCTCCCTCCTAATCCTTTCACTTCTAAAACCCACATTTACATAGGATCTACCATCTCTTCCGTATTTTTTGGTAGCTAAATATATATAGCTTTCAATAATTATTTGACTTTTCTGATTTTGCTTTTGCCTCCTCCAAAAGATTTTAAGTTCCTTCCTTTAGATTAGGTCTTGGCTTATGTTATACTTCTGGTATTCTCCATAGCATCTAATGCAAAGATAAGCATATCATAAGTACAAAATATATATTTTGATATATTGATTCATCCATCCATGATACTGGAATTACATGGTATTATACATACTAGATGTTTCAGGTTCTGCTTTTGCAAAGACTGTGAATGAAATTTATTTCAGAACTCAGTGCTGAAAACTTAATAAATTAGCTGTCAGCCTATTTTTTAATAAGATAAAATTATTCCAAATACACATAATTTTTTGCCGTCTAAGTGTAGTGAGCCAAAAGTAGGAGAAGTGGATAGCTTCACCTTTCCACTGGCTTCTGTTGAGGGTTGAAGAGACCGATTAGATCATGAGATCCATGTGAGGCATACCTTCAAGAAAGAGGCCATCATATAGATGGACAGTTGAGGTGCTTAAGTCTGTAGAAAGCATTCTGCAAGAAAAAAGAGGTTTTTTTTGGAGCTTGGGGAAAGATCTCACTCTGTCACCCAGGCTGGAGTGCAGTGGTGCATTCTGGGCTCACTGCAGCCTTGACTTTCTGGGCTCAAGTGATCCTCCCACCCCAGCCTCCTGAGTAATTGAGATCACAGGCAAGTGCCACCACGCCCACTTAATTTTTGTTTTTGTTTTTTGTAGAGATGGGGTTTTGCTCTGTTGGCCAGGCTGGTCTCAAACTCCTGAGCTCAAGTAATCCACCCACCTTGGCCTCTCAAATTGCTGGGATTGCAGGTGTGCATCATCGCGCCCATCCAAGAGTCATATTTTTAACAGAAGACTTTTTAAAAAGTTTAACTGCCTTATATAGGGGGGCTTAGGGGAGGAAAAGCACTCAAATAGCCAATGAGCAAATGGCAGAGTAAGCTTTTCCAACTTAGCTCAGAAAAGTTATGCCATAAGTTTACTGTGTTTATTCCTCTTAAACTTGAGCCTTCTTTCTCCACTAAAAAGTATTCTCTTTACTTCCTGCCACCACTTGCTCTTCTAAATAAACTCAGGGGATATCCTGTGATCCACATCATGGAAACTGCTCAGGATGAGATCATCTCAGAAGTTTCTTCCAGCCTTAATATTGTGTGTATCTGGGGTTGCTTTGTTTCCCATCTTGGTGGTGACAGGATGGCTGGGATATGTTTGTAATGTCAAAACTGTTTTGTATAATATTAAGTTCACAAAGTTACTATGAACCGAGCTTGATTGTAACTTCATGAACAGAGGTAGTCAGAAAGAGGGGAAAAAATGGCTCTGTCTATTTCTAGAACCCCCAGCCCATAAATTCTCTCTAGGAAGATATCAAACTACTGAATATTACATCATCAGAAAAAGCATTTGTGGGCTAGAAAGATCTCAGGAAGTGAGGAAGCCGATGCAAGCAGCTGTCTTTAGAAATGATTAAGAAATCAATCATTTCAAGGGTTCCATGAATAGCATGAAGTACCATCCAATAATCACTTCTGTCTGCATCAACAGCTTACGATATTTTTAAACTATTAAGATTTTAAGATTGCAGTACTTGTTTATTCTTAAGAAGAGAAGGGACAGGTTGGGGAAAAAAACTAAGTCTTGGATCTCATCTAATAACCATTTTTTTTATCCCTTACATAATGCAGCTTACTTTTTTGTTACAGTGTTTGCATTTAAACGGAATCATCATTGTCCAGGAACAAATGTGGTCTTTTCATATTATTTGGGAGAACAGCAGGACTTCAGTGAGTTGGTAGCAGTACAATAGCTCACTCGGGCTACTGCAGTCTAGCTGTAGACATGTTAATTAATATATTTCTCTGACATCTAGGTGATTGAAATAGCAATTAAAGAGTAATTAAAATGTTTACTTCTTGTAGGAATGTCAACTAAGACGTGGAATATAGCAATTACCTATGACGGATTAGAGGAAGATGATGAGGTCTTTGAAGTAATTCTGAACTCCCCTGTGAATGCAGTTCTTGGCACAAAGACAAAAGCTGCAGTGAAAATTTTGGACTCAAAAGGAGGTATTCTTTTGATCCTCATCTTGAAATCAGGAGCGGTCCTGGCGCTGTAGCTCTTGCTTTCAACAGCCAATGTGCTTGATAACACCTTCAAATCAAAATGCTTAATTTCTTGTCAAGAAAGCACCCTCAGTCGTGATGTAGGCCCTTTATTCTGGTTTCTGCTTCATGTGGTTTTCCTCCTGCTAAGAACGATCACTTGAGAAAAGCAACAAGTCAGTGCTGGAGTTGTTTTTTTTCTACCCATTTGTTGTTCTCACCGAGGGGGAAGCAGTGTTGGTGAGAATCTATCGACAATTATTTTCCCCAGAGTCTGTAGAGCTGTAATTATCTTCCTCTGTTAAAGAGCGTTCTTAATGCCTAAAATCTGAGCCCCCACTGTAGTGTGACCAGGAAAATTCTAAGAGAGGAAGGAATTGGAGAAAAAATAGATGTGAAAGATGCAGCTGGCTTGGGAATTTGGGAGCAGCTGGAGAATATTAATGAATGACTTTGGATGGCAGTGCCAAACAGACAATCCTGGATTGTCTATGCTAAAGAACAACCTGTGAACTAAATAAAATAAAGACCAGCCAAAGTCTTTGGTGCTCTGATTTTTTTCTGCCAAATGCCTTCCAGTTACTTGTCTTTTTAGCATTTGACAAGTGTTCCATACCATACTCAATCTTATACCCCTGTTTTTACACCTGTCATGCCCTATGGTCCATATTTTTTCTTGCCTGGAGTCTATTATCTTTCTTACTCTATAATAAAAATGGGCACTCTCCTCTTTTCTTTATAATATCCATGTTTCTGCAACATCTCCTCCCTACCTTTCCTCAACAAATTTATTTCTTTTCCAGTAGAATCTTCTGGTCACATGAAGTATACAAAAGACATGATATACACATCTTATATATGAAATAGACACTACCCAGACAAAGGTTCTGCCCTCAAATTTTTTGTGCCTTCCCAGAAATACTAATTGGTGAGGTTTCCAATAGAAGCTGCTCTATTAAGATTTACTGGGTCTTTGTTCTGTTGCAACTAAGTGCAAAGTTTTATAAATACTACTGAATTCTATGACATCTTTAAACAATTCCAGTTTTTACCTCTAGGAAATGAATAAAGTGCTTGTGAAATACTACCTAATCAGTGAATAAACTTGTATATTGGGGTATACTATAATAAGAGAAGTGAGACTTTTCCCCCAGTATATGGCATGATTATAAAATCATAACAGTGATTTTCATTTGGGGTTTATGGAATCAATTTCATGACTCTCTAATCACTCAATAGATGTGCAGACGGGCACAGCTTTCCTGGATGTAAACTGATGAAGAATAAAGGCGTTTTTGGCAAATGGCAAAACGGCAACATCTGGTGGGAAAACCATCCATCTAGGTTTAATGACAAGCTGCTCCAGGAGCTGTGTCAATGTGACCCCTTATCTGTTTGTGTAAAATGAACTGACCGCCTGCCATCTTGCATGCCTCCAGGACAGTGCCATCCTTCATATTCCTCCAACCAAAGCAAGCACAGAACATGGGAAAAGGGCATTTGGCGTCTGCTGCCCCCAGGGTCTTCCTCATCCACCACTTCTGGTTCCTTTCATCTGGAAAGAAGACCTCTTCCATCTTCCACGCAGCTAGCAGTCACCAGGGGAGACGCCCTGTGGGGCTTCGATTCTACACATTTTTCTCAAAGGAAGCTTAGGACCCGTGGGAATGGCAAAACAGTAAGGATGGGGACCTTTTGGGAGTTGATGTGCAGAATACATACTGAAAGAATAAAAAACATTAAGTATTCTGAAACACTGAAGAAGCTGTTTTGATTCTCATAGTGAGTGGGGGCCATGGTTCCTTGCACAGTTATGCAGTGCCTTCTGTTTACAAAGATCACGAGGTTGTCTTGCTTCTTTAATTGTACTAACTGAGGTGATAGATAATGCTGATTTATCCATATGACTTTTGCTTAGATTCCTTTTGGGATCAGGACAAATAGGGAATGACCAGTGACCCTAAAATTAAATGATGGAGATTAAATGATGCAACTGGGTATGGAAGCCATGGCTTTGACTTTATTAACACGGCATTCTAACCACTGCACGCTCTCATGTGTGCGCATGTGTGTGTGTGTGTGTGTGTGTGTGTGTGTGCCTGTGTGTTCTTGGACCTCTGTGTACTATAGATATACCAAAAAATAAAGAGCCTCCCTGACTGGAACTGTGTATGTGTGAATCCATACAACAATCACAAATTCTGTTTAGGCCTACTGATTTCTGAAATTCCAATGATTTGGACATGGAAAATCTTAAGATACATATTGTACATAAGATACTAATTGTTCAGACATTAGCAAGATCTTACTGGGTGGTTTTACCCTATTGCTAGTTATTAGTCAATTCAATTCTGTTCATATGTAGTTCTCTGTCAATTTCAGGTTCATCCATCCTCTGTTTATAGAAATGGAACAGACATCATCTATAATGTAAGCATAGCCACAGAATTGCTAAATTTCTTGTATTTATGGATGCAAGTATTTAGTGAAACTATGATTTTATCTTTTTTACATTTATATAAAATTGTTTTGAAATTAGAGGCTTAAGTGTTCAGAAAAACAAATTCTCTTATCTTTTTGCTTTGACCAAATTTTTGAATTGCTCGTTATTTTGTTTGCTATCTTGGTGTTTCTTTTTTCCTTATTGTTGTTGATTGTCGGTTTCCTCAAGTATCATGGGATCGTTTCCTTGAAACTGGAGGATGACAGTTTTCCAAGTCTCAAAAGGAAGGCCAAAGTCTCCATCATTAGTCAGCCCCAAAAGACAATTAAGGGGGCAGAACTGCCTCAAGCAGATAAGGTGGAATCCACAACTGGCTCACACTTCCTTAGACAGGTATGAAAATCTTTTTTCCTTCCTATTTACCTTATAACAAGTTGTTTGCTGGGCCATAAACACACTTAATTCACAAAATAGCCTCCAAGGTTGGTTGGGGGGACAGTTTACTCAACACAAACGCTTCTCAACAAATGAAGAACCAAAGGAGGTGAATATATGAGCAATTTTCCTTAAGACAATTCTAAATTGCTAAGTTGCCTTTTCTTCTTAAAGGACCATTTGCCCTCATTCCCAAAGAATTGCACTCTGGAATTAAAAGGACTCTTCCATTTTGAAGAAGGCATCCGGAAGCTGTATCAGTGCAATGGGATTGCCTGGAAAGCCTGGAGTCCCCAAACCAAGGTGGGAGACAGGCTGAGCAGCCAAGCACCTTTACTTGCAGTGTGCTCTATGATAAGCTAATAAAGCGGAATGATCTGGTGCATGACTCAACTCATGCTACATCTTCCTGCCAAGGTTACAACTTGAAGGCTAAGCAGAAAAATTTGCCCAAAGTGGCTTTTCAAAAAAATCACAAAATATGTTAGTTAAATTAATGTCGTTTAAGATGTTTACTTGTTTTGTTTGGTTATCAGAATGTCAAAGTTGTAAAATTGAAATGTTGCTGACTGTGATAGTGTTTTCTGTAAGAAGTCATTGTGTTTCTCAAATGGAGAATTGGGATTAGGGCTGACTCCCCTTGCGGTGACAAAACTACTTGACTGAAGTTAGGGGACTCATAGGGCTCCTTATGCTGATCTGACTCCAGGTCGTAAAGACCATTATGATGTGAACACAGACAACTGTTTTTCAGGATGTGGAGGACAAATCCTGCCCAGCTGGGTGGCACCATCACTCAGGCTACTGTCACATCTTGATCACAGAGCAGAAAGGCACCTGGAATGCAGCTGCCCGAGCTTGCAGGGAACAGTAAGGAACCCTTTTGCACATTTGATTGATGTCTTCTTTTCCACTATTTCTCTATTTTCTTATGGAAGTCAAGAGTTGCTCCATTCATTTAATAAGTATTGAGTGTTTAATATCTGTTTGGCTTTGTTTTAGGAGCCCTGAGGGAGTTCCGTAGCTCAGAATGGATTTGTGAGTGGCCTTGATAATGTATTTGGTTAGTGCAAAAGTAATTGCGGTTTTTGCCATTACTTTTGTACCTACCTAATATTTGACTTTGTTCTTTCCTATAAAAGCTGCGCAATTGCCATGTTTCTCTTTCTTTTCTTTTTTCCTCTCTATCTCAGTCTTTGTGAGGAAATCAGAAAGAGATTTTCTGAGTCAGCAGCATTGCAGTTCTGATATCTTTTTTATGTGATAAGAATTTATGCCCATTAATTGAAAGTATATAGCAATGAAAAGCCTTATAGCATCAGGCCTCTAGCAATGCGATTATATAGCAATGATTATACAGCTGGACACATAGGACAAAGGCTTACTAGATAACAGAACATTCAATAAAGGATGACTTGTAGTCAGGCAATGACAACCAAATGTATATAATCCAGGACTTTAAAAACACATACATGCTTATCCCTGACTCTCCTTTTTTTTTTTTGGTCAACCTGGATATTATGCAAATAACACAATTAGACTAATCTGCCCCATGGCTGGAAATTGAGACTAGGGAAGTCTCTGGTTATTATCGATCAGATCTTTTACTTCATCAAATTTAAAATGTTATAAAGACGCCATTAAGAAAATGAAAGAGCAAACCACATTGAGAAAAGTTATTCTCAAACATAAACCTAATAAAAGTCTTAAATCCAGAAAGTACACACAACTTCTACAAATCAATGACAAAAAGACAATTCAAACAATAGCAAATGATTGGGAGTTTTTGCAAGATGTACAGTTGGTCAATAAATAAATGAAAAGGTGCTCAAAAACATTAAGTATTAGGTAATGAAAATGAAAACCAAAATGAAATATCACTTCACACCTACCAGAATAGTTAAAATTATAAATATGGCAATCCGAATTTGTTTTTAATTTTTAAACTTTTAAGTTCAGGGGTAAATGTGCAGGTTTGTTACCTGGGTAAATATGTAGCATGGGGGTTTGTTGTACAGATAATTTCGTCACCCAGTTGTTAAGCCTGGTACCCATTAGTTATTTTTCCTGATCCTCTCCCTCCTCTCACCTTCCACATTCCAATGTGGGTTATTCCCCTCTGTGTTCATGTGTTCTCGTCATTTAGCTGCCACTTTTGAGAACATGCAGCATTTGGTTTTCCGTTTCTGTATTAGTTTGCTACAGATAATGACCTCCAGCTCCATCCATGTCCTTGCAAGGGACATAATCTTGTTCTTTTTTATGGCTGCATAGTATTCCATGGTAGACAATACCAAATGTTGATAAAGATGTAGAGCAAATAGAATTCTCATATGTTGTTGGTGGAAGTGTAAAATGATACAATCACTTTGTAGAACGGTCTAGCAGTTTCTTATAAAGTTATATGCATCTACCCTATGACCTAACATATTCTACTCCTAGGTATTTAACCAAAAGAAATGAAAACATATGCTAGAAAAGCTTTATAAAAGTATTGCATAGTAACTTTATTCATAATAATATTAATTTGGGTTATTTTGTGTTATGGATGTTTAGAAGTACTTGATATTTTCATCATCAACAAAAGAATAAATTATTTTTTTTTCATAAATTATTTTATAAGCGATGGAATAAACTGCTGAAACCTCCAACAATTGTAGATAAATCAAAAATAGAATGTAGAGAGAAAGCGGCCCTACACAACAGAATACTTACTATATGATTCCATGTATATAAATAAGAAAATCTAATCTATGTTGTTAGAAATAAAAAATTGTTATCTCTGGTAAGATTGTGGAATGATTAGAAAACTGCATGAGGCGACGTTCTGAAGTAAGAGAAGTGTTCAGTGTCTTATTCTAAGTGGTTATTAAATGGATGTATATACAGTTGGCAACACTAAACAAATTGAATATTTAAAAATCTGTTCATTTTATTATATGTAAATTATACCTAGTTTTTTTTTAAAGCTAATAAAATGTTTTAAAAGTGTGTTTAAAAATTGGTAAAACCACCTTTTTCTTCACTAGTATATTTCATTTTCTAACTGTGAGTAGAGTCACCAGAGAGGTTAAACAGTGGCTTTCAGGAGTTTGTTGTTCTTACATTGGTGATATCAAATAACATAAAATGTTAACATTTTTACAAATAATAATTGTTTTAAATACAATGTAATTCCATAGTGCTATATGTTAAAGAACAAAGAAGACATTCTTCCATCATTAAGATGGTAAAGATGCTAAAATGACATCTTAACTAGATGTCATTTAGTTTGTCTTTAAGTATTGAAAGCTCCAGTAGGAGTAGTGGTATTGGTCTTTTTTCCTCCTTGAGGAAAGAGCTTTGGTGTTGATCAAAAGCTATCTAAACTAGCAGGAAAATTGCGGTATGCAACAAATGGGAGAATACTCTGGTGTTTCTGCTTACACAATTAAGGGAAAGAGTAGTTATACTCCAGCCAAAGTTATCAAGATTCAATGGTTGATTCACTGATAAAATGTAGATGAACAGAACAGAACTTCCCAACTTGAAGTTTAGAAGCAACCTTTTGTTCATCTTCCAGTGGTTCTTAAAGGACAGTGCAAGTAGCTGGTCTATAATGAAGCTTTCATTGGTTCTTAATGTCTGAGAAACGTAAAGACAGTATGTATTGAGAGAGATCTTTCCATTCAGTCATTGATGGTGGTGTCAGATTGCCAATGTGTTTTTTTAAAGAACTGTTCTTTATCCTGAGATTATAATAGTCTAGCTTTTTGTTGTCAAAAATCACTTTTTATGATATAATAGCAATATAATAACATTGTTGATGCACTCATGTTGACAAATCTACATCAGTCTCCCATCATCTTTTGTTTTCATTGTATTGATCCACCTATTAATAATTATGGGTAGGTTCTATTGGTGAGTAGCAAGGAGTTCTTCACATATGTATTAACTGTACCATTCAATCATCACAATGATAAACTCAAGAACCAAATTAATTTAAAAGCATAGGTACTTTCTCATGTGCTTAATCTAAGATTTCATCTGCAGCTTGGTTTTTGAGCACTTTCACCTGTGACCCTTTTATATTAGCCTGACCATAATTCTACATGCCTCCTTGTCAATAATGTCTTACTTTTATATTGATAGTATGTGAAATTGTTTCACGTGTATTAGCTTATTTGATCCTTCCATCATTTCTCTTATCTAGAGTTCACAGATTTATTTAAAAAGAGGTTCAAGGAAGCAAAATCACTTGCTCACAGTCATATATGGAAGTAAATGAAAGAGACAGAATTTAGTTTTTCATCATTATATTCTCTAAAATACATCCCTTAAGTATAGTGGGTTTCTCATGACAGATGTACTGACAAGCATGTCTATTTTAACTGTGTTGAGGTTACATAAAGTAGATTTTCAAAATTATGTGTTAATAATTGTTTTTCTCTCACTGCAAACACATTTTAAGATTTTTATTAAATTATGGACCCTAAGTTGGATTTAAATCAAACTAACCTTTCAAGGCAAACCTAAAGTATGATCAAATTCCTCATTTATAGATTCATTCATTTAACAAATATTTCTGAAAGTCCTTTACAGAAGGTCATTCACAACACCTGTATTTCCGTAAGGACAGCAAATTTTACTTTATCCTTTGTCCCTAACCAGATTGCTAACTCAATCTTTATCTCCAATCTTCTTTCCTCCCCATTGGTGTTTTATTATTTTTCTAAGTCAAGGGAGCCAGACTCCTAGATTATGCATTTCTTGAATTTACATATTGTAATCTCATCTGCTCATTTCCTCAGGCAGTCATTGTACATTTGGTAATTCTATTATTATAGATCATTATCTATTAAACCATTTTGTTTTCCCACAGGAGTGTCTGGAACCCCTGCTGGCCTTCCCTTAGAGTTACCCTGAAATATACCTATACTTAATCAAAAATTTTCAGAGAAGTAGATGTCTATTTCTATAACCAGAAAAATTAAAGCTTTTGTTTCTAATTCTATAATACAAATATTTATGTATGTATACCTACTTATTTTAATTTTATATCCATATATTCACCTATGCAGATACCTACCATAGTTTATATGTATGTGAGCATAAAATGAAAGGAGTGATATTTTTATAAAATAATCAACATATGAATACCTAAATATTTCTTTTGTGAACAACTATGCTCTAATATTTTACCTATCTGAAGCAGAGCTATCTTCCCATCTCACTCTTCTGGAATTTCTTGCTTTTTGGAGAGTCAATAAGAAAACCGAAATTGTACTTGAGCAGCTAAAATGGATTTTACCAAGTTTGTTTTAAAGATAGCTTTAGGAATATTCAAGCTAGAGAAGATGTTAAATTTCATTGAATAAAACCCTTACATTTTGATGATGAAGTTGAGGCTGCGAAGTGAGGGAACTTCAGTAAGGTAATTAGTTTAGTAAGAGAATTAGGGAATTCAGTGAGAGAATTAAGGGGCAATCAGAAGTGGAACCCTGGTCTCTCATGCTCTGTAAAAAATGCCACAGTGACTAGGACACCTGCTCAAGCCCTCCCTTGGCTTATGTTTAACACAAGTTTGATATTGTGTGTTCTAAGCCTACAGCACATTAGAATGGCCATGTTGGATGTGATGGGGAGGGGAGGAGAGGAGATGCCTCATCATACCTGCTGTAACTGTCAGACAGGAGCTGAGAATCGATAACGAGGTCGATTAGAGCCAAGTCACAAAACCCAGTTCAGCAGTCTAAGGCCATTCAGTGAGGGACAAAGTGCCTTATATAGCTAAGTAAAAGAGGCCTAGAAATCATCATTGCATCAGATAGCAGCAAAGTACTATTATTAGTGGGGGAAAATCATTTAAAAACAGACAAATTATGTTCATTATATCTAGTCTGGAAAAGCAGAGAAATAATAGTTCTGAATTTTGAAAAGGCAGGCAAAATAAATACAATTAAATTAAATTCAATAGCTATCTAAAATAATGTTACTAATTTTGTTTCCTACTTTTCATATCAGTGGATATTAACTAGGCAAAAAGATCATGGTGATTTAATTTTTTTCTTGTTTGATTTATTTAAATGCTTAAAATTATTTTTTAAAATTTAATTTTATGTTTAATTGACAAACAATAATTGTATATATTTGTGGGGTACAATGTAATGTTAGGATACATGTATACATGATGTATTTGTTTCTTGTTTGAAACTGTCTTTTTTTCTCTTAAAAAAGAAAGAAATAACTATTTATTGGCTTTTTACTTAAAGCATATTTAAAGAGGTTTTAATGAGCACTGCTGGGGAATTAGGCACAATCAAATATTGCTTCTAAAAATAGCTAGCTGCAAAAATAATTCATAAAAAATTCTGTTTTGTGAAAAATATTTCATATAGGTTTGTAAAAACAGGTACTTCAATTTCTACACATTATAAGAAGGTTTGACAGTTGGGGCTATACTCATTTTATTGAGTATAATGAAGGAGTCATAATTAAATGTTTATTTGGCTAAACCCACTAAGCTCCAAATTTAAGCCTGACGTAATTTTATCTAAATAGTTAGTTTGGGTTACCTTACTGATCAAATTAACTTGGTATTTGCCAAATTTATTCCAGTTAGAAATAAACTTATGAGAAGAATAGCATTTTTATTTTTTATTGCATTTTAGGTTTTGGGGTACATGAGCAGAACATGCAAGACAGTTGTGTAGGTACACACATGGCAGTGTGTTTTGCTTCCTTTCTCCCCTTCACCCACATTTGGCATTTCTCCCCAGGTTATCCCTCCCCACCTCCCCCTCCCACTGGCCCTCCCCTTTTCCCCCCAATAGACCCCAGTGTTTAGTACTCCCCTCCCTGTGTCCATGTGTTCTCATTTTTCATCACCCGCCTATGAGTGAGAATATGCGGTATTTCATTTTCTGTTCTTGTGTCAGTTTGCTGAGGATGATGTTCTCCAGATTCATCCATGTCCCTACAAACGACACAAACTCATTATTTCTGATTGCTGCATAATATTCCATGGTGTATATGTGCCACATTTTTCCAATCCAGTCTATTATCAATGGGCATTTGGGTTGATTCCAGGTCTTTGCTATTGTAAACAGTGCTGCAATGAATATTCGTGTACATGTGTCCTTATAGTAGAACTATTTATAGTCCTTTGGATATATACCCAGTAATGGGATTGCTGGGTCAAATGGAATTTCTATTTCTAAGGCCTTGAGGAATCGCCACACTGTCTTCCACAATGGTTGAACTAATTTACACTCCCACCAACAGTGTAGAAGTGTTCCTATTTCTCCACATCCTCTCCAGCATCTGTTGTCTCCAGATTTTTTAATGATCGCCATTCTAACTGGCGTGAGATGGTATCTCAATGTGGTTTTGATTTGCATCTCTCTGATGACCAGTGACGATGAGCATTTTTTCATATGATTGTTGGCCTCATATATGTCTTCTTTCGTAAAGTGTCTGTTCATATCCTTTGCCCACTTTTGAATGGGCTTGTTTTTTTCCTGTAAATCTGTTTGAGTTCTTTGTAAATTCTGGATATCAGCCCTTTGTCAGATGGGTAAACTGCAAAAATTTTTTCCCATTCTGTTGGTTGCCAATTCACTCTAGTGACTGTTTCTTTTGCCGTGTAGAAGCTGTGGAGTTTCATTAGGTCCCATTTGTCTATTTTGGCTTTTGTTGCCAATGCTTTTGGTGTTTTGTTCATGAAGTCCTTGCCTACTCCTATGTCCTGGATAGTTTTGCCTAGATTTCCTTCTAGGGTTTTTATGGTGCCAGGTCTTATGTTTAAGTCTTTAATCCATCTGGAGTTAATTTTAGTGTAAGGTGTCAGGAAGGGGTCCAGTTTCTGCTTTCTGCACATGGCTAGCCAGTTTTCCCAACACCATTTATTAAACAGGGAATCCTTTCCCCATTGCTTGTTTTTGTCAGGTTTATCAAAAATTGTATAGTTGTAGATATGTTGTGTTGCCTCCGGTGCCTCTGTTTTGTTCCATTGGTCTATATCTCTGTTTTGGTACCAGTACCATGCTGTTTTGATTACTGTAGCCTTGTAGTATAGTTTGAAATCCAGTAGTGTGATGCCCCTGCTGTGTTCTTTTTGCTTAGAATTGATTTGGCTATGCGGGCTCTCTTTTGGTTCCATATGAAGTTCATGGTGGTTTTTTCCAGTTCTGTGAAGAAAGTCAATGGTAGTTTGATGGGGATAGTGTTGATTCTGTAAATTACTTTGGGCAGTATAGCCATTTTCACGATATTAATTCTTCCTAACCATGAACATGGAGTGTTTCTCCATCTGTTTGTGTCCTCTCTGATTTCGTTGAGCAGTGGTTTGTAGTTCTCCTTGAAGTCCCTTATGTTCCTTGTGAGTTGTATTCCAAGGTATTTTATTCTTTTTGTAGCAATTGTGAATGGCAGTTCGTTCTTGATTTGGCTTTCTTTAAGTCTGTTATTGGTGTAGATGAATGCTTGTGATTTTTGCACATTGATTTTATATCCTGAGACTTTGCTGAAGTTGCTTATCAGTTTCAGGAGTTTTTGGGCTGAGGCGATGGGGTGTTCTAGGTATACTATCATGTCATCTGCAAATAGAGACAATTTGGCTTCCACCTTTCCTATTTGAATACCATTTATTTCTTTTTCTTGCCTGATTGCTCTGGCTAGAACTTCCAGTACTATATTGAATAGGAGTGGTGAAAGAGGGCATCCTTGTCTAGTGCCGGATTTCAAAGGGAATGCTTCCAGTTTTTGCCCATTCATTATGATATTGGCTGTTGGTTTGTCATAAATAGCTTTTATTACTTTGAGATACGTTCCATCGATACTGAATTTATTGAGGGTTTTTAGCATAAAGGGCTGTTGAATTTTGTCAAATGCCTTCTCTGCGTCAATTGAGATAATCATGTGGTTTTTGTTTTTGGTTCTGTTTATGTGGTGAATTACGTCGATAGACTTGTGTATGTTGAACCAGCCTTGCATCTCCGGGATAAATCCTACTTGACCATGATGAATAAGTTTTTTGATTTGCTGTTGCAATTGGCTTGCCAATATTTTATTGAAGATTTTTGCATCTATGTTTATCATGGATATTGGCCTGAAGTTTTCTTTTCTTGTTGGGTCTCTGCTGGGTTTTGGTATCAGGATGAAGAATAGTATTTTAGCATTAAATAAATAATCGTTATAAGTAGGCAGTTGCTGAATTTCCAAAAAGGTGTTTGAAATCTGTTGTTTATATTTTAAAACCTATTGATGTTTTATGCTGGAAAGCCCAGATATACAATAAAAGATTACTTTCCTTGATGTCACCTACCGCCACCCTGCAGATACTTTTAAAATAAAACTACAGCACTAAAATCTTAGAAAGTTCTTTTAGCATACATACGTTTTTGTGTATTTTAAACTTATTTTTATTTCTGTTATGCAGAAATATTAACTGCTTGTTGCTGATGCTCTCATTTTCATTTGCATTTAGATACCTGGGCAACCTTGTAACTGTATTCTCCAGGCAGCACATGCGATGGCTCTGGGACATTGGTGGGAGAAAGTCCTTCTGGATAGGCAAGTATCTGTGCTGCACTGAGGAGCAAGGCAAGGACATGAAACAAACAAGCACCACCACCCTGCTACTCACTTCTGTGGGTCACATGATCATGGTTTACCATCATAGGCAACCAATTTTAAACTGATCTTAAACCTTTGACACAATACATTCATTTTAAGACATCTATCCCAAAGAAATAAATAGGAATGTGGATATTGGCCTGAAGTTTTCTTGCTTGATAATTCTCAGATTGATAAGCAAGAGAATTCAATGTAATAATATTTCTAAAAGTAAAAAATTAGAAATCACTGTAACTAAAGAATGGTTAAATATAGTATAGCCATATGAAGGAATATGTAAGATTTAATGATTTTGCAAGCCATTAAATAATCAAGACATGAAAATTACCTTATGTTTATTAATTCATTTAGCAATTATATGTTGGATGCACATTATATTACATATAAAATGTAAAATGTATTTCATTTATGGCAAGGTGCTAAGTAAAAATGCAGGGTCTATATTCATATAAAGTATGAAATAATTTAGAATTAAAAAATTATATACATGTGGTGTATGTATAAATATAAATAAATTATATATATATTCCAAATAATTAGAAATGACTTAATTCCAGGTAAGCATTATAGGTAGGCTGGGTATGCTGGCTCAAGCCTGTAATCCCAGGACTTTAAGAGACCAAGGCTGGAGGATTGCTTGAGCCCACGAGTTCAAGATGAGCCTGGGCAACATAGTGAGACTTTGTCTCTATGAAAAATTTAAAAATTAGCCAGGCATGGTGGCAGCTAATAGTAGTCCCAGCTACTTGGGAGGCTGAGGTGGAAAGAGTGCTTGAGGCTGGGAAGTTGAGGCTGCAGTGAGCCGTGATTGTGCCACTGCACACTAGCCTAGGCAACAGAGCAAGACCCTGTCTCAAAAAATATATATATATGTGATTTTAATTTTATTTCTCCTTTTCTGAAGTCTTAATATGTTCTACAGCTTTAACAATAATAACAAATCTTTTTTTTTTCTTTTTTGAGATAGTGTCTTGCTCTGAAGTGCAGTGGTGTGATCTCGGCTCACTGCAACTTCCACCCCCTGGGTTCAGGCAATTCTCCTGCCTCAGGCTCCCTGGTAGCTGGCATTACAGGTGCCTGCTACCACACCTGGCTAATTTTTGGATTTTTAGTAGAGATGGGGTTTCACCATGTTGGCCAGGCTGGTCTCAAACTCCTGACCTCAAGTGATCCACCTGCCTCAGCCTCCCAAAGTGCTGGTATTACAGGCATGAGCCACTATTCCCAGTGGAATAACAAATCTTTTTAAACCACTTTAGAAATAGAATTTTCAGGTCATATCAAAGTCAATATTCCCACTACTTCTCTTAAGAGGCATTGTATTTGAACGATCTATAACAGTTCCCTCTCTTAACTTTTCAATATTTCTGTAGTACTCAGTGGTTCCCTAAATTCTGAAATGATCTGGGTATTAAGAGACAGGGCTGGAAGATAAGTTTTCTCTACATCCATAATGACTCATTGTAAGCCTCTGTCCTCACAATATGCTTAGGCATCATGTCATCTAATCAATAATTCAAGGAAACAATCCAGAAGAAGATAGGGCATTCCAAACCAAAAGTATTTCATTTGATTCCACTCAAAAATACTGACTGAGAATCAGTTGGGGGAAGGTAAAATGCTATGTATCTAGGACTGTTTTTGTGGTCAAATTTGATTTGGGGAATGTTGGATCATGCTGTGGCAGGGGGTTCCTTTCTCATTTTATTCTTTTTTTATTTCTATTATGAAAGAGAGTAAGTGGGAAAATGCTTCTTTAAGAAAATATTACAGAAGCTTTATAACATTAAAGTGTAATTTGCCAAATTTGCCAGTGGGGGTAAAGAGGCAAGTTGAGAAAATCTGCTTTTTATTGGAATTGTAGCAGATTGAAACATCTTAAGCTCTCAACTCAAAATAATACATAGTAAACTACTTTCAAATATGAAAACCAGGACATTTAAATAAGGAGGAAGAAGAACAATAGGCGCAAAATATGTTTCCCTGTGATAGGACTTCTGCATGTAGGATGATATGAATACTAATAATAGCTGCCATTTATTAAACACTTATATATACCAAGAGCTTTATATGCATTATCTTATTTAATCCTCAAAACAACCCTAGATGTACTATTTTTATGTCCATTCCTTAGATAAGCAAACTAAAACTCAGAGAGGTTAAGTAACCTGCCCAAAGATACTCATCTAGCAAGTAGGTGGCAGAGCTAGAATTGGACTGGGATTTGCTTGACCCCTTGTGTCTTAGAGTATTCCCAGTTCCTAGCTCTTGTTTTAGAACCTGGGCCCTATATTTGCATGTGATAACAGCTTAGAGCAATAGCTGGAGATGATATCTAAGTATAAATGCAATAAAATTAATTGGCACATTCTTTCGGTTCATATTAGGTTTGAATGATCAAGTGCATGCTGGCCACTGGGCGTGGATCGGTGGTGAACCTGTTGTCTTCATCAATGGGAGAAGAGGGCCCTCTCAACACTCCAAGCCTGGAAAGAGCTGTGTTTTGGTTCAAAGACGAGGGAAATGGCAAACAAAAGACTGTAGGAGAGCCAAACCTCACAATTATGTGTGTTCCAGAAAACTCTAAATATAACAGGCCCTATAGGTTCCCCCCTGGAATTTGTCACCTATTTATTTACAGGATCTGTGACTATTTGCTCCATAGAAAACAAACTATTAAATGATTGACTGGGGATACTTTTTTGATTCTGTCTAGTAAAAGGGGAACATTTTTAATAGTGCCAGAAAGATTGATAAATGAATATTTTTTACAAGATAAGGTATAATTTTTGTCTCTCAATACCTTTTGCAATAAATGCCAGCAGTATTATAAAGCATAAGATTGGTTTATTCCAGAAGACCCCCACCCTTACCCTACTCCAAATCTCAGGCAGTACCAGTCTTATGGTCCTTGGATTTTTTTTTAATTTTTTGGTCCCATTACCTCTAATAAATTTATTCTGAAATACATATTGCAGGTGCTCCTACCATTTTAGTTTGAGTGAAGCTAACTCTACTAGTTCATTTAACCAAAATTGAACTGCAAAGGTCCCTTTGGAGCCCTTTAAATGAGAAATCTAAGATTAGAGGCTATGGATTAAAAGATTTTTCTATGGTGAAAAAGCAAGATTTTAGATGAAAGAATCTTGTAGGTGGAGGCTCATCTACAAAGCTCTAGTTCACGTAAGAATTCAGGGGGCTGCCTGTACTTCAGAGTTCTACGCATCACTGTTCATGAAACAAATCTCCCTTTTAAATTTGAATGTTGGCATTCTACCATCCTAGAGCTAATGGTTGAGTTTCCCCAGCCTTACAGAGTCATGAGAAATTTCAAGTAACATAATCTCTTCCTCTGTGTTTATTGTACTGACAAGCATTTCTCAAGGACATTTGGGATAAAGAGTATATATGAATGACGGTTGACATATGGAAGAAAAATACTGCTCTTTCAGAAGTGTCCTGTTGAACTGCGCTGATGAACAGAGAAAAGTAAAACTGAAAATAGAGCCCTTGAAAGCCTACATTCTCGAAAAGGATTTTGAGGCAATTTTGAGTCCTTATATCTTTAATATTTGCAGAAATGCCATGTTAACTAGATTCCCTAATGGAAAGGTACCTTATAAATTTATAATCTCAGCAGAGTGGAACATTTTTGTAACAATGAAGTATGTTACAGCCTTACCAGATCTCCCTTCTGAAATCAAGCTTTAATTATAGGAAATTAGAACTGTATGTCTGAAACATTTATTTAAAATTTTTCTCTTTTCATAATCACTGAGAAATATGGTTGTGCCAAATGTCACTTGCTCTATGAGCACCGATGTAACTTCAAATGCGGTTATCACATAGACGGGAGCTCTGGTGCTGGTTTTATTATAAAAATACCTTGAGTGTTGCAGACACTAAAATTGCTTGAAGAAAGTCAGTTCAAGTTCTGGATACAAAAACATGACAGCTTATTTAATTTCAATTCATTTATCAAGGTTATAATTAATAGAAAAATTTACAAAGAGATTGGAATATGCTTCAGACATTCTGCCTATTACTTAAAGCTAAACATAATTGTAGTGTCAGAGGGTCCTTACCTTAGATGACACAGGTGGGCTCCAGACTGGCATAATGTACAGGTTCTCTGTGAAATACAAGCCGTTTCTTGAAGTTTAATCAAAACATACTACACCTATCCTCTTACTAGCTCCAGTCAAATTCCTTCTGGTCCACCGGCTTCTTCTGTATGGAAATGTGAGGGTTGCGCTAAAGAAAAAAGAGTTATTTTTCTAAAGGGTTAAGTCTGAGGAAGGAAGTAGAAGTTTGGGAAATGAGGGATTCAAGGGCCACTCCCTCCACTGGAACTCTAAAACTATATCAACCATCTATAACTGGAAATCTAGAAGTATGTCAACTATGTAAACTCTGGTCAGCATGGCAGATTTATTATACTTTTCTGCAATATAAATGATAAATGACACTGAACTAATTGCAAATGTTAGCATAAAGAGTGAGTGTTTTGATTTTTAAAACAATCAGAAATACTACAAGAATATTTAAAAATATTCCTGATTGTGAAAGCATTAATCAAGTTGGAAAATTCAAGTCATTTTAGGAAGGTAAAAATAGAAATTTGGAAAAGTCTGGGTGGTGGGCAGTATTCATCAAACCTTCCTTTTATTCTTACAATTGAACTTTGACTCGGGGAGAAAAAAGTAAATGATTGTCAAGGTTCCCTCTGCTTTGGTTGATAGTTTCTGATGGGAGTGGGAAGGAAGGAAATGGAGTAATGGATAGAATGGGAATGAGAGATTACGAGAGAGAAAAGGAGAGAAAGGTGAGAAGGGTTCAATGGAAAGGATAGGAACCAATGGTAGCTACGAAGGAAAGCAGTAAGAAGGACCCAGCTGAAGGTACCCAGCTCTTCTCTCCAAACTTCAGTACCAACTCAGGAAAAGGCCCTCTGTATCAAGGAGCATCAATCCAGCTCAGTAGTGCCTAGCTTTTCAAAATCTTTTGATTGTTTGGTCTTTAACAAACACACAGCATCTATTTGCTAAAAATAAACTTAAAGAACATATGATAATCATTTCATCTCCTTCCAAGAAGTGGTGAAAATGAACCAGGTGACATTAATTTGATTTTTGTTTTTGTTTATTTTTAATACAGCCAGAAAGATATGCACATATTTTAATTTACACTATGTTTCTGTATAATTTAAACCATAAACTGGTGCTGATTAATTTCTGCAACAAAGCAGCATGTTAAATGTACTGTATCTAGTGTTGTATCAAAATTAATAAAAGAAATTTGTTTTAAGTTCTGAGACACTTTTCTTTAGCTTTTAACATTTTATCCTATTCCTGGGGACGCATGGAATTTTAGATTTTTATAATGTTATTTAGCAAGAATGGAGGAGAAAAGTCAACATGTTTTTTATCTTTGCTGGTCAGACCAGCCTTTAGTTGTATGGCTTCCATGTATTCCTACATGCGACCACCATTCATTTGACAAATACTGAACATGGCATGCCAACCATGCAACTGACATTGTTCCAGATACTGGAGATATTGTAGGGAATAAGATAAAAACATAAAAGCATACCGCATATATGCAAATTTATGATAGCATTTTACGCCTCAAGCTTTTTATCAGGGAGAAAGTCACAGTGAAAATCAGTGATTGCATTATCCCTTTTCCAGATACAAACAGCTCAGGCCGAAGTTTGTTATATTTTTCTCTTGGTTAAGAAATTGATATTAACTTCCTAAATTTTAATTAGGTCAAAGTGTTATTGATATCAGCTGTCCCAAATTTTCTGTCTCCAGAATCAAGTTAGAAACTAAAGTTTTTTTATCTAGTTAATTTTGTAACAATTACTCTTTCCAAAATGATGAGTACATGTCTTTATATCTTAGGGATTCCTGGAGTAACAGAAATTAAAGTGATACCTTTGATATCATCTTACTTAATAATCTTGTTACAACAGGGAAAGTTACTGTGTGAAGAAATCAGCACTAGAACTGAGGTCTTCCAAATCTTAGCCTGAATTTTTTCCTAATTATTCCACATATCTATGAGCATTCTGAGCAGATTGTTTTATTATATTCAAGTAAAATACACTCATCTTTGAATAATGAGTATTATAACATTCGCCGTATACTTGAAAATACTATCATAAGCAAAAGGCAGACAGAAAGGGTTACATATTTTGTGATTCCATTTATATTAAATGTTCAGAATAGACAAATCTATGAAGATAGAAAATAGATTAGTGATTTCCAGGTGGGGAAAGAGGATTGGGACTAACTACCAGTAGGTACTGGGTTTCTTTTTGAAATGATGGAAATATTTTGGAGTTATATAGTGGTAATTACAGAAACAGTGAATATACTGAAAACCACTGAAGTATGCAGTTTTAAATGGTAAATTTTATGTAAAGTGTATCTCAATAAAAATGTGATTAAAATCACCATATAAAATGTATTTTTAAAAGGTAGAAATGGGTTGATGTAACTGTATATTTATCTTGCTCATCCAAGATATATTTCTCAGTCTTTGCCCCATGTCTCACCCAGGTTTTTGTTTGTTTATATAATTGGTTAAAGGGAATGAAATGCTGATTTGACATATTTTAAATTTATAGTACTGTTTCATTTATCTTCCTCTCCTTTCTCTCCATCAATCACAGGGGGCTATTACTAATGGCAAAGCGTGTCTGGGTGTCTGTAATGTGCAGAACACCATGATTTTCTCAAAATTAATTTTACAATCCTTTAGAACAGGATTGTGCAGGAAATGAATATACTATTCTTATAACTTACACGTATAACTTCATTTTGAGCAGTTTTTATAAGTCTTATGTTCTGCTAGGCAATAAAGTTTAGTTTATCTTAAGACAGAAAGGAACAAAAATCAACCAACACTTCCATTAAAGGCCTCATGGTGATCCGCATCACTTTTTCCAAGCAATGACGTACGAGTTCACCTTTTGCTTCTATCCCCATCTGTATTTTTGCTTTCCAAAAGCAATCAATCTCAATTTATCCTACAGAAAAAAATGTTCTAACCCAACTATATGCTGCCTACAAGGAACATACTTTAAATATAAACACATTAAAAGTAAAAGAATGGAAAAAGACATACCATACTAAAACTAGTCAAAAGAAAGCTGGAGTGGCTAGATTCATATCAGAGACAGCAAGTTTTAGAGCAAAGAATATTGCCAAGAACAAAGAAGCTTATTGCATAGTGTTAGTGGGTCAATACATCAAGAAAACATAATAATTCTAAATATTTATGTATTAATAACAGTTGTTTTGTTTTGCTTTTTGAGATGTTTCGCTTTTGTTGCCCAGGCTGGAGTGCCACAGCAAGGTCTTGGCTCACTGCAACCTCTGCCTTCCAGGTTCAAGTGATTTTCCTGCCTCAGCCTCCCAAGTGCTGGGATTACAGCCTTCTTAGTAGCTGGTGCCCACCAGCATGCCTGGCTAATTGTTGTATTTTTAGAAGAGATAGGGTTTCACCATGTTGGCCAGACTGGTGAACTACTGACCTCAGGTGATCTACCCACCTTGGCCACCAAAAGTGTTGGGATTACAGGCATGAGCCACTGTGCCCAGCCTACTAATAACAAAGTTTTAAAACACAGGAAGCAAAAGGTGGTAGAACTTCAAAGAGAAATAGATAAATTTCTACTTAGAGTCAGAAATGTCAATACCGCTTTCTCAATAATTGATGGAACAAGTAGGCAGTAAATCAGTGAGAGTATAGAAGTATGGACACTATTAACAAAGTAAATGTAATTGAAATTTATAGAGTATTCTGCCCAACAACAGCAGGATGTACATTCTTTTCAAGTGCATGTGACACATTTACTAGGCAGACCATATTCTGGGACATAAAGTAAGTCTTCATAAATTTTAAAGGATTCAAGTCATATAAAATATGTTTTTTGACTACTGTGGAATAGTACTGACCATACTTGGAATAGGGTGACAACTTTAAGCAGTGCTTGTTCTCACCAGTAACCAACCCCAGCAGGAAGAAGGAGCTGGGGGTGGGAGAATTAGGGTTTTAATTTGCCATATCACATGTGAGAACTTTGCTGTGGGCTGGAACGTTTGTGTTCAATATGGAAATGTTTTCAGTTTTTGGAGGAACCAGATGACTAAGGGAGTCCTTTCTAAAAGAAAGGACTAATGAGAGTTGTGATCATTGATACACAACTCTTATTCTAAAGGGAGATAAATTAGGGAATCGTTTTTCACATGACAGAAAGGATGACCCTATTTGCTTTGTTAATGGCTTGGACTTGGGTGATAGTTATTTTCTATCACCCAAAGAGCACAGCTTCTCTATGGAGCCAGATTTTCAAAATTTTCTTTTACATTCAGCATTGAAGGAACACATTTGTTGCATATATTGAAGAGGCCTGTGTTTGCAAATCATGCCCCAAATCAACACTTAAAGGTCTAAGTGGTGCTCATCAGAGACAAAGGCGGTTCAGTGTATGTAGGAGTTAGTAAGGATTCGGGCAGAAGCTAAACAGAATGGCCCAGCAGGGACTGGCTCCCAGTAAATTATTTTCTTGCATACAGATTTCCTACCCAGCAGACTCACTGGGGTCATTTTAGTGACTAGACACAAATAACAGGCTTCTTAGAGTTTCAGACTTGAACCAAGTTGAACTTTTGCAAATGTGACTAAGGCCTGCCAGCTTGATGGCAAACTTGGGCCCAGCATCAGGTGCCAGCAGAAGGCAAAGCCTGGCTGGAAAGTTGTGCTTTGCTTTTCATTTTATTGTCACAATTTTTCACAGTTTGCCTCATGCCACCTTGTTACTTAATTCCCACACCTTGGAGGAAAAATGTGTAATCCTTTAATATTTATGTTACTTACTTAAGATACTTAAGATTATGTTTCTGCCTAGGTGTTGCCAAGATAGTCAAGCCAACTCTTGTTTATAGAGGGTAGAAAATATAAATCTGTCCAAACTCTTTCACAAAATGAAGGCCTTAATATTTCCAAAGAGTTGAATTTGGTACTACTCTTGGAGAGCCTTAGAGAAGCGTTGTCAATACAAGGCGTCATTGTTTTAGGTTTCCTATCCATGACTTGCTTTTTTCCCCAACTTTCCTCTCTTTTGGCAACTTCTCCTCACATTCTGTCCTACATTTGGCCCTGAGTCAGTTGAAAGCTTTGCAAGTTGATTTTCCATTCCCATCTGAATTTTAGCTTAGCTGTGGAACTGTTTTCCATGTGTTTTTAATCATTTGTCCATGTGTTATGAGCTTATAGGGACAATATGGTCCCCCCAAGCTGCCTGCATTGTATAAGCAGAAACTGGCAAGGTGGCCAGTGGGGGAACAGTTTTCAGACAGATGCCCCCTACACTCATTTCTGTTGGTGATACACCACCCCCATGCTCCAACTGGAGTAAAACAATTTACAAGCTGCATAAAGTTACCCAACAGACATGTAGTCCTCTGGCATGAATTACCTCTTTTAGGAGTGTGATTATCCTTCAGGGCAGACATGCCTGGGAACTGTGGCTGGTGTGACAATGTTCAAAGGCCTGCTCTGAGACTGTGGCCAGGCTGGGAAATGAAGAATGATTTAGTCCCAGATTCAATGGAAATTTGATTTTAAAATAGAATCTAAACACAGAGAATTAAGGATAAATTCTCCAGGACACAGAGACACTTCTTAGAAAGTAAAATGGAACAAGGGCCTATGTCAGAAGTTTCCTCTCACATTTTTATTGGATTCAGTATGTTAAAACAAACATTGATTCACCTCCTAAATGTAGACTGAGGGACCAGGAATGGAAGAGAAACAGAAAAATGCATTAAACAAAATCCCTTTTCTCAAAGCTGCTTACAATGTGGTCTCCAGCAAACAGACTCCCTGCCCTTGAGAAGTCCTCTCCTCCTTGTTAGGAAGATGTGCACGTACCCAAATTAAGCCAAGTCCAAGTAATCACTGAAGGGCTGAATCAAGAAGGAACCTGGCTTTTCAGAGTCCCAAATCTCAGTATCATGGATGAGCTATCTCCCTTGTAGATCCAGAGTGGATGTGAGAAAGTAGAGGTGGGTTGGGACAAAGCTTCCCAATATTTGACTGGTAAAGGCAGAAGACACACTGAAGTACAGAACCTGAAGGCTTCTATGGAATTAAGAAAATTTGAAATGATCAAACGTTATATAAAAGCATCCAGTGGAATGCAAAGGGTTGACAATTCGGGGTAGACTATTGAGTAAAGTTGGTTGGAAAGGATGTGATCCCAAGAGCAGAGTGAAAGGAGAAATGAACTGGTA